TAGACATCCTGTTTTTTTTCAAACCAATATGTGTAAACGATAGGACCGGAAATAAACATTATACAATCCTTAAAATGATTTCTTTTTCTGTAAAAAAAAAAAATCTTTGTTATATATTTCTACAGATACCAAAAAGTTGGTAAAATCTTAAAACTTTTCACAATATCTACTTCAAATAGGAAGGGAAACCAAATAATTCACTGTACAGGTGCTAAAATTTTAAATCAATACACAATATATTTGTTGACCTGGATTTGATAAGGTTTATTTGTTAAACATGATAAAAATCTTTGGTCACATCTTGTATCAGGCACATTGAGGGTTTTAACAAATATTTACACCTCTAAATTTCTACCATTCTTTATTCAAATTTTACAATTTTGCAACATTGTTAATGTAATTGGTATCACTTTTAACAACAAAACTTCATGTAAGACTCTTTATCTTTTGTTTAAGTCTACCAAAACAAAATTGGTTGAAAATTTTTTTTTGTGAAGTTTTATTATTGAATTTTCTATGTATTTGCAAGGCAGGCCATTTTATAGTGGAGGAAACAAAAGTACCTCACATAAACATGAAAGAACTAAATAAAGTATTGGGGTATCTGATGTCACAATTTATAGATGTCAACCACACTTATCATCGTGAAATGATCTTAGGAAGATGATGCATGTACAACAACCACAAAGACCTGTGGTTATAGACCTTTCAATGTACAACATACATGTAACAACTGATCAGGCCAAAATAAATAGTATTCATGTTTAGGGTTTCAATAAATTCCCTTCCTTTCCCACTCTTTATGCTTCCAAATGCCTAAAGGTGATTGGCACTTTTGGTAGTGAATCAGGACAGAACTGCAGGTCTCCTCATATCAGGGTCTCATTGGGGGTTTCTGAAAACGGATCCCGCTTACTGTTTTGTCAGATTCCCGTATCCCGCTTACACTATGTACGTAAGCAATTCTCATTTTTTTGTAATTTCCCGTGTCCCTCTAGACTTCATTTCCCGTTTTCACGGCACAATAATTTGACTTTCACGTGTCACGCTTACAAAAAATCGTCAATCCCGGGTCAGGCTTAGCCCCCAATGAGACCCACCATATAGTCAAGGTAAAACAATATGCAGATTAAATTGAGAAAAAAAAACATGTACTTTCCCTAAACATGTACAATGTACTTTCCTTAAACATGTACAATGTACTTTCTCTAAACATGTACAATGTACTTTCTCTAAACATTTACAATGTACTTTCCCTAAACATGCAGAATTCTTTGCTTGGTCTGACCATAATTACTCACTGTCCATTTACTCATTGGTTAACTCAGAAATATGTCCTATATTAAGTTTGATACTTTTCCTTTCAGTGGTATAAACAAGTGCACGAACTTTTATTTGACTAATCTGAACAGCACTCAGAACTGTAAAATGGAATCTTTCGTATAGAATACAAAAAGTACCTTTAACATGAATTGTAATAACAGACTTTAAAACATGCAGAAGACTTTACAAGAGCCTCTTTTTATTGTCTTTGTTATGAATTTTAAAAGAAATTCTACTTTTAAGCCACTTTAGTAAGGTGGAAGAATGTTTATTCATTTTCCAATTATTAAGGAAATTCAACTTAATAACTGATATAAGCTTAACTAATGAGTAACAAAAAATTGTTTGTCCTATATATGGAAAAGAGGACATTCGATCTATGATATGTATAGTGCAAAGTTAAACCCATACATAGATATGCATGCATACTACCAAAATATCAAAACAATTATATCCAAATTCAATATATCCCAAGTCATGCCAGTATATAATACAACAGTTAAGCAAACAATTGTTTATATATTTACTAAGTTTTTTGTCTATATGTTTTATTTATTTCAGTATATTGAAATGGTATTATTATCTAAAGTATGGTATCTATTACAGGTAACTGGATAGTCTTTACCTTAACAAAGGTACAATGTATATTAGTAATGCTAGCTAAAAGATCAAAGAATTTCAGGTGTAAAGTTTTGACCTATCATTTCTTGTCATCATCTGACTAAAGGCTATTATTCTTAAATTTTCTACCTTTACTCTGAATATTGATAATATTTCTGTAATGTATATACTTTTTTAACAAAGAAAAGTTTGTAAAACATCTTTATCATGTTTATAGAGGCTTAAAAGACATTCATTTGATCTTCCAATTATTTTTTCCATCAAAAAAAAGAATCAAGTGTCTTTATACCTAACCTTATAAAACTGGATGTTTTTAAAGGGTGTACTTTTGACATTATAAATTTATATTCTTTTGAGTAAAGTTTTCAAAATATCAAAAGAATATATTCAACCTCTAGCATGTCTAGTCGATGATAAACTGAAAAGCCACAGCAGAAGTTGAAAAACGACCAAAAGACAAACCAACCTTTCATTTGTGTGCTGTGTTTTTGAAGATTTTTATGGTTTTTTTTGTTGCATTGATACCATTTCATTAATATTGGTTTTTCTGTGGTTTCTAAACCTTAAATTGTTCAATTAATATATATAGAAGGTTTAAGCAACTACATGTATACATGTAGGTTACTGTACGGCCTTCCACAATGAGCAAAACCCATGCCGAATAGCAAGATATAAAAGGCCCCGAAATCAATGACAAATGTAAAACAATTCAAGCAAGAAAACTTACATCCTGATTTGTGTACAAAACAATTAACGAAAAACAAATATGATATACAGCAACAAACGACTACCACTGAATTACTTGCTCCCGACTACAGAATGTATACGTGCTATACATGTTAGCGGGTGCCGGACCCTCCCCATAGTTTTGTTTACTTTATTTGGACCCTACTCAAATCATGCTAGCCATCTGCTTATATTCTAATTCTAATTCATTTTATTGCTTTCAGAGGAAAGGGGGGGGGGCTTGCTTTGTACCCTAAAAGTCTAGAATACCCGCCGGTTTGCAACTTTGCCAGTACATACAAATAGAATTTGTTCGATAATTTAGTCAAAGAAGTGATTTCACACACCAACAGTTGCATGAAAACTACAACTGTTGTCACAATTACCATCTTATTTGAAAACTTGGTTTACAATGTGCTCTTTAAAAAAAAAAAAAAAACATTCATTTTGATGAACATGTACATTAGTATGCATGTTGAAAACTGTTGACCTTCAAACTTCTACTCCCATAAATTTTGTTTTATGATTAAACTAAATTTGTATCCTTTTCGTGTACATTTGTATTGTTATATAAAGCATAATAAAATTTGAAATACAAAAAAACAAAGCAAATATAAATGTTTGAAGCAAATGCAAACACATGAAGTCATGCATTAATGTAGATCACTAGACTTATAGGCTGTAAGTCTGGAAAATATATGTCCAACCTAGTCACTGCCTGTTGCCTGAGCTTCATCTTACTGATAAAAAAAGTAATTTTCTAAGTCAAATATATGTAAATATCTCAAATGTATTTTAGTTGTCTTTTTCATGCTACTTTTCAGGTGTAAAAAGTTATGCCAAAAACTATATATTTTCCAATTTGAGGGGTGTGCCAGGAGTACCCTGCCTGAATCTGCTTTTGTTTTTTTTATTTCCATCTTGTGACTTACTGCTCTTTATAGTAACTTGCCCATTCTACTTATGATAAAAGGATTTCACCTCAGTACAACCACAACCTTAATACAATGAGATAAATTGTGTTGTTCTAAAATTGATTATTAAAGTGTCTGGCTGTGTTTTTATTTTCTGCTTCTTAAAGAATTAATTTTAAACAAAATCCATGAAAAAAGTCAAAGTTTGTGATGTGTTAAAATACAAAATGCCTTTAATAAAATATTTATAAAAAGAGAGAGTGGGGGTTATGAAAGGTCACTGACCATAAAGAAAGATTTCAATAAAGAAATGTCATCTTTGAGATATTTTTGGCTTATAAAAAGTATGAGAAATTGTGATACACACAAACTGCATGTTTAGCAGTATTTTGATCATCAAACAGGATGTATGTGCCCAATGTAGGCTTAAAATTTGCATTTATTAGGTTTTTATTTGACAACCATTTAGCAAGCTGCCTTGGGATATTTTGGCTGAGATTAAGCAGCTTTTATATAAGGCAACAATATGAAAGGTGTGACAAGTAGATCTGAGATAATTTATAATGGAATGTCATTATTGTTGGTCTTGTCCCTGGAGGAAATTTATGATTTATGAACTAAAATAACAAGTTTGACCAGAATTATTTTATAAAAAATAATGATTTGAACTGAAACTTTTATGATAATGTCAGATTTTAAAGATGGGTTAATAATTGGTTCTTGTCTAGAGTTGTTCTAAAATACTGCTCAAGGACTTTTATAACATCATATTCATATATCCTGTCTTTTCACGTTTTTTTTAATTGAATACATGTTCAACTATTTTGTCAATGAAAGATCATGAAAGGATTTAGTAAATTTATGTACATACTTGTTTGAAGCAATAATATTAAATCAGTATCCTTAATTTGATCTTGATTGTTAATGGACATTTGCTAACTTCATTCATACCATGCCTATTTACTTCAATGTTATGTGATAATTACTCAAGATTATTCAATGATCAATACACAATTACTTCTACAAGTTTCTCTTGAGCATTGTTGAGTGTAATCACAGATATCTATCATACTACCTGTACCTAATACACATCAAACAAAATGCTGATTAGAGATATTGTCAATGACATATTATTAAAAATAATTTGGTAAACAAAATCAAAATGAAAATGATGTAATATTCACATTCATTTAACAATGTTTAAACCTAAAGATTCTCTAAAATAAAATATTGTATACTTTGTTGTTTCGTTTTGTATGGTTTTCAACATGTTCAAAATTTAAAAGCACTCATTTGAAAGGCCAAACACAAAACACAAAAATTATAATTATAATCAAACTTTAAAAACACAAATTATGAGGGAGAAATAATTCAACAAAAAACATGCATTTAAAAAAAGTTTTTAAAGGTACTTACGAATTTTGACAGTTTTAGCGTCCAAATTATCAACATGATGCTGAATATGAACGATCTTTTTATTTATATTTTCAGTTCTTTCCAACACTTTTCGGCATTCATCTGAAATGTCACAGAAAATATCATCCGCTTGTCTGACTATACTGGCTAGCTGGTATAAAGCTCCAACTAAACAATTAGTAGAAAGTGTAATATGCACTTCCCCATCCCCACTTTCTCGAAGATTTAAAGGATGTCCTCCTAAATTAGAGGGTTCAATCACCCTTTCTGCTAACGGCATAACTTTTCAGTATCTTATCCTGGAATATCCTTCATAATTTTAAACTTTTATCCGCACACCTGGTTTGTGTATTCCTAACACGTTTGAACTGAAGCCGCCATGTTCCAACAATAAAGTTGATTCGGGTTTCCCTTTGAAATGTAACACAATGCAATAACCTTTTTACATGGGTGTTTAAAGTTGTAAATACTAATTCTTTCTCTTATATAAATCCAGACTGTAACCCTCTTATATTTAATAATATTTTTTAATTATCTTTAGTGGAGTTTATCCATCCATTAAAAAAAACTCATTGACCATTCCAAATTTACCGGTGGGAGGTAGTCGAAATATAAGAATAGCCGCCAGGTAAAAAATCAAATTGAATTGTCAACGGTTATCGTAAATTGCAAGATTTGTCGCACGATAAGAAGCGCACTTAAATTTGAATTTTCAAATCATAGTTAAGAGATTTCAATCAATAAAGAGGCATAAAACGCTCTGAAATTGTTTTCATTTTTAATACAGGTATATATCTGGTCATATTTGTATATAGACCACACGTTATATTACTAGTACTGCATGTAGTGGCTTACTTGAACCAGAGACATATCGTTTGATATTGTTTTACATTTGTCATTTTGGGGCCTGTTATGGCTGACTTTGCGGTATGGGTTTCGCTCATTGTTGAAGGCCGTACGGTAACCTAGAGTTTCAAGTTTAATTTCTGTGTCATTTGGTCTTTTGTGGAGAGTTGTCTCATGGTAATCATACCACATCTTATTTTTACAAATATACATTTGTATATTTATGTGAGGCCAATGTACAAAAGAGAGGAACTGCATGCATACACGGATTTTTGGTTATCTTATATTGCTAATTGTGTTCTTGGTTTTGTTGAAGATTATTTCTTTTCTAATTCATTTCGTAATATTCCCAAAACAACAAACTGATTGCAGTGTGACCAAATCAAAGACCGGGTAAAAAATAGTGTACTTTTCTATGATTTGTTATCCTATTGTTCGTTCAGCCGGCATGGACGCGCCACTGGTTTTAATCAGATGGTAAGAAATGTGTACTTCCTTCATTGGTGGATCCGGCGACTTTTTAAAGAAGTGATTTTCAATCTATAAGTTTGATTTTTTACGAATTTATGGCACAACCAAGCAGCAACAGCTAGGAAGATGGCGTGGCAGACCCCGGACCACCTTTGCCATGAGTCTTCAAAATCAGAGACATATAATATTTGTGTTATATGTCTCTGTAAAAACATAGCTAATGACAAATATTTAATTATTAGGGGGGAAAGTATGGCATGGATATTACAAGTTATCAACTTGGTTAAATCAGAGACATATAATACAATATGTCTCTGGTTAAATGTGTATTATAAAACAATTTTTTTCGAAACCACTACAGACCGAGAAGGGCATATGGCCAGCATCAGGGTCGTAGGTACTCCCTGAAATCAATATAAACTGTTGACAATTTAGAAAGTGTGACTCCAACTTGGAAGCAGTATCGCAAACAGATTCTAGCGCAGTTTAATATATAGTTAGTTTTGGATCACAGCTGGGAAATACAGAGTTGTCTCCCATAGTATGCAATTCGTAAATTATGCCTCACAAACTTATCGTCTTTTATCTGTTATTACTTTATATTAATCAAAATTAAAAAAAAAAAGAAAGAAGAAAAGCTTTCTCACCACGAAAAGGTCGCGCAACTGCAGATGAGTCTTTGAAAAAGGCATCTCCCCATACACATATGAGGATCTGGGTTAGGGGTCCTTCGATTTTGTAATTTTTATATTTTTGGTTATTTTTCTCTATTCCTGGTATAAGATTTCATGATCTTTCTTGCCTTCAGTTCATCAGACATAATACAATGATACAAACAAAATTTTTCCCGATGATCTTAACTTACTTTTTTGATATGGAAAAACGACTATCCCAAAGGATCCATGTTTGATTGAACAAATTTCATAGGTCACATAATAATACATGTACATCTAAACATGACAAATTAATGCCACAAAATCGGACCGACAACTGATTGCTGATTTAAATGCGTCTAATGAAAGTGCGGAAAACCTACGTTTAGCAAATACAGCAATGTTTGGAAATCTTAAAAAAACATAAAATGTCACAGCTTAATGCTTCTTAGCTGATGTTGTAACAACCTCCATATCTCGTATTTCGGAACTTTTAGCTAAAACGTAAATACCTACAGGATTTCAATGCAGAAAAACAAAACAAACATTTAAGTCTTGCTTCGAACTAGATATTATCGAATTGATGTTTTCCCAAAAGTACAGGACGCAATGATTTAACAACAGTATAGTTATTACCTTAAATTAATAAATGCATTCAGGCAAAAAGAAGGATTTGAACGACAATTCTTAAACTTGTAAGCTTTATAAATAATATTACCGTAAAAAAAAACTTTTTATATATTCCATCCATACTTCCACAATAAACCTCTACATTTAGTTAAAGAACATTTATAATATCTATATCCCTGCTGTGAAAAATTTACAGTAATGAATCATTAGGTTCGTTTGTCATAAATTTTGATATAGAAATTATAATATCAAGGATAGAAAGGACATGGGTCCGCATTACTGTAAAAGTGAGTTGTGCATGGTAGATAGATTTCCTTTGTATATCGAGGGTCTTTGTTTGAAAATTTGCGATAAAAGGAGGAGCAAATATTAACGATAAACTTGACGAAAAAGTACAAGAACGAAGAAGGCCATTAGATGCAGATTTAAAACTTCAGATAGAGGAAATAATGATAATATTTATTTAGGCACATACACATCAGGTACGCAAAAACATAGGTTACAAATCTACAAGTAACTCAAGTGATTGAATCGTCAGTTGACTATTTTCTAGGGTTATAATACTTTAAATGACTTGACATTTTTGTTAAATTCTCCTATAAGTTCATTCTGTAACAGCGATATAACGTATCATTCAACTTGTAACTCAATTTGATATGCCTAAAGATGAGTCAAAGATGGCTCAAAACTGCAATATTGCAAAATTTTCAAAAGCGGATCAATGTTTGAGGTTAGAGCTCAACCTTAAGGTGGTCAAACGGAACGAGACCTGACATTTTTTTTAACGTTTTTTTGTGTGCCAATATTCAAAAATGTTCCTATTTAATTAAAGGAGAGGGTGCTACGTGCGACATGGAATCCATCCTGATTAAGTAAACATTGAGCAATTATCGCAAAAACGAATAAGAATAGCCTTCCTGATCAAAACCAAGATTCAACAAGAGGAAATACCATGTTCGGTCTGTCGGATTCAAATCATTTTGTGATGCGAAAATGTACAAAACATGCAACATTTGCGAAACTCTTAACAACAATGTAAGTGTTTTTGAGTGTGTTTTGGGGGAGGTTCCTTTCTACCTTATATAAATAATGAGATTTGATGTGATTGCCATTGAGACAACTATTTTTCAGTCATCAAAGGACGATAACTCTATTTTTTTACCAGAAATCAATGTAAATACATGCATGGATTCTAGTATATCTATGCTACTTTTAATTCTGTGAAGCAATTCTAAAATCTAGATAACTTTCATTTTATTGAAAGGGTACGGAAATACAAATTTCAAACGTTTTGCAAATCGTTGTTTGTCTTGAAATGAATCGCTCACCTTGATTTTTTTTTGCAGTTCTTGCACCCATATTGCTGTTTACAGCTGACTTCGTCTATAATTGTTTTTCGAGTTAATTTGCAAAAACATGAAATAAGTAGATAAATGTCAATTAAATACGTTAGCCGTCCTCGAATGGTTTCGGTCATGTTGGTCGATTTTTGTAGATTATATTATTGTTGATTTTTGAGCTTTTTCTCTAAAAACTTTTAAAAAAGAGGTAACAGACGTCTTTCAAGGGCAATAACTTCTGTAAAAGAGAGGGCTCAGGCGGAAGATACCAAATTAGAACTGAGAATAAAGGATTCTTGATATACCATATGTATTTGCTTGATCTTTTGTTTTCTACTTATTTACAGTATGCCTTAGGATGTATTTTATGTATATGTATTTGTCACAGACTTAATATTTACCTTAAATCTGGGACCAATATTTAGGTATTAGTCCCAGCATAAACGAAAGAAGAGATTTAAATTTGTATATATAGTGTATATGTATATATTCCACTCTTGTTAAGTTATGATTTTTACAATAAATTTGAAACTTATCAACAAGAAACAGGATATATTATTAACAGGGCCAGTACAACAATCGAAGGAATACTGACAAATTTATAGACATGACAACATTCTGCTCTCTTGGAATTTCTCGAATTCTTTGTAATTCAAATTACTGTTTAACAGCGAATCTTTGTACAATCTAAACTTTCGTTTTCAGATAATTGTACAACAGTATGGTTAAATATTGCAACGTTAAGGCTTTGCATTGATCGTAAAAATGGATCTAAAAGATCGAATTGCACTCTGGCATTATAATGGAATATATGACGTTTATTTTTTGACTGGGAAAACACCTTTTTGCATCAGCCATAGAAATACAAGACTAATTTACATTTAGATTTCGAGAATCTATGACATTTATAATCATTTTAATGCACGTTTCATTGATTGATAAACACAAATACAAATCTGTATACATGTGTTCCAGGGTAACTCATGAATGTCGGACCTTTAAAATATTTAACTGAAAAGTTTGTCAATAATGAATAGTACAAATATAATCTCACCATTCCTTTGTACAGTTATATAAGTAAAGATATGTTTAAACATGTAGGATATACTTATTGTCAAAAACTTTGTCAATCGGATCGATAACTCTGATTTTAAAAGATCAATTGATCATACAAACAGAAGCATAAATAACAACACAAGTAGGGAAATCTTTAAAATAATCCGTTAATCTGCTGAGTATACACAGTAGATTATAACTGGGAATGTAGTGATGACATTATATGCGCAAGATAGATCATTATTGCTTTCAATGACGTTTTAATGTTTTACCAACGAACTTGAACTGGAAGAGGAAATCTAACAAATAAAAAAATGTCCGTCACAACATCATCTTTGATTCGATATGAAGACGAACTGAAAAGGCGCCTTCAAAAGCTATCCAGGACTTACGATTTAACTACTATGAAAATATTTATAGTGGTCGAGTGTCTTGGAGACGGACGGGTGTGTAGCACGTACAACCCTGAAAAGAGGAGCAAATGGGATTCATTTCTCCGAAGAAGAGAAGCATGTCGCTTGGATCTTGATAAGCACGAGAAAAATCGCCAGGATTATACTGAATTCTTGACGAATATTCCCAGAGAGGAACAAGGCAAACAGTTCATCTCTGCATTGACCTCTCACTTTTATTCCAAAGGAGCAGAGGATGCGTTTGGACAAGCGAAAAAATATGACCAGGAAGAAATTAGTGCTACTTTTTGTGGACATTTATGCAGACTGTTTGAGAGAAAGATTAACACCTGGTTCGAAACATTTGAGGCTGTCGCAGTGAAGCTTACAGGCCATGTGAAGGTGTCAAACTTCGTAAGAGTTCTGAGCGGTCAGGTGGATGCTCTTTGCCGGAAAGACGGCTGCATGTATGCAGTCGCATTTAAAGTGACAGGTATGGATACCCCAAGACCACTAGATCTGGCAGAACTGTGTTTATATAAAAGTCTTGTCATTCAAAACGGATTAGCGGACCCAGAAAACCTTAAAATGTGCATACTGGCCCTTCATTTGACTGCCGAGAAACCAATCTTAAGACTTTGGGAATACTCTCCTACTGTTGAAATGGAAGATTCTATCAGAGAAGCAGATATAGATAAACTAATTGATGCTGGAAAATTAAGTCAACATCATGAATTCTGGAAAGAAAACGTACACATTGTTCAAGCTTCTGTCATGACAGAGCGCTCCACATATGGATCCTCGCGCGGGGATGAAGGATATAGATGAACATATAGACAGTTCATTGAACAATATAAACATTTTATTGAACAGTGCCATTCGTGCTTTTGAACTAATGTTACTTTCATATACTCTGTGGAATGTGCTGTCACATGTTTGTGTAAATCACTGTGGAATACTGATGAAAACATTCATCAATGGATTTTTATCGTAATGAAATGGTTTAGTTATGTTTTTTTTGGTAGTTTTTGAAGTGCCATATAAAGGGTAAATTTCACAAAACAAATGGATTATACAATAAATGTCATATGATATATGCATTAAAAATCTTTTCGATCTGTAAAATCAACTAGCCATTAATGTATGATTTTTTTTGTATTTCTATAGTCAGGTGATCTTGTTAAACCTCGTTTTGCAGAGAAACAAAAGCACACGTATGCCTGTATTGCTCATCTTCAGTTTGCTAATTAGGACCCAGTCTATAATTATACACATACTATAGTTACTCTATGTTGCAGACCATTTTTGCAGTTTACTTTCTTTTTGCTTAGCTCCTATAATTTTCGAAATTCACAGAAAATAAATGGAGAATGTGTCCATGGGACACAGATGATGCCACTGCTTGCATATAACGTTATAAAGAGTGATAACTCAAGAACAGTAATAGTTACACCACCCAAATTCGAACTTGATCTGAGTTTTGTGGAAATAAGCATTGTGTATAAGTTTCATCAGTGGCGGATCCAGAACTTTTCATAAGGGGGGCTCACTGACTGACCTAAGGGGGGACCGCTCCAGTCATGCTTCAGTGATTCCCTATAAAATCAACCAAATTTTTCATTTTTCCTACAAAAAGGGGGGATGGAATCCCCCTCCACTGGATCCACCTATGTTCATAACATTTGCTTGAGGCAAATTAAAGTACAAGAACTGAAACAAAAAATTCAGCAATTTTTCCATATTTAAAGGGGCATTACTCCAAAACGGTAGAAGTGACTCCACCTTAATTCGAACTTGGTCTGTGTTTTGTGGTAATAAGCATTGTGTATAAGTTTCATACTATTTGGTTGAGGAAAACTTAAGTTAAGAGAACGGAAACCAATTTTGGGACGTATGGACGGACAAGGGTAAGATTTAATGACCCTCCGGTGACGGCGGGGGAATAAAAATGTGCAAATGTGAAAATTTGTATATTTCAGGAGCAATAACTCTAAAACAGGTCGACAAATTTTTCTGAAAATTTTCAATTTTAATAGATCTTGTGCTGCTGATAATTATTGCAACTTACACATTGGCCTCAGTGAATATCAGTTTTTCCATTTACCTTACCAAAAGACAGTATTTGTATAATATTTAATTGGGGGTAAAATGAAAGAAGTTTAGTTTTAATCATGATATCTGTATTCTTGTGGTTATTCACAGCTAAGACGTCACAATTCAAACATGTACTTATCAAACCAACCAGACACATATATAGTCTCTGAACCAACTAGGAAATGATCAGTGGCTAATTTTTCATGGATGCAACCATATTTGTTTAAATCATACCCAGTGAAGAGAATAACAGAAACATGTATATAATATGTACAGACGTTGATATGTTTGTTAATCAAAACTTTTAACAGGATTTAGCTATATTAAGCCCCATCACACTAGACCAAGACCATGAAGATCCCACTATGATCTATAAAAAAATAAAATAGCGGTGAGATTGTGGTATGGTCGGCTTGAATATTCAGTATTTCATAGTTTTCACGTTTATACCAAGACCTTGCTATGATCCTGATAAGATCCTGCTACGATTCTGCTACGATAGTAACAGGTTCTAGCTACGATCTTGTCACACTCTTGCGACGTCTAATAAGACCTTACCACGCGACTTACAAGATCTCTATACGCTTCTACCAAGACCTTCCGGATCTCAATACGAGTCTTCTACGATCGAACCACGACTCCACTACGTTGTCACTACACTCTAGAATATAGCTTCATCAAATAAGCTCTCAACACATGTGCGTCGTCACCCAAGATGAAGTATGGCATGTTCAGGTCGTCGTTAGGTAAGGGATCTGACTCTGGAAATCCAATAGTCTGATCTTCCAAACACTCCTTTAATTCTGCCGCATTGAAAATCTGGGCGTCCGACATGGAACCATATCATCCTACATCTATCAATATAAATGTGTAGTCTGCATCCACCAAGGCAAGGAGAACTAATGAAAAAAAACCTTTATAGTAATGAAACAAGGATCCGCTTTAAGGCGGCCTTCTAATAGCAACATAATTTCCATCGTGTGTGGCACGTTCCATCTTCTCTGAAAGTCTTTGGCAATAGCTCGCCATTCATTTGGTTCTGTTGGACAAGATATGACTTCCATCTTTATATTCCTGTACAATTGCATGGCAAACCACAGGAATAAAAGTAATTATAGTATTGCGCGCCACTCTGAAATCGTACTGAAGGGTTGAATACCTATTGCCAGAAGCCAAGTGCCTAAAGGTAATAGCAACTTTCACACCGGGATCTAGTGCCTTTCTAAATTGGGTGTCTATCTTCTGAATTCGAGGACTTACTCTGTTCAAAAGTTCATTAAACCTGAGACTACTATGTGTTATAGTAGTCTCAGATCAAACATTTCTGGAGGCATCCTTTAAAAATCAAAGAATGATTGCTGATCCATCTATCCTTAATTATTTCATAAGTCAGTCGTTATGCCCAAACTGGAGTTGTCTTTCAACAGAAAGCAAAGGGTGCACCCAACAGGACCTACTCTTGTCTAATATGTCTTCTCCTCCTTCTTATAACTAAAAATGTAGCCTGGTCAGCCAAATCGATACAGTGCAACTGAATTAAATATTGTAGTAGTAGGTTTTCCTCATGTTTGTCCATGATTGAACTATAGGTAGAAATTATTGCATCCTTTTTTATATCAACAGAATGAGGTCGTACAATTATCGTTGCTAGGACGTAGAAGTATTGTAGTAAGGTCGTACTTAGGACGGCAAGTGCGTAGTAGCAGCACACTATTGTCTTCCTCATCGTAGTATTAATGTATGGCAGTGTCTGCGCGTACCCGCATGCGGGTACGAATAGTCAAATTGCCATTCATAGGCTACGCGTACCCACATGAATGAAACGTGAAATATATACGAAATTTGTCGCAATTAGTGAATAAATTGATTAAAACTACTCAGAATTTTTATAAATATTTATATATAGGTAAGTGAACAGTTTTTCTCAGTTAATAAATATTCTTAAAATGGAAGAGAGTGATATACATGTGGGAAGACATTTCAAAGTTATCATGAATTGGAACTATTTGTTAAGAACTATCAGTCGATTAATTTTATACAATTGTATAAAAGAAACTCGGAGTCAATTGCAGCAGGGACTTTCTATACTATAGTATAGAAAGTCCCTGATTGCAGCTGCAGAGAAAAGAAGAACTGGAAACACAAAAATTAAAGAGGAATCAAGTTATTCTGTTAAAGAATAATATTTTCCTGTATTCACGGTGGCAAAAAATTCCAAACAAGTTCGACAGGAAAAAGACCTAATACAAGGTATTAATATTGTTTAAATTTGCCGCGTTTCATTCATTAGTCAGGTTAATTTTTTTATGTCGAATACTTCTAGTTTTTCTATTGTAATTAAACCGTTCATGATATTAAGGATATGTCTACTTTCAGTACTTTCCAAATGGAATGTCCTTTCCGCTTTAAACTTGGCATAACTAAAGATGGACAAAACCTGATTGTGAGGGAATCACACAGTTCTCAAAATCATGAGATCAATAAATGTTTATTTGACCATCTTGAAAACGGCACATTTTATAATAGTATTAATTTTTATCATGTTTTTCTTTTACAGGGACTGTACAGTTTCATTTTCCATCAGTGTGCATTTAATTTGCAATGTTTATTATGTATCATTATCTAATAAATACAATTTGAAAATATTATTTTTCATACTCTTCACTCATTCTACACGAAATCCCCATAATGTATCAGTATTGAAGTAGAAGCATAGCAAAGACGTAGTGATATCGGGATAGTCGCAGTGAAATCGTAGTAAGATCGCAGCAAAATCTTTTCCATTGGCTTCCTGATTGCACCAAGATTTCCTATACGATGCTTCTACGCCCATCCCATTCTTACTACGTCCTAATTACAACCTTCCTATGCTTCTACTATGACTAGTTTTGGCCAACACTGCACTACAAATTTTTTGAGCATGTTCAAAGATGGTTGTTGACCTCCACGATCATGAAGACCTTGGCACATCCTTACCACAACCACCACGATCTTACTACAACTTCCAAATTTTTTTATAATTTCTGAGGTCGTAGCGGGATCGTGGTACAAGTGTGATGGGGGTATTAGAGAGGAAATGCCTTCTAGACATACATGTATTGTCTAGTGCCTAGCCTTCTCTTTGACCCTCAACTAACCTCAGGACAATCAAGTGTCCATTCTATAGTTTAAACTACCCTACAGGAGCTTCTTTTGAATTGAAACCCATAACCTTTCTTTTATACTCTATTGATCTAGTGCATAATTGTAGAACCTAGAAGTTCACTTATGAAGCTGATATATACATAAATTTAAATACATATGAGAGTTTTAACATCAGACTTTGATGCAAATAAGTCAGGGAATATTGGACTACCTCTTTACATTGGATACAAGTAGAAGTTCAAATCCCCAAAAAGATCACAATTTATATGATAGGTAATTATAAAACTATATATGATTTTCATGGATTTTTGTTTCCTGACAGATCATGTTCACAACAAAAAATTCTGAATTACAATCGCTAAAGTAAAGTTGAAATCCTAATGTTGAAAATATTTGAATGAGTTGGTGGACCTTTATTGAATGTTTGAATGACAGTTAACAAAAAATATATTATAGTAGACAATGGTCCTACTTTTTTTACTTACAGTTAGACATGCAATAGACATTTGTCTAATTCACAGCCAATTTATAGTTTTCACCTTTCAATTGGTTTTAGGGAACTACCATTTGATTTTTATGGGGGTGGGGGTGGCGGCTAGGATGAAAAATTTTGTCCTGCATTTTCTTTTAGTTGCAATCTCTGTCCTGCCTTTTTATTTTTCACTCTATTCGGTCCTGCCTTTTTTTTCATTTACATTTCAGGGATAATGTATATCTTAGGGTTGGCAGGAATAAAAAAGGCATGAAATGTGCATTTTATTTTTTTCCCGAAAATTAGAAAATTTAGGTTGGCGGATCCGTAAACCAACAAATTAAAAAAATCTTGCCTTACCAAGTGATATGTCTTTTTCATACACTGTAACAATTCATTTCTTGCTTCATGCATTAACAGAAACATTTTTCAATGTAACTGGACAGTGATTACTAACGTTTATATCTAGATTAATGAGTAGTACTTTACCATATAATTGAGCAGTTGGGCGTGGTTATGCCTAACGGCAACAGAAAAGAATATCCCAATTTGATTTGATTGGTTAAATCAGTTACAATTTTCAGCTGATCTTTAAAGATAATATTTTTTGACAGTATAACACACCTTGGGTGTCAGGATTGCCCAAAGAAAGCTTCATTTGATCATTCCTGACACCCCTCGATTGTTTATAAGATAATGATGATGGATGGCTGCTTAACGTCCAGCGGCAAATTAGTATGCATATTCAGGACGAGAACATGTTAATGTAATATGAATATTAACCCTTTGTACGAGATCGACACGCTGAGGTGGATTTTTAACGAGCTAGTTCACAAGGTAACAGTCCGCAGGAAGACATGTCACCTTACCCGGACACATTATTCTGACTACGTGCTCACCAGTCTTTGCTCTTACTCCTTAATGCCAGGTGTTTAGCAGAGAAGCAGCAAATACCAATTTTAAAGTCTTTGGTTTTACTCGGCCAGGGGTTCGAACCCACGACCTCCTGCACTAGAGGCAAACATGCTACCATGAGACCACAGAGGTGGTTCTGTGTTATAAGAAAAGAAAAACCTAAAACATGCATCATCTTTAACATAAACTATATTTTGGTAAAGTATTGAAATATTCTATCCAGTTGAATTTAGACCCCATTTACCTTAAAAGGAGTCCAAAGTACAAATAAAGTTGTTATAGTGATTAATTGTTGGCTTAAAATAACATTTATTCACAGAAAAATAATTTTTATTTAACATATTTTTCGCACAAAAAAAGACATGAAAGGAAAAACAAAATAAAGATCTGTAAAGAGAATACCCACTAAATAAAGATCTGTAAAGAGAATACCCACTAAATAAAGATCTGTAAAGAGAATACCCACTAAATAAAGATCTGTAAAGAGAATACCCACTAAATAAAGATCTGTAAAGAGAATACCCACTAAATAAAGATCTGTAAAGAGAATACCCACTAAATAAAGATCTGTAAAGAGAATACCCACTAAATAAAGATCTGTAAAGAGAATACCCACTAAATAAAGATCTGTAAAGAGAATACCCACTAAATAAAGATCTGTAAAGAGAATACCCACTAAATAAAGATCTGTAAAGAGATTACCCACTAAATATTTGGAATTAATACTATTGCACAACTTTAAAACTATAAGAACAACATATTTACATTAACAAGAAATAAATAAATATAACATTTCATATAAGGAATGATAATCAACAAGTGTTTTAATAATTTCAATAATTAATAACTAATAATTTCTAACTGGAATTCATGCATCTTATCATATATAACAGTATGATCAGGAACAAACAAACATAGACACATTTATCATAATTTGTAAGTTATATATATGCAAGTAAAACAGTAAAATTTGCATGAATGGTATTTGCATTTTTTATAGCTTTAAACGTAAATCTGCATACACACATTGAATAGCATATAGATATAATAATATTGGGGATGTCAACGAGTATTCGAGTACTCGAGTATTGCTCGGTAGTACTGAGTATCGAATACCAAAATGATACTCAACTAATCATTTTTTTGTTAGAATGTTGTTTCCTTCCTAAAGAATTTTTTTTTTTTATTATTAAGAGTGCCTCCCAGGAAATTAAATATCAATCTAAATAAAAATACGTTTGGAATGTTTGCGTTTAATTGTCATTTAAAATTATCTCATGCGCTATGAACAAGAGCACCTTTCCAAGGCCTACACTTTTAGCTAATCGTGTCCTAGTCATTCTACCACGGTGACCTCTACCGCCAGAGCAAATATTTTCATCAGCAGGACTGTTAAATAAGTAACAAAGTTGATATATTGTATTGTCCCAGTAAAAGTTGACAAGATAATATTTCTAAATAAGAACAGATTCGTTGCACCCTGTGTCGACCCTCAGAGAATGGTTAAAGTTCTAATCATCACCGCTTTGTTGATCATAAATGTGTTTCTTTACGATTCCCAAATACTGTTGTTTAAGTAATCAATTTTCTATAGATATTTATTAATTAATTAATTAGATTATTGCCTGCTAACATAATTAGTACATGTAGTAAATGAACTATTAATTATGGTATAAAATTCCTGGGACTATTATCTAGTCCAAGGTACTAATGTTGAGGGTTTTACGTCCATAAGACAACTCCCCACAATCCATAAATTGGGTTTAATTTTGTGTTTCCATTTTGTATATGTTTTTCCGAGCAAGTACTCGAGTATCGCTCGGTAAATCCAACGAGTACTCGATTAGTAAATCTTCACCGAGTTGACATCCCTAAATAATATAAATGTTAGTTACTCTGTATTGACATATTTCCCTATTGTTAACAATGTCAGACACACATACAACAATACTATCACACATGGCTGAAGCCAAACAAAACGTTGTATTTTAGGTTTCCATCCTAAATACGATAGAAAAAAATTTATCTTGCTGATTTTTTTTTTACCTTGAATGACTTTGTTCTAATTTACTAAAAAAATGGCTTCTTAACAGTTCATTATTGAAAGTATCTATAAAAAAATTTATGATAGGTCACGGTCGTAGCGCACCCCTAAAGGAATTGAGGCAAAGGGGGTCTGGGACGAAAAAAAAAATCGTTATATTGAACTGTTAACTTGCTTTTTCCTGCCAGGAAACTAAAGGAACGGTTGGTGCATTTATAATAAGAAATAACATGAAATTATGTGTTTATTTCTAACTACTAAGTCTATCACCATCAATTGCAGTTCGTTCCAAGGTTTTTCTTTCACAAGAGAGTGGGTCAATGACAGAATAAGAAGAATTTCTAATACAATAAAAACTTAGTATATAAGTCTCTGTCATCAAGATTTATTGTTTCTTGAAGACTTCCTACATCATCTCGCATTGGTATTATCTTGTTTCACTTGTGACTAATCTATCGTATCCTTGTGACTAATCTATCGTATCCAGTTTTTACCCATCTTACAAGAAAATAAAGTTACAAATAAAATTGAGAATGGAAATTGGGAATGTGTCAAAGAGACAACAAAACGAACAAAGAGCAGAAAAAAACCGAAGGCCAACAATGAGTCTTCAACACAGCGATAAAATCCTGCACCCGGAGGCGGGCTTCAGCTGGCCTCTAATCAAAAATGTGTACTAGTTCAGTGAAAATGGACGTCATACTCAACTCTAAAACATATAAATGAGCTAAAATTAAAAAAAACATACAAGACTAACAAAGGCCAGAGGCTCCTGACTTGGGACAGGCGCAAAATTGTGGCGGGGTTAAACATGTTTTGTGAGACTTCAACCCTCCCCCTATACTTCTAGCCAATGTAGAATAAACAAACACACACTGAATCCGATAAATCTTTTAAACAATCTTAGTTAACTCTGGAAATTCAAATTTTTATTGCAACCTTGAGGAGTGTAAAATGCAAGAACGAGATTTAAATGAAACTGTTGATTCATGAATTTGAGCTAGAGATACATGTATGAAGGAATTTGCAGAGACGTTGATATTCGATATTCTATAGCTTGGGGCGATGACTTTCTGTTAATTTAAACCTTCTGGTCAATGTGATAAAAATTATTTGAAGTAAATGTTTATAAAAGACTACCTGTATGTGGTTTGCAAGAATAAATTAGCAATTGAGTAATAAATTGAATAAGAGATGATTTAGTTTTCTGAACAAAATATGTGAGTCTTCTAAGTAAGATAAAATTGAGAATGGAAATGGGGAATGTGTCAAAGAGACAACAACCCGACCATAGAGCAGACAACAGCCGAAGGCAGAAGATGTATGTCGCCTGCCATCTCATTTTTTAGCAGAACTGGCAAAGTCTATGCTTTTGGTTTTGGTATGGTAACCCATAAAGATCACTTAGATCAAAAGTAACTATAGCTAGTGCACAACTGCATGTCCTTTAGCAAATGCTGTTTAATTTTGTTAGAATTTCGTTCATCTGTTTTAAAGGAGATTCGGATCAACAAAGTGTGACGCGGACGAATCAGCGACAGAAGAGATGTCTGTGTCGCTATGTACAGCTTTGTTGTCAGTATGCATAACACACGCTGTATTCAAAAGCGCAAACTACGACAGCTTTGTAACAAATCATTTAATTCAATGTTTAGATCAGTATTCCTCATATAGGTGATCTTTTCAAAAACATTTTTTTTTCAATTTCTCAGGCCTGATTAAAATAATATCTACTTCCTTTTGTCTGTCAGGCAATCGTGTAAGAAATAAAATATCCCCTTCCTGCATTTTGGTGAATTTTCCAAAGGAAGTAGATTACACATATGAAGGCGAATTTGTTCGAACAAACAAGTTGTTTTAAGTAAACATTTGAGGTTTCAAACTTGTTCTATATATTCAAAAGGTAGGTTGCAATTGCCTGTGTACAAATTAATTCAGATTAAATGTTTCCTTAATATGAAAGTCTTCAAATCTGTTTCATTTTCTTTAAAAAATAGATACAAGTAAGGAATTTGAAGAATAATTTCCAAACAGTCGTACAAAACGAAATCCATAAATGTCTTCATTTCACACAACAAATTCGTCAAATGTATGTCAACTTTTTTAAAACATCTAATCAGTTCACGTATTGCACAACTTTTTAATGAGAGCAAATTGTCTAATGTGTGGATAAAGCTCTAATCGTTGCCGCCGAATGGAAAAGCACTGTGATAAATGATAATGGTGTATTGCTTGAACCTCACATATTGATAATTTAAAATGCCAAATTTTGCAGAAAATAGATGTTTCTCAAGTTTGATCGTCGTTTTAAAAGTGAGGCGTTTGCCTCATTTGCCTCCATTACGCTACAGCCTTGTAGGTATATGTATATAGAGTGGTTTGGAAAACCACATACACACTTATTTTTTTCTTTTGGCCTCATCAAATAAAGAGTCTCCCAAATGATACTGCAATTTCCTAATGGATCTGGTCATCACATTTGCTAAAGCATAAAATGTAGATGAAATGTGAGTAGTCTATTTACCTATATTTGAGCTATGTCTATATTAACTGATGAACATTTATTGCTCTATACCCCTATGATGTAAGATTACCCACTATACTGCACAAGTACATGTATAATCAAATGCTGTGCAATTTTTTATATAATCTAAAACTAATCAACTTGAGATTCATTACTGAGAAAAGAACCCATTTCCCTTTAATAATTATAAAAAGCCTAAAAACAGTCTGAAAATAATAAGCATTTATAAATACTTGTCAAGTTGAGGAATTTTCAGTTAACCTAAACAGAGAATGTACATGTTTGGTTTAAATAGGTCATGCAAATTCACCAAAATAAAATTCTTATCATTATAAGTCATATTTTATTTTTCAGAATCTTAGGTTGCACAAAATGTAAATATATCCGCAGGCTTGATGTCAAGTAAAGTAGGATTTGTCAAATTACTAGCAAAAAAGGAAATTTCTGTAATATTTCAGCTAAATTAATATTGACATTTTTTTTGCCAGCTGTTTTCACACAAATTACCCTTCCTATCTTTTTGGGCAAGGTATTTGATAGCATACTACTTCTCATCATGTGTGGGCAAAACAATGAGATTTGGCCTGTTAATTTTTTACTAATCTAACTACCATCTCATGTCTGAATGACCCATTAAAAGATTCAAAGACCAATTTTAAACAATAAATGCAATTTCATTTAAAAGTGCATAGATTCAACATTTAATTCTGAAAATTGGAGAAAAACTATTTTTTCTTGCTTCCATTGCCAACTTGAACCCAAATATTACCATCTCCTTTGTAAAATTTTAAGAGAAGACATGAACTTACACCTGTAGTGGTGACATGCTATAGTCGTTTATTCAGGCAACTATCATTAAATACCTTACAACAAACACTGCTTTTAATCACATGTTAATGGATAGAAGCAGCTTAAATGACCCTGTAAGACAAAGAGTAAACTAAATGTGTTGGAAAACATTAATTAACCACTTGCAAATTTTCAAAGTCCAAAGACCGTAATTTCGACAAAAATCAGTGAAACAGAACCAAACATATACTCATTCTGTAACTCATCATAGTGGACTCACATATTAAAAATCAGCATAACATTTGAAGGCGTTTAGATAAAAAGTTGGTATAACTGTTATTTTCACCAAATTTTCAAAGTCCAAAAACCCGTAATTTGGGCAAAAAAATAGCAGAGCTAAACCAAACTTAAACACTATCTGTAACTCGTCATAGTAGACTCACTTACTAAAAATCCGCTTACTATGTGAAGGCGTTTAGAAAAAAGTCTGTATAACTGTTCATTGCAGAATGACAGAATGACATATACAGGTAAATTATATGGCCCCGACCTTTCTGTGGCGGGGCCATAAAAATAATCTCAACCATGCCTTGTGTTATATAGCAACTATGTTAAGGAATGTAGAACAGAATGTTTTCTTAAGAAAATAAATCTAATATATACAAAATAAAAATAAATCTCATTATGAAAAATTTCCTAGACTTTTACAGCATTGCATTTTCTACGTAGTACTTAAACTAAGGAGGAGGCATAATAAGAGCCTTTATCTGGCGTCTGAAATTGCTATAATTTTCAAATTCTTCAATCCTTTTAAAGTAGGTTAATATTATTGATAAACCAATTGGATAGTTTTATCTGGAAACCTTAGTACAGAAAGGTCAGTTGTGTTGACACTTTTTTTATAAACTTGTGGAAATTGAAATAGTTGACCTAAAAAGGCTATTTTACACATAGTTTTTTGGAAATATTAGATATGAGCCAAATCCTTACACAAAAAGATAATTTACAGACATAAACATCCTAGCATAGACATCTTGTAGCAAAATATCTTTTTGGGAAGGCTATGGCTCATATCTGTATATTAATGATAAGAAATCTTAAAAAAATTTCATCAAAGTGTTTTCATGTTAATAAACGGACACTGTTTGGCAGCCAGCCACCCGCCTGACATCCCCAAATCAATAAACGATTTTCCTTCAAAAGCCCTGAACAAATATTCAAAACAAAATTAAAATAAAAATATACTGACATCTGACAGACTGTCTAATGAACACCTAATGTATGGTGTCAGATAAATTAATAATACTTTTCGATTTTTGAATTCAAGAGACCAAAAATGTGGTCTCATCATGCCTTCTCCTTTTATCTTGACTCTAGACCCTATTGATATCATGTTATACAGTCAATCATTACACCAATACGATGTACCCATTGTCCCAATGCTTCACGTAGACGCCTGTCTTCTGCATGACATACTAACTGATTTACACAGTAAAATATTGCAGGTTGAAGAAGTCTGAATTTGACATCTGGTTGTTGCTGGAACAGTCCTAAAGTAGTACAAAGTAACTCTGTCCAAGACTGAATTCTAGCCTCACTGTCCTAAAAAAATATATCACAAAAATATAAACTATTAACCATGTTTATTTCTTACATCTGCAATATCTGAACTTTTCTGAAAATGTACATTTAATTATAACATGAAATTTGTTTCTTGAAAACAAATGTTTCATTTAAATTTATAAATTTTAATGACAACTTACTCTGCAATTATGTATGGAATCATTCAAACTTACAAGCTTAGAACTATGGAAACATTGAACAGTCTGCAACTGTCTTCAACATGTATGGATGGATGAATGGATATTTCACTCAAAGTAGGCAATCTTTTAACCCTATTCAGAATGAGAACTTGTTGAGCCCTGCTTTGTTCAAGATCAGCACACTTCTTTTGACTTTTAACTTGCTAGTGGCAAAAATTACACCCACATTTAGAATGACTGTCTTTCTGGAACTTGACTGTAAGTGTTACACACTTCCTATTGAGGTTCAGTTAAAAATCTGGCCCAATTGCAGTTTGGTTCATTAAATCAAACTGTTGAACAGGTCAGAACTTTTACCAAACGGATCTAGAAGAGTCAGTACAGGTGGAAGAAAAAGCATACTTACAATCATATAAGATTTGATATCCACTGTCTTAACATTATGACAGCTACATTTCATATATTTAATAAAAATTTGAGATAAGATAGACCAAGCCCTTTCTGAAATGCTACACCTGGTTCTTAATTTATAAAACTACAATTGCTTTATAAATTTTTATCTTAACCTACAAAGTTACCTATGCACACCAAAAGTATAGCAAACTGTCCTAACATGTTGATAAAATAAAAGTACCTTGCTATACTATGAAATGTTGACATATTATAAGGATTTTTTATTTTATTTACAGAAATGAGCTGTTAAATTAACAGCAAAACAGTTTTTCTGTATTGTGAAGGTTACCATCGATGAACTTAATAAGAGGTCATGTAGTGTGAAATGAATTTCCATTTTGTTATTAGTTACAAAATATTAAAATTTGGTTGAACAGTTATTGCACAGAAAAAAGCTGAAGGAATGCCTTCCCATCCCTTTCAGATAACCATGTTAAAATTTTCAGCATACAATAAGTCTCCACTTTCAAGCACATTTCTACTTATCCAGAATACAATTCAATATTTTCTAATCAAGATTGTACAAAAGTACCATTTTTTGTATGACTTTTATAAAATTTCTGTTGATTCAATCAGAAATAAATTCTTAATGGAATCAAATTGCATATTTTGATATCAATGTTGATCTCCATAAATGATTCTTAATTTTAACCGACATTATCTTTTCAAAAGTAAGATACAGACAATGGCTGATTAACAAAGTTCATTTGTAAAAAAAATATTTGCTATTTGGAAAATCTTACCTTCATTATAGATGATTTCCTCTGCTTAGCAATTGACTCATCCACACTTTCAGTCCTTTTTAGGATTGGTTTTGGCTTTTTTTCCTTAGATATTTTGATAAATGCTGGCATGGCGTGATGCTGTTTACGTTTTTTATACTCTGTCATTAGTGATTTGATGAGTGTATCAGTAGCTAAAGTGTATACTTTACTCTCATGTTCTTCCCGTATTTCTCGTTTACTCTTTGTGGCATTTTTTGACATAACAGAGACAGTGTCAGAGCTGTCATCTTTCATCTCTTCAGAGAAAACATCTGTAGTCTCACAGATCTCTGTAAACAAACAAAATCAATTTACTTTTAAATTACATTTTTTTGGCAAATCTATGTACATGTGTTTTATTTGTATTTAAGCTTAAACTAAATTGATATCAACCTTACTTACTATATAAATTAATTTCACTTATCCAGTATCCTACTTACCCTGTAATGTCACATCTTTAGTGGTGACTATACAATCTTGTGACGTCTCTGATTCTGATCGGGACTTCTTTTTGTTTTTTACAAAATTTGTTGAGAAGTCATCAGGTTGTGCTATGATGAAAAAAACTTGTTGTTCTGACATTTGGTCGACACGAACAGACGTCTCATCTGACAGAATATCTACGTAGGTGTGACATAATTCATCACAGACGCTCCTCAGTAATTGCAGAAATAATGTTGGACATGACTCCATCTTGCTTTGATTTGTCAAGTATTCTGATTCTAACTGATTGACATCCTTAAGAACCTGCTCAGCACCAGTGATACATTTTATGTGGTTACTACTCAGATCTGGTATAGTAATACAAATCTGTAGCAATGTGTGTAGATAGAAGACCATTGATGCCCCTGCCTGTTTGTATAGATTAACTGCCACTTCTGTCCGAGCTACTTTCTGTATCAGAAACTTTAGTCCAGGGCGAGAATCAAATTCTGCAGCAAGCTTATATGACTGTCGTAAACACTGCAGAAATTTGATAATATTACGTATGGATAAACTTGGCAGCAGACCTAGAAGACAAACAATTCACAGTAATAATATATTTATTGCTATCATTGTGCTGTTTTGTGGGATTCTCTATATCAATATTGTTGTCAATGGTGAAAACTAATTCAAAGACAAGTACATGGTTAACTATTATTAATTTTTCAGTTTAATTAACATTATAGTCTAAGACCATTCAAATACTTATACAAAATTTGTCATGTAATTTTTTATATCATTGACTGTGTGCTTTTCCTAATAAGGTACCTTTGTCAGTGGTTGTCATATCTAAATGTTTTTGTTAAGGATGTTCGCTCCTCTTGTTTTTGAATTTTTGCCAGATATTCGGAATCCTCTGGTTTTATCCATGTAGAGCCATTAAAAAATTTGCCCACTAACCCCTACTTTTCTTTTCATAATTTGATTACATATAGTTTAAAATGTCATCTTTGAAAATCTTATAAAATCCTTGTTATTTTTTCATCTTTTTTGAAAGAAAAAAGATGTCAATGTTTATTAAATGTACGGAAAAACTAGAGAGAAGTATTTCCCGCCATATTTTCAATGGCTTATATCTCGAAAACAAGCACATGGACCCTTCATTTTTTTCTGCTTTTTAAGTTCCTTTATTTATATACTATCAATTTATAACAGTCTTTTAAAAAGCTTGTTATTTTGAAACAAAGTAGCGAACATCCTTAATTAGGAAATTTGGTGTTGATGGTAGATCTTTCATAAGTTTCCATTAAATCTATTCCCAGCTTTTATTAGACTTGGAGTGATTTAGAGCTTGCCATATTGTATATATACCTTTCTTTAATATTTGTTTCTTAAGAGTGCTGTCTCATTGACAGCTTTACCGTAATCGGCCTTGTATAGTTCGCACTGGTACACTGTACCTTCTCGCCAGGAGAATTCAGGTAAAAAAGCTTTTTGAAACTGTTAAAAAAGTCTAATGAAAGTCCGGTAATTTCCAATAGTGTGTGATTGTTTGCGGTATTTTCATGGAAAAATCTGTTTTCAATCACCAAATAGAAGTTGAAAATGCTTGTAAATGATCCTAGAACACTTCATGAGATAAAACAAGTCAAAATCACAAAAAAAAACAATTGAGAAACTTGTGTTTGTTTAAACCGGAAGTTTGAATAGCACGTGTAAATGGAAATAAATACAGTGAGAGTGTATGGAAAATGCGTACTTAATAGATATCACTGGAATACGACTTTGAGATTTAAACAGATTTTAACTTATGTAAAATAATGTTTAACATATCCATCACATAAATGTTTGAAGGATCTTAAGCTAAAACAAAACACATGCGTCAGTATGGAACACCAAAATGGAACGAATAACTGATTATGTTTTGTAGTTTATACATTGTAATGCATAAGCTGGTTCCCGGCTGACTTGTACACTTTTTTTGTTCCGTTAAATTCAAGCGGATTCCATTTTATTGATGCAATGCAGTGAAAAGAAACAAGAAATTTGTAATGAAGTATTTAATTTTGTTATTTATCAGTTTATATTTGATATTGAATAAAAGTTGCATATTAATATGGATTAGGTAAATTATTAGTTTTGAAAATGATAAGAGTGCCCTCTACAATTTCAATAACAAACATGGCGGAATATAAACATATCTCGCAGATTCGGAATTTTTCTCTTATTTCTTGCTTATCGTACTCTATAATCAACATCTCTGCATGGGAGGTTTTTTCTTGGAGAATAAAACCGCAGGCCTCTACAATAACTTTTTTTCCAACTTGTCCAGTAGGACAAGTACATACCAAAACTTACTTGTCCGAATGAAATTGTAACTTGTCCAACAAAAATCTTAGTAATAACCTTTTTTGCATTTTAAGTTGATTCAAGGAACAAAATGAATTAAAACAATAGAACAGAATTTGATTTTTATCTTTTGAAATACCTTTTAAAAATATGAGTCGAGAACAACTGAATCTAGTCATGTCACAGGACTTATGTTCTAGTTTTCATCAATGCCAAAGTCTCATCAGACTCTACACATGAGGCACCGTCTGATAGGCTTGTCAATTTCCACTCATTGGATTTGTATCCTGGTTTTTTAAGTTGAAAAAAGCTTATTCAAATTCAATCAATAAAAAAAAAAGAAGATGAGGTATGATTGCCAATGAGACAACTCTCTGCAAGAGACCAAATGACACAGAAATTAATAGCTATAGGTCACCGTATTGCAAGTATTGTTTTTTTCTTCTATATATGATCAAATATGATTTGGGAATTTTATGGTAAATAATTTCTTCATTTTTATCTAAAAAATATTTTTGTTAAACAAATTACGGTATGGTATTTATTATAAAGCAACAGAATAAGGTAGGAAAACCAGGTACTGATTTGTCTTGGTCCCGAAATGTCTCCTGTCTCCTGCGTTGCCAAACTGTCTATTAATCATGTCTATTAAATATGTCTCCTATGGTGCCAAACTGTCTATTAAACTTGGAGCCGAATCGTTTCAGAGCTGGTGACGAACTGTCTTGTAAAGTTACCTTATCTACAAAGCGCATCGCTGATTCGGATCAGTAAGACTGGTTTCCAAGAATAGTATGCCTTTTACCTGTTAAAAAGTACCTGACAAAGAACCAGTTTTAAATTATTGATTGCAAGTAAACATGTTGAATTAATACTTGACTGTGTTTATCTTCTTTTCTTGTTTTTTGTTTATAATGACTTTGTTCATCAAAGTTAGATTAAATTTATTTTCTGCATAATAATTTAACTTGTCCCGTGGGACAAGCTTGGTGTAGCTTTTACTTGTCCGACCTTTTTTTCCTCTGGTACCGGACAATCGGACAAGCGTTATTGTAGAGCCCTGAACCATGGACTATACAAGCCTGAATTCCGTAACCCCATATCACTTTTTCCTCGTACACACATAAGGTTTTGAGGTAAACAACAACTAAAACTTTACAGCTTCACTCATTGATCAACTTTTGTCACCTCTACAGCTCTCCTTCAAGTAAATTATAAGTCAAGCCTACATTCATGTGATATCTCATACAGTAAGAAGAAATTATTTGGTCTGTATCTAAGTAACTTTATATAAAATAGTATTTCTAAGAATCATGAAGTGGATGAATGCTAAAACATATTGATCTGACTACACAAATATAACATAGGATATTAAATTAACCTAGAACAATCATTTGTTTTCTTAATATTTGGACTTTTATCAAAATGATCTATAGAAATCACTGTAAACAGTAAAATCAAGGGAGACAACTCTTCCTAAATCATGTAATTAACTCTCACTCTGTGGTATATTTTCCACTAATGTGATGTATATCAGAATCAATTATCATTGCTTGTTATTAAGCATCCCTTCATGTTTTTATTGGTGGAAAATTGTTATGCACAGTTAATTTTTAAACAAAAACATTTATTAAAGCTGGTATATAGGGATTTCAAGCTATAAGTTCACAATAAAAACCATTGGTAGGAATTGTACAAATGGTATATCTTTATATATTAAATTATTTATTGAAAATAAAAATTTCACATAAGACTTTATTGTCATGATTTCAAGCTATTGGATCACATTAAACATCAATAGTAGGAATTTTCAAAGCTATGTATATATGGTATATCTTTATATATTTATGGAAAATAAGATTCACGAAAGACATGGAAAATTGTGTTACCTTTATAATTCTCATTAGCCTTGCGTCCAGATGTGTTTTCTGCACAAAGTAAAATGCTTCCAACAGTCTGTAACAGTAGCTGATTTGACAGTAATCCTATAACAATATTCCTGAATGGAATCCTGAAATAAACAGTTTGTTATATCTTAATGATACTTAATCATATAATTGTATTACATTAACATTTTGACTGTTAAAATGATCTGTAAATCAGCTGTTTAAAGCTACTTTTGCAAGGCAACATTTTCTGACAGTTGGGACAGCAGTGATTTATTGACTTCCTGCTTACATGTGATCTGACTTTGGGGTATTGATCTGCTGACAACTTGAATGCATTCAGTCACCAAAAAATATATTTATAATGCGAAAGAAAAAGTTACATTTACATTGTGTATTCTTTGAGAACAGTTATACATCTTTTGTTCAGCAATGAATGATATAATTTGTAAGAAGATCTTACCAGTTGTATATTTAGTTTATTGATTCCTTCAATATCATTATGGTTACCAGCAACTGTCAAGATTAGGAACAGTAATTAAAGTTTAGTCCCGTTGATAAAGTGATTATTTCAAAGTATTTCATGCAATATTGTCTCATGTACACCCATGTTCTTTCTTTTCCAAGTTTTCCTTTTTTATATTTTAAAAATATCCTTTACCAACTAAAACTGACGATGATCCTAATTAGTGTTATAAAAATGGGGAAAAGATACAAAGGGAGCATGTGAGGTAAAGAAATTAAATAAGGTATAATACAAAACTATTTGTTAGTTCTTTGAATTCCCTCAATTTTCACATTCAAATTAATTAAATGTTCTTTGTGGGTTGCAGTGGATATTAATAAATAATGATAAATTCTTCTGGATTTGGACTATTTATATTACCAATTTTCTTATTTCCTTTTTCACTTCATAGCATGAAGAAAGTAAATATCTAATAAGATAATTTCCTGTAACTATCCTGTTGGTAGTTCTTTTTTAATAACTTTTCATTGGTTGTTATGTAAACTAGTTTAGATACAAGAAAAATCTAAAAGTTCTCTTCTGTGGGTATTTTCAATTGAAAACAAAAAGTGATTAAATCCTCATTATGCACGAAAAACTTAAAATTACCTGGTAACAATATCATCAGGATTAAGACTGTTTTATTACCTGGTAACAATATCATCAGGATTAAGACTGTTTTCATCTCCAGGTTTATACAGCAAAAATACAAAGGACTTGTCTGCTTCACTCTCTGAGTCAGGATCAACATCTCTCTTTATCTGGGTGTCCAATAAAAATACCTGAAAAAAGCAAATATCACAAATTAACACGGTTTTATTAAGAACTAGAGGCTCTCAAGAGCCTGTGTCGCTCACCTGATTCTACTTTGGTTTTGGAAATCATGTAAAAATAGATTAAAATCATAACAGATACCCTAATAATGAGCAAGGCCAAATTTGGTTTAATATTGGTCCTGTAATTTAATAAAAAATCCTGGTGGCCACCTTGAACAGTCAATCGGCAACAAAGTACCAACACTTAATCAGCACCTCATAAGAAACATTTATGCCATGTTTTGGTTTCATTCTTTTCAGTGCACCTCTAGAAGAAGCATTTGTATGTATTTCCCATAGGGTCTTATGTTAAAGGAAGTCCCCCCCATTGGCGGCCATCATTGATGAAGGATCAGCTTCAAAGTAACAAAACTTAGTCAGCACCTCATAAGGAACATTCATGCCATGTTTGGTTTCAATCCATTCAGTATGTGGTTCTCTAAAAGAAGACATTTGTATGTATTGTCCATAGGGTCCTTTGTTAAACATTGTTCCCATCTGGCAGCCATCATGGATGAAGGATCAGCTTCAAAGTAACAACACTTGGTCAGCACCTCAAAAGGAACATGCATGCCATGTTTGGTTTCATTCCATTCAATTGTTCTCTAAAAGAAGACATTTGTATGTATTTCCCATAGGGTCCAATGTTAAACTAAGTCCCCTGCTCGCGGCCATCTTGGATTATGGATTGGCTTCATAGTAACAACACTTGGTCAGCACCTCATAAGGAACATTCATGCCATGTTTGGTTTCATTCCATTCATTGGTTCTCTAAAAGAAGACATTTGTATGTATTTCACATAGGGTCCCATGTTAAACTAAGTCCCCCGCTGGCGGCCATCTTGGATTATGGATCAGCTTCAAAGTAACAACACTCGGTCAGCACCTCATAAGGAACATTCATACCATGTTTGGTTTCATTCCATTCAGAAGAAATAAAATAACAGTAAGAAAAAAAAATTGTATAAGAAAAAAAATTGAATCATAATTTCCTGTCGATATGCACATCTGCATAGTATGTCCTTATTATCTAAATAGGTTTAATGAAATTCTGTTGTGTGGTTTCAGAGGAGTTGCGATGACAATCTGTTGCAGTAGTATAATGAAGCAAATAAGTTCAAAGGGGCGTAACTCCTAGAAAAAAAAATTGAATCGTAATTTCCTGTCAATATGCACATCTGCATAGTATGTCCTTATTATCTAAAAAGGTTTCATGAAATTCTGTTGTCTGGTTTCAGAGGAGTTGCGATGACAAACTGTTGCAGTAGTATAATGAAGCAAATAAGTTCAAAGGGGCGTAACTCCTAGAAAAAAAATTGAATCGTAATTTCCTGTCAATATGCACATCTGCATAGTATGTCCTTATTATCTAAAAAGGTTTCATGAAATTCTGTTGTCTGGTTTCAGAGGAGTTGCGATGACAAACTGTTGCAGTAGTATATTGAAGCAAATAAGTTCAAAGGGGCGTAACTCCTAGAAAAAAAATTGAATCGTAATTTCCTGTCGATATGCACATCTACGTAGTATGTCCTTATTATCTGAAAAGGTTTCATGAAATTCTGTTGTGTGGTTTGAGAGGAGTTGCGATGACAAGAAACAGGACTGACAGACTGACGGACAGACGGACGGACAGACGGATGGGTCAAAAACATTATACCCTCCGCAACTCGTTGCGTGGGGTATAATAATTTAATTACCATGCTGTCACACCAAATTATAATTATTTTTTATTTATATTATAATATATATATATATATACGTCCAAACATGTGACAACTTTATGACAGACCCTCTCCATCAGATAGCACGTGGTTATACAGGGCTAACACCATAATATACTAGTATATATAATTCGTCTCAAATTTAGCCCAACAATGTTAGATCTGTAAATTTGCGTTTCGCAAATTTATGTTCTTCCCTCAGCTGGATTTGAACCCTTGCTTCTGTGACATCGTGGCAACACTATAATAATGTTGCACACTTTTTGGAATAAGTCTTTTACATCTAAAATTGTGAGAGTTATAACATGAAAATAATGGGTACCAATGCTTCACCATTTTCTGATACCACAAAAAATCTTGCTTGGTGTATGCTTCTTCATTTTTGAGAAATTTCAGAAACAAAACTTTTACTTAGTGGGGTTTAATTATTTTGTCTCAGGCAAATAAGTATTTTTATCCTTTTAGAAAATGCTTAAACAATAATTTCCAATAAATTTTATTAAAAAAAAAAAACATTATTAGAAAAACATGAAATAGTTCTGAATGGATTAGCTAATTTTCGTGTATAAGTAGTTTGGTTACTAATCTAAGGAACTATCATTTTAGAAAGATTAAATAAAGATTATTCTAATAATTAGCATTTTCAGTATTAGATAATATTGTCTTTATGCAATTAAATTTTAATTATCAAGCATGTCATTATGTGACTCTAATATAAAATTATGCAAGTCTGATACTCATATTACATGTGTTAAAGTAGACTCAGTATAAGTCTACAAAATCCACAAAAATGAATGAATTAGTACTGAATTTCCTAAAATGCTTATCAATCCTTTGATGTAAATTAAATGTTCTTAAATTTGATTATTAAAGGGAAACTTCGCAAAAAAATGAAAAATTCATATTCTGTTCATTATGTATAAAAAAGCACAAATTCATAGATATTAAAGTTTTATTCTGCAAGTTAAGAGATCACCATCGATTTTAAATTTAGAGTATCAATTCTCCGCATGCGGCCATTTTGACATCCTCCCCGAATATTGACCTCGATATATCTATAAACCACAAAGGACCAAAACAAGCAGTAACCTAACGTAGCCGTCATTGAGTGTCGATATCTTGTCAAGCGTACGGTTGTTTTATCCGACAAGGATAGCATAAACAGTTTCCCGGGTCACAAAAAAGATTATGATAGACATGGTTGTGCAACCTTTCCTAACTAACTTGATACGGAAAATGTAATTTTATATATATTATTTTTTAAATAACTAGTACAAATAGTATGGTCTGTCATTTTGAAACTGTTTTGTTTACGAAGTATTTAAAACAAGAAATTGAAATTAGTTAAAAAGTCAAAGTTATAAATAAGTGTTCCGTGTAAAATTGTTTTTGAAAATCTAGTTTGTTCATAATTGTTTTATGTAATAAACTTTTTAAAATAAATTCGGACCTTCCCTTATCTGATCACCAGAATGGCTAAAGGAATTGTTCCCAGAGGTATTGTGAGGTGACACGTACAGGTATTCAAGCGATTTCCTGTCGGGCTTTAAAACTGTTATTACACAATTACATAAAACAAGTTCGTGCATCACTTCTTTTCTGGGGGTATTGATCAGTGTACACGGCCGATAACATGTAACTTCCATTTTGAATCTATCAGGTGTAATATACAACTTTGTATAGCGTATCCGATAGTGATATACTAGTCATTGCTAAACTCATACGCTTGTTTATAAATAACATTTTTGGTGTAAAGAATGATATTTAAGAAAATTTAAATAATTAAAAAAAAAAGATTTGATGAAATAAAAATCTATTTACACATTTTCCAAGGGTAAATTGGGGAAAATGTAAGTATATACTCGTTGTCAATAATTATGGACATTTTGAAACATACAAATATTGATTAAACAAAATGTGCGGCACTTGTCGATCATTGGTTTATACGCCTAGATGGAAGGTTTAATACGGAACTATGAATAGTCGCAATATAGAACTAATATCATACAAGTATATTGAATATACGAGAGAAACATCCAGAACTAATCTGATTTAAATACAGGTCGATTTCTAACTTGCTTTGGTTCATCGAAGCTAAAGACATAGTAAAATCACAGATTTATATTTCAATAAGATTATTTCGAACAGTTTAAGAAATTCGTCATCATCACATTTTCCTGGTCCGACATGCATGTTATATATATATGCCACTGGACGTGCACTAATGATCCCCAAAAGCCTATTTGAAGAAATAAAGAAACTTCACTCCGGATAGACTGATGGTAGTTGTATTAACGTCTGGTCAGCTAGAGGGTTGATTTATATATTTAGTTAGCTTGTAGGGGATTTAACCACTCTTAATATTGCACTTATGCATTAGATATTAAATGACAGTACCGGTAATATAAGAGAAAATATAAATACGAAAAGTCGCATATCTGATAGAAAATGACTCACCATGAACTATAGGATTGTACGTACGATTGTCATTCTAAATCGCATAACGGACAGTCATTTAAATGCATGCATGTACGCTGTGATAAAAAGGGGTGTCGCAGTTTCAAAGTATTCTGAGGTCATGTCTATCTATCTATGATTAACCTTGACATTTCCGGGTATAACAGAGCTACTTGTATATTACCTGAATGTGGTTAGGTGACGTCCCATGACGTCTTACGTATACATGTTCATATTTATAATGGTTTCTGATATAACAATTAGGTTTTATAACATTCACACTTCTGCATGTTCTGTATACCAAATTCGTATCTTTTTTTCAGACCGAATGAGGATGTGAATATTTTCCAGGATCAAATTCATTTCGGGATTTTTTTTATTTCTTTGTATTAAATCTCAGAAATTTACAGAATATACTGCTTGCCCGCTTTAGGAGTTTTCTTGTCAGTTTAAACAGACGTATATATGTCTCTGGTTTAGAGTGGGTTTATGAATGAATGATAAGTCTTACAAAGGTACAAGATATCAAGCACATTGAAAATTGATTTCGCTGTTCTGTCACCATTTAAAAAAGGAAAGTTGACGTTAGATTGATTCTGTTAATTTTTTTTAAACATCGTTGGTCAAATAGCTTAAGAATTATATAAATACGTTGTGAGATTTATAATATTTTAATAAGGGCATTTCTGATTAGGTAAATGAAGATCGCTTTGGACGACAAAACTATATTTTTGTAACTGATAATTTTCTCTGCACATTTAAATATTCAAGGTTACCGATGATAATTTAAAATAGTACTGTTTTGATTTATACGCTCGTTTTCGTGGGCCATTTATAATATTTATATAATTATTTTATTAAAAGTGATTCAGAATTTCGATGTTACAACAAAATACTCACCTATTTATTTAAAAACTGAGCAAATGCAAAATGTTAAAAATATATATATATAACGGCGATTAAGGTATTTTGCCACCATATTCCTCCCTTAATAATTAAAAAAAATCTGTCTCATACCTGCAACGGTGAATCCTTGAGGACAAACACCACTCTAGTGAAGATCAAAGGATTAAAATTACATAATGCTAATCTTTTAATTACTGTGAATTTAATCACGCCTTTACCAGGTGGTGTCAGCATAATACACATGCATTGTATTTACACAGTACTAGACTGAAGTAAGGATATGTATAGTAAGACAAATCCTTGACTGAAGTAATAGGGGGGAATACAAACGTGAATTTCTATTATACTATCAGTTATATATGTTGTTCAAAATATCCGTCGAAAAAAAATCATAAAAAAATTCTATTGTATGATTTGCTTTTATTACTATAATCAGAGACATAATGTATTATATGTCTCTGCTATAATCATATCAGAAATCCTTAAAATATAAATCGTAAATTTTAATTAAAAAAAATGCACGGCTGATCACTTTTCTTTCTCAATTGTTAGTTGGTTAATAGCTACACCAAAAGTCGTTGATGCGCTTTAAATCGCGTTATTAGATGATTAACGAAAAAGACTTTAAATGAGATTAATCCACTCCCGGCATGCAAAAAGACTTAAACTACGTCACATAAGTCAGGAAGTTTGAATAAATAGAATTAATAATTCCCAATTTTCTTCTTTATTAGTTTTCATATCCAGATAAAACTTGGTGAGTATGTTTTTAATGGTATTATGAACATAATAAGATGATAAGTAAAAAATCGTGAATTTTCCCTTTAAAAAAAATGATTTCATTCCTAATGCCTCAAAGTAAAGTATTCACATTTTCTGAGAATAAGAAGTTGACATCATCAAATATTAAATTACAAGATTTTCCCAGAATTTTATCAAAACATTGATGTGAATTAAATGTTCTCAAATTTGATTATTAAAAAAAATGATTTCATTCCTAATGCCTCAAAGTAAAGTATTCACATTTTCTGAGAATAAGAAGTTGACATCATCAAATATTAAATTACAAGATTTTCCCAGAATTTTATCAAAACATTGATGTGAATTAAATGTTTCTGATGATTATTTAAAAAAAATAATTTTATTACTATTACCTCAAATGATTTACATTTTCTGAGATTAAGCAGTTGACATCTTCAAATATCTAAACTACACAGTAAATATTTTCTACAAGCAAAGTCAAGAAAGCCAACAATATAATTAAAATTAAATCTCCCCACTTGCTGATTTTTTATGCTTAGTCGCTGCGACCAAGCATAAAAAAATGAGCAAGTGCATGGATTTAATTTTAATTAGATTGAGAAAACCAATATTATTGTATTCTTTTTTCAATAAAAAAAAACACACACATTATTGTGGATTTTAAGAAAGGGTTGAAAATGTGTGACTAAATATTGTGTAAAATTCAAAGGGAACAAATACTATCAGTGTATTATGTAGAACAATTTATATATTTTTAAATACAAAAATTATTGGCAATCTTCATATTTTTTAAACGAAAAATATAATTGGTGAAGACATGCAGCACTGTGCTCATGATGCAATATTAAAATGTTTAGAACTGGACCTTTATCTGTTCTCCTGAACTTGCAATATTCAAAGTATAGAATTTTCAAATCTTATTTCAATAAATCTATACAGTGTATCATTAAAGTTGCACGAATATCCTAATGTCTCTGATCTCTGTAGGTTAAATACATATTTTTGAATGATATTGTTGTGTCATGAAGATTTATTAGAAAACATTAAATCTTAGTATTAAAGATTAGTTGGCCGACTATTTGGAAATTGTCCTTATCTTACTTTCATCCTAAGGCAGATACATCTACAAGAACTTTACAATTAATTACTTGTTATTTAATTCTAAATGAACCTATGAAATTTATCTCCTCAAATTATAATATAGGTATGAGATTTTATTGAGAAAATCATTTCAGAGAGTAAAAATAATTAATAAATCATTATTTTAATTAGTAATTTGCAAATTACTCAATTACTTATACTCAATTATCAATAACAGGTGTATGATGTAATTGTACTTCATAGGTGTAACTGTTTAATTAACCCAGGTGTAATAAATCCTGTCTCAGACTAAGTAATAACACTCCATGGGTAACTTGTTTACTTAATTAATCCACAGGTACATATCACACAGAGTATTAATTGACATTCAATTATATATAATTTACAAGTTTATCAAAGAATGTTATCAACCCTAAAAGTGAGAAAGTTTACACAGTTGGAAGTGTATGTCTAATTTGTATTGTTATACCACAGTACATTCTAAGAAATATCAAAAGTGTCATATTATATCTAGCTTTATTTAGATATATTACTTTAAATCAATCTTTCCAAACTATTATCATTTGAGTTTCTGCTTGACCTACAACTTAACCTTCAATCATGTCATCAGTGAGAGGATCTAGATTTCAACAGCTGATGAAAGCAGAGTTTTATATGAGAAAGGCCAGACAACAGATCCGTGTTTTGGATAGTAAAATCTTAGATTTACATTATATGCTGGAAAAGTCCCAAGAACAAGATTTACCTCTTGTTACAGCTAGAATTAACCGCAGAATCAGCGTTACAGAAGGAATACGAAGCATGTATTTTGAATATATCCGTGCTAAGACAGAAGAAATTTCAGTACCTTCACAAGATTTGTATGATGAAGACGTTGTGGCTACTATGGCTTTTGATCTTGATGATTTTACATTTAATGAGTGAATCACTGAATGATTTCAATTAGAGAAATATGCAGAACCAGGCAGAATGAAATCAATGAAATTCAGTGACCTGAACATGATATGAATGACATTAACAACAGATGATGGAGTCAATGGCTTGTGATTTTCTAGTGAATTGTGATAAAACTTATCAGAAATCATCTGGCAACTTATAACAATATTTAACAATTAAATATTGGAGAAATGAAATACATTTATCATACAAGATGATAAGACTAAAAGTAACAGAGACTTCTGGAAATGACAGCTATAGATAATCAATTCAAGCTGGAAATGTTTAAAGGACACATTGTTAAGTGCTACAGTGACTATAATTCAAGAAAGAAGGTATAGAAACAGTAATAGATCATGTTTTAATTCTAAAGCAACTCAATTGTACATATTTTTATTACATCAAATGATGATTTACACTTGTTTATTAATTTAATAAATATATTGAATATACATGTATCATGGGTTCATTTCATTTTCTTGATGAAGGCCTACTCAAATTTGTATAAAAATACAATTATACAATTTATACAGAGTTGTAACTTTTGAGCCTGTCCTGATATTATGGAGACATTGGAATATTGATACAAAATAATTTGAAAGAAACTAAAATATTCAATCTAAATGAAAGACATTGAATCAAATTCAAGTTTTATACCTACATGTAAATAAGGAAACAGAGAGGCTAAAGATACCAAAGGGATAGTCAAACTCGTTATTCGAAAAACAAACTGACAATGCCATGGCAAAAAAAGAACAACGTTGAAAAGACTTAACAACAGTACACAAAACATAAGCAAGCTTGGTGGAATACAGTGAAAACACAACTGAAAAAGAGAAACCAACATATTTTATTCCCTTTTAGTTTAATTTCCTCTTAAAAACCACAGATACACATTGACAACAGAATTGATAAACATCTTCATTTGAGTCTATATTGCATATACATGTGTAGTATCTAAGAAACAAACTTAACAAGGAAATCTTAACATTGACCAATGAACCATGAAAATGAGGTCAAGGTCAGATGATAACTGCCAGACAGACATAAACACCTTACAATCATTCCATACACCGAATATAGTTAACCTATTGCTTATAGTTTAAGAAAAATAGACCAAAACACAAAAAATAAACATTGAAATATAAAAATGTGGTCAAGGACAAATAAAACCTGCCAGACTGACATGTACATTGTAAAATATTTCTTAAAATAACTTACACCAAATATAGTTGACCTATTTCAAACAGTATTAGAAAAACAGACCAAAACACAAAAACTTAACTTTAACCACTGAACCATGAAATTAAGGTCAAGGTCAGATGATACCTGACAGTTGGACATGTACACCTTAAAATCATTCCATACACCAAATATAGTAGACCTATTGCTTATAGTATCTGATATATGGACTTGACCACGAAAACTTAACCTTGTTCACTGATCCATGAAATGAGGTCAAGGTCCAGTAGAAATTGTCCGACAGGCATGAGGACCTTGCAAGGTATGCACATACCAAATATAGTTATTCTATTACTAATAATAAGAGAGAAATTAACATTATGAAAAATCTTAACTTTTTTTTCAAGTAGTCACTGAACCATGAAAATGAGGTCAAGAACAATGGAAATATGACAGACGGAAACTTCATAACATAAGGCATCTGATATATACAAAGTATGAAGCATCCAGGTCTTCTACCTTCTGAAATATTAAGCTTTTTAAGTATTTAGCTGTCGCCGCTGCCGGATCACTATCCCTGTGTCATGCCTTCTGCAACAGAAGTCACACACTAGACAAAAATGGTCAAATGAAAATAACAGTATAATATGGTCAACAAAACATGAAGGCAAACACACCTTCCAAGTAAGAGAGCTTTCTGTCAAATGGTGTCAGAGGAGTTCCATTTACAAAGTGTAACTGCAGTACAAAAGTAAATAAAAATGTAAAATTGTTTGTTATGTCTTGCTTCCGCAACAAAATGTTGCAAGCTCGACAAAAATGTTAATTGGTCACATGAGTTGGTCAAATGTCAGATTTTTTCTAGTATGTTCTTACCTGCTGAGCTAGATGTCTTAGTCTTTCACATTCAGTTGGTGTACTGTCCTTTCTCATTGCAACCTTAACTTGACCAAGGTCACCATAGAAATTCTCTGAGTTGACATTGAAAAGAAACATGAGTTCCTGTAGGTAATAAGTTGTGACATCAAGAGCTTTTTCCATAGCTATGGCACTTATCTGCCACATCTCTTCTGTGAATGATTCACCAGCACTCAAAAATACATGCCTACAAAAAGTGTCAAAATAAAATCCTCAATAATCTAAACAATAAGAAAACAAATGCATGCACACACACATACAGGTGGTATTTACAATTGGTACAGGATTTTTCAAGGTATTGTTTAATATAGTTAATTAAGTTTTCAACTTTTCATCAATGATTTGGTTTTACTCCTGTGTAACAATCAGTTTAGATCTAATCTGATGAATAATTTCCAACTTGGTTGTAATGTGAAGGGAAATTCTGGTTTTCAGACATAAAAAGTAATATTTGACTAAATTATTGATTAAAACAGGTCCTATATAGATATTTTGGATTTTCAATGACCAACGAAAAATTGAGGGAAGGGAAAATTTTGGATGTGGCCTACAAATAATAGTCACTTTAAAGGTATGGAATACTTTGATATTTGAGAATTAATAGGAATATGTGTCCATAGGACAATATGCTCCCCTCACATTATCACATTTCCGTATTCAATTAACCATGATATCTGGGTTTGAAGCCAGTTTGGCATATATTTTAAAAATTTCAATTCATAGTGAACAACATGTGAACTAAGGTTTAAGTTGGTGTGACCACAAATGACCTAAAACCAAAACTTTAACCTAATGAAATCCATAACTTTACCTTGATACAGGACAGACAGACAGGCACACAGATGGGAAAACATAATGTCCCTTTATCACTGTAGGTGGCACATACAAGTGAGCTAAACTGATAGTATTGATATACTAAGTACCTCCATTAAAGTTAGTTGTTTTTACAATGTGTGTGGGAATAAGATAACATATTCTGCATCATTTAAGCGATTTCCTTTAAATTTATACTTTATACAAACCTGATTTTAATTTTGTTGCGTTTGATTTTTTCATTCTTACTATATTTTCTGACAATGTTACAGTGTGTGGAATTTAAATGCTGGTACAACCACTTTACGATCTGGATAAGAGATGTACCGAAATAAATTTTACTGGCTTCTCCCAATACTATGTGGGATTTCCATACCTTATACAAGAACATCCTAGTCTAGAAATGATCTCTACTGGCTGTGCTACACATTCTGTTAATATATCCAACAACTGTTTCAGCATTAATTCACGTAAACACATACTGGTTTCATCATTGTCTAAAATGAGTATAACATTAAACATTTTAGCTATTACAACATATCAAAATATCATTAGTATACCAACAACTTTTTCGTTTTTTCACTAATATACTTTGTATCATTGATCATTTTCCTTCAAATTTGTACTTTGTACAATCGTGATTTTAATTTTGTTCTGTTTTATTTCTTCATTCTTATTATAGTTTCAGTTTGGATTAATTGTTTTGATATAACCTTTTTGTGCTGATGCAATGTTAAGCAATCATCCAGCAATCAATCAAATATGACTTATAATTCATATAACAGTGACTGTATTACATTTTCCAATTTATTCATAAGTTTTGATTAACTTATCTGTCATTTTGAAGTTATCAAATAAAACTGAGAATGGAAACAGGGAATGTGTCAAAGATATATAATAGTCCATTTTCAATATACAAACCTTTTGTAGTTACTACAAAATCTACTATCAAATCAGCAGTCAACCCACAACATTGTTTAAAATTAGTTGCTCCTGATTCCCAGTATCCTGCCTTCCTTACTCCACATCTTAACCATGACTGTAGCATGGGTAGCAGAAGATGGTTTACACAATAGTAAGAATAGAAAGGACCTGAAAAATAATAATATTGCAAAAATTTTTTGGAACTTTTGTTTGTTTTATGCATTCTACTGCAAGTTAATACCATAATTGGAGTTAATACTTTACAGTCAAATGTGTTCTTACTGTCAATTTGAAAAATTATGAAAACATCAATATCAATAAAGAGAGAAAAAGGAAGTATACAGTGGCGGATCCAGGGGGGGGGGGGGTTCCGGGGGTTGGAACCCCCTCTTTTTTTTTGACGATCAATGCATTTGAATGGGAACATATAGTTGGAACCCCCCCTTTATCCTGGGTTAGGAACCCCCCTTTTATAAATGGCTGGATCGGCCCCTGGAGTATACATATTTAGTGCAGTAACTAAAAATAAATAACTTTCTGCATTTACCTTAGGGCAACTCAGTATATAAATATATGAGGAGCTCTACAAAACAAGTGAAACTGCGAGCTACTGCTCACTGATGATACCCCCAGCCCAAATACTTGACGGTTAACAGGAAGTTGTTGAGTGATGAATCTGAAAACGCACCACACAGTATAGCTGACTTATATAAACACTTAAACCAAATTTCAGAAATCCTTGTAATGTAGTTCCTGAGAAAAATGTGACGAAAATTTTCAACTTGGATGTGTTGTGTAAAATGATGTAAGTGTTCGGTAAACAGGAAGTTGTTGAGTGATGAATCTGAAAACGCATCACACGGTATATCTGACTTATATAAACCCTGAAACCAAATTTCAGAAATCCTTGTATTGTAGTTCCTGAGAAGGTGTGACGAAAAATTTTCATGAGACGGACTGACCGACTGACAGACTGACAGATGGATGGATGGATGAACAGACAGAGGTAAAACAGTATACCCCCACTTTTTTAAAGAGGGGATATAATAATAATATTTGAACATAAACCATTGCACTAATAATACCTGGGATATCATGTAATGATCTCAATAAATCAAACAACATATCTAATGTTTCTGGCTGATACGTCTTTGGACAACAGGCTACTGACCCAGCTAATCCATCAATCATCAGAAACCATACATGTAATATACCAGACTCATTATCTAATGATTCAAGAGATTCATCCCCTCGTATCTCACAGTTTCTACTTTCTTTCTTGGTTTTCTGTACATTTACTGGAGATTGCTCAATTTGTTGTTTTGTCAAGACATTAGCAAGACCCTGGTTGGCAGCTGGGTTTGTATTTAATGGACTATTTGTCAGGTTATTTTCTGTATTTACTGCATCAGGAGTATTCTGTTTGTTAACAACATTACTTGCATCATTTGCAATTGAGATCTCAGATTCATTCTTCTGATTATCAGAATTTAATGTAATTCCCGAATCAACAGAATCCAGACTAGTGCAATCCTTTTCCTCATCTTCTTGAAGCTTCTGAAGGTCCTTATTGTTGACACAAAAGTTATCTTCCTTTCTTAACTGTGAATTCTGGGTAAACTGTCTTTTGAAGTCTTCTATATTAATATTTGGCAGTACTGGATCAACAAACTGATTTGAGGTATGTGAGTTTATTCTGAAATCAAGCAAATACATGTTGCTGTTTTTTTAAATGAACACATTGACACATACTACTTCACATACTTATTTGTTGGATAAGTTAGTATTTAAACCTGTTAAATTTTAATAGTATATAGGTTAGGGGAGGGTTGAGTGCTTACAAACATGTTTAACCCTGTGTGTCCCAAATTCAGTGGTTGTCTTTGGTTCATGTCTGAAATATTTGTTTTTTCTCGTAAATCGAATTGTTATAAATAAGGCATTCAATTTTCCCATTTGAATTGTTTCATATTTTTCTTGTCAGGGGCCTTTTATAGCTGACTATACAGTATGGGATTTTCTCATTGCTGAAGGCCATACAGTCACCTATAATTGTTTGCATCCATGTAATTTGAACTCTGGTGAAAAGTTGTCTCATTGGCAGTCATAACACATCTGCTAATTTTTATATAAAGGGTAAATGTAAAACATAAAAGTTGAAAAAAAAAGTATCTTTATTCAGATTCAAAACTTGATAACAGAACTTTTGTGACAATTATTTACTCTATATGTCAATTTTACACAACTGATTCATCTTCATATAAGGCAGACACATATTCTGAATAATATATGCAATTGTTTATCAATGAAAATGTGATTAATTGTTGATTCCCATATCAACTATTCTATGAAAATACTAAAAGATGTAATAGTTAAAGAAGAATGTGTCCATGGGCCACAGATGCCCTTGTAAATATGCAAGAGTCAATGTTCTAATTCAAACCTATTGACATTTTGTTTTCTTTGAAACTTAGACATTTGTTTCTGTATGTTGTCATTAGAGATTGATTGAAGGTTTGAATGCTCTCATTGTTCAATAACGTTTCATAACATTTGGTTGTGGCAAAGTAAAGTTTAAGTGCGGAAACGGCAAATACAGCAATTTTTCCATTTAAAAGGGGACATAACTTGAGAACAGTGAAAGTGAGGCCACCCAAATCCGAACTCGATATGTGTTTGGTGGTAATTCAGCAACTTTTTCCATTCATAAAGGGACATTAACCACGAACAGGGAAAGTGATGCCACCAAAATTCAAACTTAATTTGTGATTAGTGGTAATCAGCATTGTGTATAAGTTTCATAACATTTGGTTCAGGCAACCTAAAGTTAGAGAACAGAAACCAATTGTGAGACTGTCGTATATACGAACGGACACACAGACATACTAGAGTTAGCCTTAATTCCCCCTTTGCCTAGCATCGGGGCCATAATAACAGCCTCAACAGATATCTCACAATGATTCCATAAAATAAGCATGGCATGAAAACATCTGCAAATCTACAGCATACCAATGTCATTCAAAAAATAAATCACAACAACACAAGACATTCATTATCATTTTGCCTATTCTGAATGGCTGCCCTATATTTAGCCATGCCACTACTGTGGTCTTTGAACTCACAACCCAACATTAACATGAATGGAGTGTGATATGAATAAATAATACAAAAAAAAAACGTTAATTTGGTTGTCCTGCAATGTGTTATGAAATTGTTAGGTCAATGATGAATTTTGAACTTCACAATAGACTATATTTAATCTCTGACAAAGGAGATTTGTGAACAATTTGTCACATGACTGTGTTAATTTCATTCCATAGGAATAGAATTTTGAAAATTAGTTTGCGCCTATGATCCCAGTGACCTGCATATATTTAAACATGATTTGCCAATTCATCCAATCTATTGTATGCAAACCTAGCACATGTCATCCTGAAGTATAAAAAAATGGTATCTAAATTTTAACGTCATAATGTGTTTACTCCATTGTCTTTGTTGTCTAGTTACCAATGTATGAATGAAATGAAATAATTACAAATGTATGTACATAAAGGTAGTAAATTAAAAAATATGTGTAACATGAATGTAAGTACAATGTCAGTGTACAGTTTGTATAAAGTTTCTTCCTAATTTGGACAACACTTTAGGGCACACCCCTACCACTTCGACTGGCTTCCCTTTGGCCAGAGGTACTACTTCCAATCGCGTCGGGAATGCCGTAAAGTGGTTTACCGTTTATACTTCAGGGATTGTAATTTCTATATAATTTGTCCTGAAGACGCCGATCTAATCGGCGAAACTAGTCGACACAATAAAACTTGCAGTTCACTAAAGTGTTGTTGTCAATCCAGCAGTATTTTATTTAAGTACTAGTGTAGTGAGGAAATAACCAAAGTGGCAACTTCTTGTTCAAAGGGTAAGTATGTTGTTGGAAATGGTGGGTTGATGGAAATAAAGCTTTTGTGAGTGCTACTGGGGGTTAGTATGTGAATAAAAGTTACATACTTGTGGAGTAAAATGAATCAGGAATTGAATGATATATGATTTATCAACTTGAAAATGGATCTTTTACCATTTCCTGATAGAAACTCGCCCCCCCAAAAGTCTGGGTCAGCAAAATTTCCATGTTTTCTATATGGACTGCACTCTGACATCCTTCCACTACAAGTCCTTAAAAAGGCCATCAAACATTAGAGCAATCTCTGACTAAGAAGGGAACAGTCAATAACTGAATAAGGAAAAAAATACAGAGCAAACTATTTTGAAGCATGCTATGTAAAAAGTAACTAACCTATGTGCACCATTAAAGACAGGACATGCAGGCATCTTCCACATTGTCTGTAGTATGTTATTACATTTTTTAAGGTAACCCAGAGCTGGTATACACAAACTTTCACCTTGGGTTATCATAGTGAAGTCACTTCCTGAATCACTGTCATCGTCATCGGAATCATCATTATCAAAGTCACCTGTCAAAATGAAAGCTTTCAAATTGAAATTAAAAATGTCGAACAGTCTATAAGATTACACTGAAATTTCAAAACAACTGGCTGATAGGACTGGCAAATTCATTTATTTCTAGATCTATCAGGTGAAATTACAAAGAAATGAACAAAGATAGAATAATCAAAATAGCTAACAACTTGTGTTCATAATCCATTGTATTATTATAGCATTTCAAAGTTTTTGTAACATTCATCAAACATGAGTTATTTGTTCAATTATTTTTAACTATATCTAGACAAAAAAAATGTGAGAACAGTTAAAATTGATTATTTTGTGCTTGTGGTCTATTAAGTAAATAAAATATATTTCAGTGTTTCCTGTTGCATGGACATATTGTTGTGCTTTTTTATTTGACATTTCAGGTTATATATGTGATTTTGACCTGAGGAAATTATGTTTTTGTGTTACCATCACACTTGGTCCATGCCAATGCATTTTGCTACTTATTTTAAATTAGGAATATAACCTGTACCTAAAGTTTTTAAATTATTTTGTTTGATTTATGTATTGAATATATATAATGTATCTTTTTATATTTATTTTCACTGTAGCAGTAATAATTTATATGTTGTATTTCTATACTTGTAATTAAATAATTTGTGTAGTACATAGTATCTTTTAAGCAGCAAAGTATAGATGTGGGGACACATGAAACTTCAGTTTATAGCAATGTTTTTCATATACTTCAAGCAATGATTTAAAAAAAAAACTTGATGATAATATCACGAGACAAAATACATATATAATTTCAAAATATTTGGTTATGGCATAATCAAGTAACCGTTCGTTAGATGGAAAGTAAAATATCCCCTATTGGTTCCCTATGTTTGTCCTTTTCAACTGTTACCTACCTGGTCCTCTGACATACTTCAGTAGGCATAGTATACAGTCCACAGTAGCATTGGCAAACACAAATATATTGTCAGTGTTGAGGAAAACTTCAAACACATCTAATACAGCAGCTACATGTCTCTGACGTACTTCATTAATTTCTTCATCAGGACTATGTTCTATCTTAACAGCTCTCAAAGCACCAAATAATGGTCTCCAGCCAGACTTTAAGTCTGCAGTACATGCTTCTACCAATTCACAAACAGAACATACAACCTATTAAATATATAACACACTTGGTAAAAGTTATCCAACCAGTAATACAGTATGCCTAGGTTTTAGTGAATGATCCTTCCACCGTTCAGATGGGTAAACTTATACTGAAATTCTAATTCTGTGAGGCATGTTACTTTTCATACCAGCTGTTTAAGGAAGCATAAAAAATAAATCTAATATATGCTACAATATCTACATGTATATCATGTATCTCCTGAGAAACAGCTGATATTATGTTTTCACAGATGAAGGACTTAATCACATACCTGTCATCTTTTCAAAATCTTCATGGGGGATTTTAAGCGCAAGAGGACATGCTCCTCTTACATTGTCATAAGTGCTTTTAATCAACTTCTATATTGTTTGGATGAGTATATATGTGCTTAAATACCCTTTTAACTCATTTGAATGCCGTTTTAAGGTGTTCAGTTTATATAATAAAGATTTTCAAAATTCAGGTCAACACCTCTTATGGGGGATATCCCCCATAAATTGGGATATTTGGCAGGTCTGTAATCACATGCTTGCCTTTTATTTGCAAATGAATTTGAAATAAAACAAAACTAGAGAAAAGGCATCTATTTCTGCATTTAAACTAATTTGTTATTGAATAATAATCATAATGTATTTTTTAAATCAGAATATTAGAGTAATTCTATTTAATTCTTTTTAAACATGAGAATATTATCATATATTTAGAATGTATTTTTTAGTGCATGTTTTATTTTCAGTATTTCTGGATCATTAAGAAATACAACATATACAGAATTAAAACTTCAACTGCCCAATGCATAAACCTTGAACATCACAATCGCCTAAGTTCTAAAATTTACATGTTTTCACCTAATCTATAAATCACCATCAAAAAGTTCAAAATCATTCTTATTCTCACCTAATCTTGAACATCACAATCACAAAGTTCTAGACCTAACATATTCTTATTCGATCTTGATCATCATCATTAAACAGTTCTAGACATAACATGTTCTCACCTGATCTTGAACATCATCATCAACAATTTCTAGACCTAGCATATTCTTATTCGATCTTGATCATCACCATCAAACAGTTCTAGATGTAACATGTTCTCACCTTATCTTGATCATCACCATCACATCGTTCTAACGTCTAGACTAGTGGTAAAATATTCCTACCTGATCTTGAACATCGCCATTACACTGCTCTAGACACACAAAACTCTTGATTTAACATGTTCTCACCTGATCTTGAACATCACAAAACTTTTGATTTAACATGTTCTCACCTGATCTTGAACATCACCATCACACAGTTCTAGACATAACATATTCTCAAATGTTTTACATAGAAATTCATTGATATGGAAGTGTGGTAGTTCTTGGTGATTACTGATCATAGCCTGTATGAAGTCATGAACACACGTCACGGCCATTTTTGATACATTCCTCACTCTGTGTCCAGCAGCCTATAAATCAAAGTGAACAATTTTAGAAATTTTAGAAATAACAATTGAATGTTCCTCCTCTAATTTAAGATCTCTGATTATGAACATAATAAAATATTTTTGCAATATGTTTTCTGACATTGATTGAGAGATAAGTTCTACTGAGCCTCATGAATCATTTTCTACAACAGGTCAAACATCTGTCAATCAATTGCAGATATCCAAACAAGTTCCAAAAATAGAATGTTTTTCATAAACTTTAATCCTGCAAGAAATTTCAATGATATATTTATACTGCTTGTATAACTCTCTGCAATTACTAACTTATACATAAAACAGAACGGTCATGCAAAATCATATAATTTGGAAGCTTTTAACTTTTAGTCAAAGACCTAAGACGTCTATCATAGGATTCACTTTTCATACAGACAACTTTATTTTTAAAGAAGATTATGCAGAACCAATTTTCGTGGATTGAGAAAAGTTGTATTTTTCATGAATATTTGATTTTATGGTTTTGCTGATTTTTGTCAATTTATATAAAATTATAAATAAAATGTGTATAAGAACTCCATTAAAACTAATAGCCCATGCAATAATAATCTTGCTTAACAGCCAAAAAACGTTTATTTCAGGAAAGTGGCCCAATATCCACCGTTAAAATTAATTTTTACCTCAACAAGAAATCCTGACACTACACACCAAACTCTCATCTGATGTAGTAAAGGACGGTTGCTATTTACTATCTTCATCAGAACTTCCTGTAGTCTATATAAATGCAATGCATTCTGGGGTAATTGTTGCTGTTCCACCGACTCTTCATTATCTTCCTCATCCATTAACATTTGATGAAGCTGATCTTGACTTGATTCACATAGCTTTGATAGGAACTCCAACAATGCAGACATGTTTAACTTCTCTGCTGCTTCTTCAAACAACCTAAAGTATAATCAATGAAAGAAACCTTTGTGGGCAAACTAACATACTTCAGACCCCTATATCAATGACAAGACGGAAATCCCCTTCCAGACAAAAATGGCACTATTACCTATTTTTATGATAGGCAAACCTACTCAAGGTTTTAAAACTTTATAGAGTAAACTTTAAAAGGAGTAGGTTCAATAAGGCCCTAAAATGACCCCTATTGCTAGCTAAAATTTCAAATTGGAACTTACTGACCAATATTACAATGAATCATAGTTAAAACATTAACTAGGTCAGAAATATACCTTTTTGTAGAAAAGTTATTTCATGATGTCATGATGTCATAAATAGAACACATTTTGATTTTCCATGAAAATTTAAGAAAACAAATAAATTTCCATTGGTTTAGTGGACTGGAAACATAGAGCGAATGCTTCGAAAAGAAAGATCTTTTTATTATAGTTTTTGTAATATAAGATTTAAATATTTAGTTTGTCAAAGCTTGCGCTCTACTTTTCCTAGCCTTAAATTTGGTAGAAATCCAGACGAAATTTCCAAATTTCATTAAAATATCTACATTTGGCCTATTTGGGTTGTAAACGTTAATGTCTTATAAGAATAGCTGCACAATAAATTGCTTCCCAGAGCGCAGCTGGATACGACCGCAGAGGTCCAACCCTGAACAGTTGGGGCAAAAATGGATGCAATATTCGCGCTTGATACAGGTCTGAATTTGGATTGTTATTAAATATTTGACACATAAAAGGTTTCTGACACAGAATAACTGTAGTCAAAGAACTTAGAATTGGTTATATGATTTGAATTTATATTCAATTTTTTGCTTTTGTTTTGTTGACGACCCCTCCCCCCACAAAAAAAAAATAAAAAATTTACCCCCTTTTTTTTTTGCCTTTGTGCAATACACTATGCTGTTGCGTATTATTATTCTTTCCCTCAAGATATGGTCATAATCTCAATTCAAATTTCCAATGGAGTTTGCAACCATAATTACCCATTTAAATTTACCATAGTGCTAACTTAATCTATTTCATAATAGAATTTAAAATATGGTGTCAAATCTTTCATATGGATTTTTTTGTGAAAAAAATAAAGATGCAACATTTGCAGATATTTTTACTGGTCTTCCATTATAAATATGCATTTCTTTAAACATAATTTAAAAGCAGTGTAAGGGAGGTATTTCTATTACCTCCCTTACACTGCTTTTAAATTGTCTTAATTGTTCATTGAACATTACTTTATTCATAATTTAAAAGCAGTGTAAGGGAGGTAATTCAAATGATGTATTTGAATTACCTCCCTTACACTGCTTTAAATTATGTTTTGTACTAAAGTATTTGTCCATTAACCAGGAAACCCTTGTTTTTCCCCCTTTTTTGCCCCTAATTCCTAAATGGTTTGAGCCATAACCCCCCAAAGCAAATCCTAACCATCCCTTTGTGGTATGGAAACTTGTGGTATAATTTCAGAGAGATCAATACACCGTTCCACAAGTTATTGTCTGGAAACTAGAAAAATGCTTATTTTTGGCCCCTTTTTGGCCCCTAATTCCTTAACTGTTGCTACCATAACCCCCAAAATCAATCCCAACCTTCCTTTTGTGGTATTGAACCTTATGGTAAAATTTCATAGAGATCCATTCACGTAAACTAAAGTTATTGTGCGAAAACCAATGTGTCTTCAGACAACGACGACGACGCCAACGTCATACCAAATAAAAATAATTATATTACACTTTCTTACATGTCTTTTCGTCAACTTGAAACATTTTTTTAATTCAAACAATGGACTTAAAGGAGTAAGTTTAGTAAGGGCTATATATGGCCCTGAATATAAATTGGGCTTAAAACATAAATAATTATGCATCAAAGTCAAATGTATCAATAATAGAATCAAAATTGAGCAAAGATAAGCTAAACTTAGTGCCATCTTGATTTAACAAATTTGTACAAGACTTTTGAACTAAAGTTATACTGAATAGAATTATTTTCATATCTTAATTCTCACCTGTCAACTTGCTGAGAAAGTCCACATAATGCTTGTGAAGCTTGTACAGCATTCAACATTCCCCCTCCAGTAAGTGACCTCTCCCAAGCCGACTCTATTTTACTCTGATTTATCAACTCAGGAATGTTAATTCTAGGAGCTACAGGTGTGGCTGCTGTTACTGGCATACCATAAAACTCATCATCACTGAAATATACATAAAACTTATCATCACTGAATTACACATAAAACTCATCATCACTGAAATACACATAAAACTCAACATCACTGAATTACACATAAAACTCATCATCACTGAAATACACATTAAACTCTTACTCGTCATCACTAAAATACACATAAATTTCACCATCACTGAAATACACATAATAACTCATCATCACTGAAATACACATAATAACTCATCATCACTGAAATACACAAAAAACTCAGCATCAAAGAAATGCACATAAAACTCATCATTACTGAAATAAACATAAAACTTGTAATCTATGAAAATTTGATAATTTCAAACAGTTATGAAAAAAAGAATAGATATTGAAATTTCTAGTTGATTATTTGCCTACATCCTATTACTTCACTGATTCATTTCAAGATCAATGAAGCTTTTCATCAGCCAATGTATTTATCCAAAATAGTTGAACAACAAGAAAGTAATTTCCAGATTTTATGAATGTGGAAACTCAAATTATTATTATTTAGAATTTATGATGAGTGTTATTAGCACCTCTATTATAGAATCTATGTGACTTATTATTTGATGATAAGCTTTAAGAATCTATATCTAAGAAAACTCTACAAAAAACTTTTTACCACATCATAGTTATTGAAGAATCTGACAGCACCAAACAGAAAAGTCTCCTACACTTTTCTCCTTTGTAAAAATACATTTTATCTTTGTTTCATGTTGCACAATGACTTTTTTATGCATTGCATTGTGTGAACTTTGTTACAGTACACCACTGTCCCATGTTAGGGGGAGGGTTTGGCACCAGCAAACTAGTTTAACTCCTGCCACATTCTGTATGTGCCTGTCCCAAGTCAGGAGCCTGTAGTTCAGTGGTTGTCATTGGTTCATGCCTGTCATATTTGGTTTTCTCTAATTGTTTTGCTTTAAATTAGGCCATTAGTTCTTATTTTTCATGTTGGGGCCTTTTATAGCCGACTATATGGTATCAGTTTTTCTCATTGTTGAAGGCCGTACTGTTGCCTATAATTGCTCATATCCACTTCATTTGAACTTTGGTGGATAGTTGTCTCATTGGCAATCATACCACATCTCCTTTTTTTATATCTATCCAAAAAAAGTTTCATTCAATTTTGAGAAATGAGCATTTAGTGTTTATATTCACATGGTCAACATATTGGTGGTGTATTGGACCTGCATGTTAGCCAACAGTACTCCAACTATCACTTCTAATCACAGGCAAACTAAAAATATAGCAATCCTCTGTATAAAATGTTAATAACTGATGTATGGATGGATGAAAAAACAAAAGCTTATATAACCAATTGGTAGGCATTCAAATCAGCTCTTTCAGGAACCAGTCCAATATACAACATAAATAACAATTTCTGTTAGAGTTTGTTTCCAACCAACTTAATAGCACTGCTTGTACTCATTTTCAGTTTTTTTTTAAATATAAACTATATTTGTTACTTCATACTCACTCATTAACTGTGTCCATATTTGGTTGTCCTTGTTGTAATTTTGGCAGATTTGATTGGTTGTTTCCCTGGCTGAAATAAGTGTGTTCTAATTCCGATATAAATGCTGTACACCTGCAAAATATATTCTTATTATACATTTATCATATTTTTATAAATATATATATGAAGTGTAAAAAAAAGACCAACCAGCAAATTTAATAGCTATGGAATGGTTTAGATTAGGTTATACATGTACTACACAAATATAAATCAGTATCTTTGCACAAATCTTAAAGACTTTTATATTTATATAATGTATATATATGAGAGTAATGACAAAAACAAATTTTTACTTTCTTTCTGGTAATATTTAAAACAGATGAATACAGATGCAGACCATTACTATGATTAACTTTTCATATGAATTAGATGATAACTTACACCATTCATGATAATAAGTTGAACAAAACCTAAAAAAGCTTTTCCAACAATCAGCAGAGTGACCTCCCATCTCTAGACCTGTTGTCATGCTATTAAGTTAAACAATACCTAAATAAGTGTTTCCAACAATCAGCAGAGTGACCTCCCATCTCTATACCTGTTGTCATGTTATTAAGTTAAACAATACCTAAATAAGTGTTTCCAACAATCAGCAGAGTGACCTCCCATCTCTATACCTGTTGTCATGTTATTAAGTTAAACAATACCTAAATAAGTGTTTCCAACAATCAGCAGAGTGACCTCCCATCTCTATACCTGTTGTCATGTTATTAAGTTAAACAATACCTAAATAAGTGTTTCCAACAATCAGCAGAGTGACCTCCCATCTCTAGACCTGTTGTCATGTTATTAAGTTAAACAATACCTAAATAAGTGTTTCCAACAATCAGCAGAGTGACCTCCCATCTCTATACCTGTTGTCATGTTATTAAGTTAAACAATACCTAAATAAGTGTTTCCAACAATCAGCAGAGTGACCTCCCATCTCTAGACCTGTTGTCATGTTATTAAGTTAAACAATACCTAAATAAGTGTTTCCAACAATCAGCAGAGTGACCTCCCATCTCTATACCTGTTGTCATGTTATGAAGTTAAACAATACCTAAATAAGTGTTTCCAACAATCAGCAGAGTGACCTCCCATCTCTAGACCTGTTGTCATGTTATTAAGTTAAACAATACCTAAATAAGTGTTTCCAACAATCAGCAGAGTGACTTCCCATCTCTATACCTGTTGTCATGTTATTAAGTTAAACAATACCTAAATAAGTGTTTCCAACAATCAGCAGAGTGACCTCCCATCTCTATACCTGTTGTCATGTTATGAAGTTAAACAATACCTAAATAAGTGTTTCCAACAATCAGCAGAGTGACCTCCCATCTCTAGACCTGTTGTCATATTATTAAGTTAAACAATACCTAAATAAGTGTTTCCAACAATCAGCAGAGTGACCTCCCACCTCTATACCTGTTGTCATGTTATGAAGTTAAACAATACCTAAATAAGTGTTTCCAACAATCAGCAGAGTGACCTCCCACCTCTATACCTGTTGTCATGTTATTAAGTTAAACAATACCTAAATAAGTGTTTCCAACAATCAGCAGAGTGACCTCCCATCTCTAGACCTGTTGTCATGTTATTAAGTTAAACAATACCTAAATAAGTGTTTCCAACAATCAGCAGAGTGACCTCCCATCTCTATACCTGTTGTCATGTTATGAAGTTAAACAATACCTAAATAAGTGTTTCCAACAATCAGCAGAGTGACCTCCCATCTCTAGACCTGTTGTCATGTTATTAAGTTAAACAATACCTAAATAAGTGTTTCCAACAATCAGCAGAGTGACTTCCCATCTCTATACCTGTTGTCATGTTATTAAGTTAAACAATACCTAAATAAGTGTTTCCAACAAACAGCAGAGTGACCTCCCATCTCTATACCTGTTGTCATGTTATGAAGTTAAACAATACCTAAATAAGTGTTTCCAACAATAAGCAGAGTGACCTCCCATCTCTAGACCTGTTGTCATGTTATTAAGTTAAACAATACCTAAATAAGTGTTTCCAACAATCAGCAGAGTGACTTCCCACCTCTATACCTGTTGTCATGTTATGAAGTTAAACAATACCTAAATAAGTGTTTCCAACAATCAGCAGAGTGACCTCCCACCTCTATACCTGTTGTCATGTTATTAAGTTAAACAATACCTAAATAAGTGTTTCCAACAATCAGCAGAGTGACCTCCCATCTCTAGACCTGTTGTCATGTTATTAAGTTAAACAATACCTAAATAAGTGTTTCCAACAATCAGCAGAGTGACCTCCCATCTCTATACCTGTTGTCATGTTATGAAGTTAAACAATACCTAAATAAGTGTTTCCAACAATCAGCGGAGTGACCTCCCATCTCTAGACCTTTTGTCATGTTATTAAGTTAAACAATACCTAAATAAGTGTTTCCAACAATCAGCAGAGTGACCTCCCATCTCTAGACCTGTTGTCATCAGTACATCCATACTAAGTACATGTGAAGCATGAAGTTTTACTGGCTTTACTTTACTGTTGACTGATGGTTTACTTGGTAGTTTTCTCTCAAGGATTGGACTTTTAGGAGTATGTAACATCACACAAGATGTTGTTGCCAAATGGGAGAACACATTTCCACATCTCTGTGGCATTCCTAAATAAAACATTTTATTCAATTGTGTAATGTAAATTCAAAAACTTTTGCAATGTGTTTCTATTATTGCAAAAGTTGCAATGGGAAAGCTTCGCAAAAATATAAACTTGTATTTGAAATATAAATTTTCACAGCATTATTGGTATGATAATGCAGCATTTCCTGAAGTCACAATTATAACTCACGGTTTGTGTCCATTGTTCAACAACTGCAATAGTAAATGCATTACAGTTTATATTTAAAATTTACAGTTTATATTTTGAATTTATTTGAATTTACAGTTTATATTTTGAATTTACAGTTTATATTTTAAATTTACAGTTTATATTTTAAATTTACAGTTTATATTTTAAATTTACAGTTTATATTTTAAAATTACAGTTTATATTTTAAAATTAGTCACATAACCCATCAATTAAAAGACTTTTTCAGATTTTTAATCATACCATACTGTAGACCATAAGTTTTGATAACTAGTGAAGGCTGCGGATAGTTGTTTCATTACGTTTCATACTAAAACTCCTTATTTTACATTCAAAAGACGTAGGTTCCTCAAGGAATTATCTCATTATCTCTACTATATACATACAGGTACTACACCATGTATTCTGATTTACCATGCTCACACAAAATTAAAATTGCTTAAGTATAGTTTTTTGGCTTTTTATGTGATTTTAAAGTCATAAGTATGTGCTATGGGGAAGCAAACATTTTTTTTTGCTATTTTGAAAAGTTTTTGATTATGGAATCATTGGCTGTATGGTTTGACATTTTCTGCAACACTATTTAACTTACTTCTATGAATCTTTGAATCACAATAGGAATTAATTGTACTGGAAAAAAATGCTAACTTGATCTATAACTTGTCATGGTGTAAACTATATAACAAATATCAAGTCAATATCTTCAAGCATGACGAAAACTGATTATTTAAGTGAATTTTCTAAGTCCAAGGACCATAGCTCTGCACAAAATTATCAGACCGGAACAAAATTCTAACTTGATCTGTAACTTGCCATGATAAAACAATATACCAAATATTAAATCAATATCTTCTAGCACGAAGAAAAAAAGTGTAAAAAACCGATTTGCCGGACAGACTGACAGACAGACAGATAGACAGATGGACGGAGTGCAAACCTAAAGTCCCCTTCGACTTCGACGGTAGGGGACTAATAAAGAGAGAAGTGGGATATACATTATTGAGACTGCAATCAAGAGTAATCAAAAGACATCTAGAGGGCAACATGCAGTCTTCAACAATAGACACATGTCTATACAATATGTCAAGCTACAAATATTTATCAGCAATTAAAACATTTTCCCTTTGATCTTACTGCCTAATATTTGTCTATATGGTGGACAGAACTTGACACTCAAATATATTAGGCAATGACGTCACATGTTCATGTTTCCATTTGTAAAGGGGCATAACTCTAGAACGGTTAAAGTGATGCCACCAAAATTCAAACTTGATCTGTGTTGTGTGATAATAAGCATTTTGTATAAGTTTCATAACATTTGTTTGAAGAAAACTAAAGTTAGAGAACAGAAACCAACTTTGGGACGTACGGACATACATACAGACGGACAAGGGTAAAACTTAATCCCCCCTCTGCTACAGTGGGGGCATAATAAAAAACCAAAATGACATTATTCTATATGTATTGGTCAGGAAGTAAAGCACCATTTTTTTAAAAGGATACATGAAAATGGGTTACAATGAGATCTTTTCATAAAATCATAAAAATTATCAAGTTTTAAATTTAGGGTTAAATATAAGTTATATGAGTTTCTGACAAAACATTATTAATCTCGAACATACTTTTCCCTTATGTACAAATGTAGTTACCTAATAAGCAACAAAGTCTTGCTGCCTTCTGTAAACCTTCTAAACTCATACAAATTGCTTCTCTGGCTCTAATGCTTTCTTCCTTAGCTCCCTCAGTTCCTAGCATTAATGCTATACTGCTTGTAATGCCACAGGAATTCTTTCCATTCAAAAGAACTGACAATACATCCAAAATACTATCCCAACATCTGGACAAGATTCTCTTACAAAATTTTCTCCCTGGATAAGAGAAAATCATAAATTACAATATATCTACAGAAAAATAGACCATTACCAATAGTTCCATTTTGTGCTCTACCAAATTTATTAGTATTTGTTCTGTTTAAACAAGGAAGAATCATGGAAGCAATTTTGCTTTTTTTATTCATCACCAATCTGAATGGAAGTTTGAAATATAAAACAATATTGAAATTCAAAGTGCCTTTCCAGGAAGTATGTTTAAAACATATTTGTTGGTGATCATGCATCATGTTAAAAGCATGCTATTCTAATCTTGAAGTTAATCAATTAGAAAGGCAAGTACATTTCTGTAGGTTTGGTAACTTGGAAAAAACATTCCAATGAATTCTATTAAATTGAATCATATGTTCCGAGTTATCTTACTTACCTGTTGGTTTACAGTGCAATCTATATAGTTTATATGTCATGTCACAAGAATAAAAAAGTAAATAAAAGAAGAAACTGTCTGAGGACAAGCTTTGCAATGAAAATGGGACGGACAGACAGACAGTCGGTCAAGGGTAACCCTTGCAGGCCAAAAAAATGATTTCTGTGCATAACTAATTCAGATTTGATTAATGTATTTTCCTTACCAGTTCTTGATATCAAAGAAGATTGGCACTTCATGAATAGAAATGTGATGGCAACAAATCTTAAAATAAAATTCAATTATAATCAACAACTTGATATATGCCACTTCAATTCTGTCAGAAATATACTCACCCATTTCAACATGCTTTATATTTTCTGATGAGGGTTCAGTTGTCATATCATATTTCTGCACCTTTGTCAAGAGTTGTCCTCCCTTATCATGATTCCCAAGGCCATCTATATCTGTAATGAAATTTAACTAATATATATATATATGTATAGAATAATTACTACTTTAATTGAAATTTGGGTATGGAAACTTATGTAAATATAATAAAATGCCCCGCTGGGCGCAGCTTGATACGACCGCAGAGGTCGAACCCTGAACAGTTGGGGCAAGTATGGATACAACATTCAAGCTTGATACAGCACTGAATTTGGATTGTGATTAAATATTTGACACAGCATAGGTTTCTGACACAGAATGAATGTGGTCTAACAACTTAAATTTTTTTAATTTACGTATTCAAACCATATCATTATTATTTGCTTTTATATATAAATCAGAAATAACCAATTTAAAATGGAAAATTTTAAAGAAAAAAAAAGGAAAAAAAAAAAATCCCCCCCCCAAATTTTTTTAACCCCCTTATGATTCATCACCCCCAAACTCAATCCCAGCCTTCCCTTTGTGGCATGGTACCTTGCAGTACAATTTCAGAGAGATCCATACACTTGAACACAAGTTATTGTCTGGAAACTAGAAAAATGCTTGTTTTTTGGCACCAAATTCCTAAACGTTTAAGGCAATTACCCCCAAACTCAAACCCAGCTTTCCCTTTGTGACATGGAACCTTGTAGTACAATTTCATAAAGATCCATACACTTACACACAAGTTATTGTCCTGAAACTAGAAAAATGCTTGTTTTTTGCCCCTTTTTGGCCCCTTATTCCTAAAAATTGAGGCAATTACCCCCAAAATCACTCCCAGCCTTCCCTTTATGGTATGGTACCTTGCAGTACAATTTCAGAGAGATCCATACACTTGAACACAAGTTATTGTCTGGAAACTAGAAAAATGCTTATTTTTGGCCCCTTATTCATGAACGTTTAGGGCAATTACCCCCAAACTCAATTCCAGCTTTTCCTTTGTGATATGGAACCTTGTAGTACAATTTCAGAAAGATCCATACACTTACACACAAGTTATTGTCATGAAACAAGAAAAATGCTTGTTTTTTGCCCCCTTATTCCTAAAATTTTGAGGCAATTACCCCCAAAATCAATCCCAGCATTCCCTTTGTGATATGGAACCTTGTGGTACAATGTCAGAGAGATCCATACACTAACACACAAGTTATGTCTGGAAGTTACAAAAATGCTTATTTTTGGCCCCTTTTTGGCTCCTAATTCCTTAACTGTTGGTACCATAACCCTTAAAATCAATCCCAACCTTCCTTTTGTGGTATTGAACCTTATGGTAAAATTTCATAGAGATCCATTCACTTAACCTAAAGTTAGAGTGCGAAAACCAATGTGTCTTCGGACGACGACGATGACGCCAACGTCATACCAATATACGACCGAAAATTTTTTTTGCGGTCGTATAAAAATAAGAAGATGTGGTATAATTGCCAATAAGAAACCTCTCCACCAGATCCCAAATGACATAGAATTAACCACTATAGGTCACCGTACGGCCTTCAACAATGAGCAAAACCCATACCACTTAGTCAGCTATGGAGGGCCCGAAATGACAAATGTAAAACAATTCAATTGAGAAAAATAACAGCCTGATTTATGTAAAAAACAATGAACAAAATACAAATAGGATATACAGCAACAAAAGACAACCACTGAATTACAGGCTCCTGACTTGGGACAGGCACATACAGAATGTGGCAGGGTAAACATGAAATAATGGTTGAATAAATAAATTTTTGTTTACCTTTGTAATAGGTTTAATGCATGAATACTGGCAAATATGTTCCTCATTGAATTGCACTCACAATCTTATGCAGTATAATATTCTACTTTATAGAATATACAATAAATATAGATTATAACATGGCATTTTTTATATCAGACCCCTTATCAGCCCTAGGTCATGATATCAGCCCGAGAGCCGACAGGCTCAAGGGATGATTTTGACCATGGGCTGATAAGGGGTCTGATATGAAAAATGACATGTTATGTTCTTTTTATCATATACTTCAGCAGAAGCCATACAGACATGAAAACTTTTTTAAAACTTTATAAAATTCATTTATTGTATTATTTGTTTTGCGTTTTTAAAAAATATATTTTCCTTTTTCCTAATATTCCTTCTGTTATTCTACTTAGCTATGTTTTTCACTTAAATGTACCACTGAGGTTTATTTTCCGGAATTTGCAGAATGACGTCGAAATGCTTTGCGATTACATTAAAGAAAGGCATGCGATAATAACCGGAAGCAGTTGATATAAACCGGATACAGTTGATATATACCGGAAGCAGTTGATAACAAAAGTCGTATCACACGGCTAAGACAATTCTTCAAATTTATTGAATAAATATATGTATAAATTAGTTTTATCAAGGGGTACAATTATACCATTATTTTCTACAAGTATATGATAATATTGTATAGCAAAGTAATATTTTGCATAAAACATATCGTAAATATAACATGCAATATTATTCCCATAGACAATATATATTCCTATAGAAGCCCTATATAAAATTCTATTTATCAATTTTGTTTTTTGAGTTGGTTTCAATTATTCAAAACTTGTTCGTCCTGAATAAGTATTTTATTTGACAATGGAAGTTAAATGGTCACCATCGTTATCATCCAAGCCTGTATAACCTGTCTGATTTTGTAAAACCCCATATAGCATTATGGACAATGGTTCAACTAAAATATTGTTTTAGTCTTTCATAACTTGTACATGACCAACTACTTTTCACCTGAGTTAAACATAAAGTTACATCACATGCAATTTTATTATTTTGAACGCTTTATTATTTAATAGAGCATATGTAACCATGTGTTTTCTATGTTTTTTTTTATTAATCAAGTTTGATTAGCAGATTGATGTTTGGTTATTGTTAGCTTAATGTCTAGTGTAAGCAGATTGAGAAGACACATATTATGAAATATTTTGTGTTTTGGCATACACTATATTTCATATAAAATATTTTGTAGTTTTTCAAATGCATAGGCAAAGTTCCAATAAAGAATTGGTGGAAAAACAAAATGAAATAACCCTCCCTTTTAATAATGCTTTGTCATCTTGGAAATGATTTGTACTGGATTTTTTTGTTTCCTTTTTCTATGCAAAAGTTTCGAAATTCTGCAACATTTGGTTTAAAAAAGATCTTTTTTGTTCCTTGTTCCTGCTAACAAGCGACTGCTTGAAAATACCTCTTATAATAGCAAGGTTTTTCCTAAGAAGTATTTTTCAATGCAGCAAGCTTTAAAATTTTGTCCTATTGGGGCCATATAAGGTCCATTAAACTTTCTGGACATACTTTAAATTACCTTTTATGATAGATAGTAAAGGAGATTCTGGTTTACTGAAACATCCACACTGCTTAAGGAAATCATTTGATATTGTTTGGCTATAAACCTCACTCAGCCAAGCTGGAGAAACAAACAGCATCAAACCACACCCAAAAATGTCATCTAAATAGTCTTTCTGCAAAGATAACTTAATAATCAGTTGTATTCCAATTATAACATGTTGATTTGATGAATGTAATGTTAATGAAAAGAATATCATAACGATATTATGGCAGAGGCATGAAAATACATAAACTGTTGACACAGAGATATGTCTCGCTTGTTGGCATAAAATTCAGAAAAAGACAATCTGATGGACAGCAACATTGCTAATTAATTTAAAGTCGCTGGACTAACTCGTGGGTAGGGCCTCGAAATGGTTGACAAACTGAGATGTTCAAACAGCAATGTAACTTTATAGAAAATATTGTCTATTGTAAGTAGTTCCTATCAAACTAACTTAATCATAAAACTTAACATTGAAAATTGTTAACTGATTGAAAGTCACTGGACCATGACCTAGGGGCCAGGGCCTTAAAATAGTCGTCAAACTGATATGTACTGATAGTAATGCAACTTTATAGATAATATCATTGATCTATCGCTAGTATTTCATATCAAACTAACTTAAGCAGAAAACTTATCATTGAAAATTGCTAATTAATTGAAAGTCACTGAACCATGGCCTAGGGGCAGGGACTCAAAATATTCGTCAAACTGATATGTACTGATAGCAATTCATCTTCATACAAAATATCAATGATCAATCACAAATAGTTCCTATCAAACTAACTTAAGCAGAAAACTTAACAATTGTTGACGCCGTAATCGCCGTCGCCAGAAAAGCAATCCCTATGTCTCGCTTTCCGCGACTTTCGTCACAGGTGAGACAAAAAGTAAGAAGACAGTGTCACTTTATAAAAAAGTCAGATTGATTGTTGTTTGCTCAACATTTAGTGGCAAATATCTCTTGAATATAAAGGATGAAAACATATTAAACAATAAATCAAATAAGTAACTTCTTTACATTGGATTGACTGGGATAAAAGGCATGATATTTAGAACAAAACAAGAAAAAAGGGTGTGATGGAAATGGACAGAATTTTTCCTTGCATCAAGTTTCCTATGACCTCTTAAAAATTTGTTGCTAGAGTTCTTTAGCCTGCTGAAGGCTAGCATATTTACACATCTCACACTGCCGAACATGTATTTCTGCCATATGCGATAAATCCAGGTAACAATATTTCTATACCACAGTCATCCTTGAGGTGCTAGTTAAAAAAAGTATGACAGCATTTCTGAGATTTTTCAAATACTTGTACATCTACAAACAACAAAATTTGAATGGATTTGACAGATTTATACAAAATATCAATAAACATCCATTATAAGACTAAGTAATGCTTTTCTGCTGTTCAAATTGGCGGTCACAGTAATGTCTTAACAATCTGCCAAATGTTCACACTTTCCTTAAATCAGAGATATATTATCTATATTATCTACTCATGTAGGTAAAAAAGAGGAGGAAGAAACAAAGGGGGCAATCAAGATTCAGAAGTCAAAGAGTAACAAACAAAACCATGGCAAAAAACGAAAAACAATGAAAAGACAAACAACAGTATTATACATACCACTACATAGAAAACTTAGACTGAGTAAAATGAACCCCACCAGAAACTGGTTGGATCAGCATACCTCTGTAAATAACATACCTCTGTTATGCTAACTTTATCTTTGTTTTCACTTTCATAATATCCCTCTGTTGATAACTTCATGTTCAGCAATAATGTTGTCATGGTGATCACATAAACGCTATCTGCATTCAGTACTGTCATGTGACCTATACTGCTATCAAATTCTGTTTGGTTTTTAAATAATTCTAGAAAAAGAGTTCTCTTACATCATACAATTACCAATTTAACAAAAGTATTGACAAAAGTATTACTGCATTTTTGTTTTAAATCTATCATACCGTAGTTTTTAAAGTAGAGCGCTTTTCTAGTACTAATTTAGTGGGTTTTTTTTTATATACATATTTTTTAGTTCACTGATTGAGATTAAAAAAAGGAGTGCTTAAATCATAAGAAATACTTTAGTTTTATGCCCACCCCCTATTCATGTGCCTGTCCCAAGTCAATACCCTCATCAGTGGTTGTTTCATGTCATATCTTACTGGTTTTTTGTTATTTGAAGAATTTGATGTTGATGGCAAATTTTGGATTGTTTCTGTTGAATTCCATCATAACTTTAATAAACTGGAGGATTAAGAGATTGACATATTCTTTAGACATCTGTCTATTGTTGAAGACTGTGCTGTCCTCCGAATGTCTTATGGTTGTTTTTGTCATTGGGTTGCTGTCTCAAAAGATTATGACAAATAAAAAATAATAATATATGCCAAAACACATAATTAACAGTGCCTGGTGATGATGATCATCAGGCTCTGTTAATAATGTTTTTTGGCATATACTATATATACATCCAAATGATTATACCTTAGGTACTTACCAGTACAAAATTTGGATGAGAATTTCTGTAAAGCTTCGTCTACATCTTGTTCTGAGTACATCTCCATCAATTCTGGTAACAATTTACATAATGCATCAATGTAAAAGCCAGCATTCTGTCGTTCCGTGACTTCATACTGATTACCAAACTTTGTGTACCTCCTCTCTACCTCCTCTTGTAGGATAATCTGTTGTTCAACTGTCTGCCTACGTTGAGGGCTGTGTGAATTTCTCCTAGTCTCCCCTGGATCAATAGTGATTGAAGCTTCTTGGCTCTCAATATTTTCCTCTGACACTGAACTTCTGTGCCTTGTAGTTTCATTACTTTCTAAAAAATATAGATTATTATTCCATACAATTAACCACATTGTTTCTAATTAAACATTTTAAAAGTGTTGGGATCAAATTGAATATTAAGTGACAGCAATATAATTCATTCCTATAGTTTGACACAGAAAGGATTACATTAAACAAAGTAGGTAGCCATGGCATTTTTATATCATTGTAGACTTATATATGATGATGAGCAGCAACCTTGGTGGCAGAGTAATCTTAGTATACTTGGAAAACATTTACTTGCAGTGAACAGATCACTTTAGTCTAGTTCTACATTGTTCGTGTTATCCCCCCTCAGCTTTTTTATGTTATGCCTTTATTTTTACTACAGTCGAACCTCGTTGTGTCGAACTTGGTTGTGTCCAAAACTCAGATGAGTCAAAGTAATTTCTCGGTCCCGGTAAAATCGGTTGATTTGAATACACGGTTAAGTCAAGTAAACTGTATAGTCCCGTCGATGTAAAATTCATGTAAATTGACCCTGATGTCTCGAAGTTCCAAAGAATTTTCGAAAGATGCAGACCTTATGATAAAAATTCAAATGGGATATAATTCTTATGTTATCTAATCATTTTGAAAAGAGATTAAAGCTGAGTAAACACACTTGTTTGTATAGCAGTTATAATGATATGTTAATGCTGAGACTACTATAACACAGAGATTGGTCACTATAGATTTATCGGATTATCTGAGTCTCCGGTAGTTAGCTACGTTATTTTAACGTAGTTTCGTATTCGACCGTAGCAGACGACATATATCACCTATCACTGAGAATACTATAACAGTATCGGATATTATTATTTTTCTTTTAAAAATAATTTAAAAACAGAATTGAATTAATCAAAAAAAAAATATATAGTTTTTACCTTTCAAATGCAGTTATCTCTATTCATATTTAAATTTTTGTTTTTAATCATTAATAATTTGTTAATAGTTTGTTATTATGCGGCCACTCTTGAAAATATGAATGTGATTAATCTTATCAATCTTACAGTTACATTGTTTTGCTACACGTCCGTTAATTGTATCTAATATACAAATGTTTTACCTGTAAAGACAGGTAGTCTCAAAAGCATGGGAGATGAATTTTGTTTCACAGCTGGGTGCCCAAGGTACACGAGGCTGCGTTTATTGCAGTAAACTTTTATTCTATACTTGTAAGGTATTTCACTGCTGAGTGCCCAATATACATGTTTATTGTAGTAAACCTTGTCAAATATCGTCGGTGCACTTGTGGTAGGATTCAGGAGGGTGTGGATGGGGTTTTATGGAATGGAGAAATAGGGGCAAAAAAAGTATAGAATGGAGAAAAATGGACCGACAAATAAAGAATAGAGAAGAGAAAATAATAAGTTATTAAGATTTAAAGAATAGAGAAAAATGGCATAGAAATTATAGGAAATAAAGAACCCCCAGCCAGACCCTCATTCAGATTATCCAACGTAAATTTTTTTTTCAAACAAGTTTCAACCTCCCCACACACACTTTTTTTAAATTTCCGTCTGATAATTAGGTCAAGTTTTTGCAAACAATGTAATTAGCGGCGATCACAGAAGAGAGAAAAAATTTCATTAAAGGTAAATGAGTAATTTCCTTACGTAACAGATCAGCAAAGAGGTTATAACTGCAATGGATACATAAAGCAAACATAAGCCCTACACATTATATATATGTTCCCAAAATATCGCCGGCATTTTCATTTTTCAATTCACAATGTCCAGTAACATTGATTTTTTATCTTGGGATGATAGTGATCTCAATCTTGATCTTTTACGTGGTGAATATACTGCATCAGATATTGAATCTGAGGATGACTATACGTCCCTGCTGCAAAGACTGCAAAAACTACAAAAACTCCAAAAGAAGCATCAACCGCAAGTACATGTAAATCAGAACGAAGAAGCTTCAAAATTACGTGACTGAATAATCAAATTATCTCTATGTTAACATAAATAGAACCACATTAGTGTAAATTACGATGACATTTTTTCAACACCAGAAATATGTGCCCTCTTTCAAAATCCCAGACAAGAAATTTTGTGCTTCAATACAGAGCCGTAAAGTTTTTGAAAATTTGAATATTGTCTATTGTTTTAGTTATATCGCTATGCTTTTTGTAACCCTAATAATTGAGCAACTCGGATGAAAAGAGTTGTGATTTGCTTTAGTTTTTTTAGCCACAGCAAATATAAATGTGCTTGTTCAATGTTTGGTGACAAACCATGTTAATTGTTGTCGGCATGATGCTTTGTAAATAGGTTCCCTATAACATTTTTTTGTTGGATAACTGCTGACAGTTTACCATGTGAAAATTCTGAGAAGCCAAAAATAATGCGGAATGTATAAATACGTAGCAATGTCAGATCTAAACAAGAATGTTAAATATGATAGCATATATTGATGTCACCTTTCTGTAAATTCAACTTCGATTCACAACTGCTTGTCAATGGCAAATATTTCATGTACAGTCAGCCTGATAAAACCGAAATGAACTATTTTCAAATTATGTTTAAAGTTTGTTTTTATGTTATGTCGTTACACCAATGTCCCATGCTAGTGGTGGTGATGAGCGCCTAAAAATATTTAACATTGTCACATTCTTTATGTGCCCGTCTCAAGTCAGGAGCCTGTAATTCAGTGGTTGCTGTTGGTTCATGTCCGTCATATTTGAATTTTCGTAAATTGCTTTGTTATTGTAGACACTTCGTTTTCTCTAGTGAATTGTTATATATTTTCCATGTCGGGGACTTTTGAAGCTGACTGCACGGTATAGGTTTTCTCATTGTTGAAGGTAATTACGGTGCATTCCAATAACTTACATCCACTTCATTGAACTTCATTTGGACTAAAGGAGTTGTCTGATGATCATTAGCAAAAATATATAAAAATCTCCTTAAAGTTTGCTTCAAGTGGCTATTCCTTTAATATATAAAGATGAGTGGTTACTTGTTTTATTTCTTTCATTGAACTGTTATCCAAACTGAGCGTGTTAGTGAATTTCTGCATTCCTGTCTTAGTTTTAATGTATATAATAATAAAAATGTATATTCAAAGACTTAAATATTTATTTCTCCATGTAAGACAAGCATGGCAAATTCAATGAAATTAAAAAAAATACTAAAAAAAGTCATTTTCTCCTGTAGTACTTCTCCCTTCTTCTAATGCGTGATTTCTTTCTGGGGGTATTCCTACAATAAAGAATATATTATAAATAAAAAGAAATAATCTTTGTCAAGTTTATAGCATAGGCAATTCATTAATTTTTAAGACAGTAATCTGAGACTTGAGACTCAGCAGTAATTGACCAATCATGTCAATATGGATCAAAATAGTTAAACTGATAAAGGATGCAGACCAAAGGTGCATGTACTTTTTACATCATGTTTGGGTCAAATATTTAAGAAAAATACGTCTATTTAGGAACTCATGATGTACTGGTATTTCACATGGTGACACATTTTCATTGCATAATATTATTATACTAGCATGTATAGACTGCATATATATTATCAAGGGAAACAAATATAAATCTAAATTTCTTTCACTAACAATACAAATTCACCTATCAGACCTCATGTTGTGTGTGTGCAACTTGTCTCGTATGTTTCTCAGTTCTGCAGCGGGAACTTACTGATACAGAAAAATTGGAATTTCATATAATTACAAATTTAACATCATTACATCGGTTAATTACTAAGGCTTGCACATACATTATCCGGAAAACAGATTGTTCATCTGAATGTAAGTTATGGGTGAGTTGCTCATTGACCCTGTCCCACGGACTGGTAATAACTCGAGGTTACTTTCCGGTTTGGTCGGTAAATTCAAGTCTATAACTGCACTTATTTTATTTAAAGTGCTTATAAACCAACATTTATGAACATGTCAAATCTTATATTCACACTTACCGGAACATAACACTCTTTATAAATCCACATTTGTTAATTATTATTTTCTCTTTCGCTGTCAAAAATGGCGGTCGAATCCTTCTTGTCAATCATTGCGAGTCACGTGCCGAGTCACGTGATCGAAGACTTACAATTAATTACTATTTGACTGGTCAGTACGGGAAGTGACCAATCTCTGTGTTATAGTAGTCTCAGGTTAATGGTGACCGGCAATTAACACCTTTGTTGATTGTCCAAGCGGAACGTTAGTGTGTTAAACATATTTCACCACCTGACATAAAAATGAAACAAATTTAAATGACCCAAGCCAAGAATAAATGAATCGTTAGAATTAAAATTCATTAATTACAATAAATAAAAGGATTGAGACAATTATGATCAATTCATAATAATTTAATGTAAAGCAGATGACCTCATCATAGACTGTTCAGAACTTGTTTCGTTCCGCGAGTGATTTCATAATTTATAGTGACTGACCTTTTTAAATATTTGTGTATACTATTGATTTTATTTGTGCATGATTTGTATCTGTAATTGTGTGTTTAATTATTATGAAGGACCAAAATATATGGAGATTGAATACACAAACATAAAGTGTCATATCGAAAAAAGCACACTGTTCAAAGTATCTAGTTTACACAAATCTCATACCGTATTTCATGCAGACCAAATTTATGACTACACACTCGACCTTGGATGAGTCGAACCTCGGATTAGTCGAATAATTTTGTCCGATCCCTTCGACATAACTATGTTCGACTGTATATCAAAACAGAAAGCAAACCAGTTTATTTCTTCCATTAATATACAAACAATACAATACTATCTACTTAGATAAAACCTGTTTATTTGTTATGCCTTTCTACAGCATCTTAATCTTGTTCTGTCTTTTAAAAAACAATCAAAATTAATTACCTAAGTTATTGCATACCACTTTGAGGTAATTCTAAAAAGCACACCATGTACAGATCTACTCCTCCCTGATTATAACATGTCATCAGTTATTTTTTTTAAGGAAGAATATGATGAAAAATTCCTGGACCCTTGATCATTATCTTTTTTAGGCTTAAAGTCAAGTAGCAAATACTGCATGCAAAGCCAGACTGAACATGTTCACAATATATCAGTTTGTAGAATTGGAAAAGTGGGTGGTCTTGAGGAAGGGTCAGATAATTGTAAACAAGACTGGGTACAAGGATGAGTAGAGAATAAAATGGTCATTACCTGTACCTAATAAGACAAAAAGCTGGTTAATACACTGGCTTATTAAGTCTGTGACACCCACACCACGGCTGATCTGTTCTAATGATCCCAACATATCATTGATACATGCTACACTTGTAATACACACCTGTGTATCATTACAATGACAACTTTCCTGTATGGAGTCCACAATTCTGTAAATTTAGGAATATACAAATTTCATTATTCAGTTCATACATACAGAATAACTATACATTGTCTCTCTTTATAAAATTTAATTGTATAAATTTAGGAACAGGTAGAATGCATTTCTATCCTGTTTTGAGCTGAGTACAAATAAAATTTATGTTTTGAGACAATGTATGTTTGTTCTCTTTATACTGCAACTCTTAAAACTGTGGGAAAGGAAATATTTTTGGAAGAAACCAAAAATTTTGAATTTGAAATAGATCACATGAAAATTCTGTGAACCTGCATTATCTCAAGTTGTCATAAATAAAACTCTATGGAAACACATTTCAATATCACAAACAAAGCTTTATACAGTCAAATGAATTTTGACTGCTCAAATAGCTCAGTTGCAGAATTATTATTATTCTCTTATGGATTAACTTACAGTTTAATCAAAGATACATCTGTAAATGGATTTTTGGTAATAGATTTCTTATTTATATCCTCTGTAGGTAATGCAAGACCAAAAATACCTCCTGGACTTTTCAGTGTCTGAAAAAAGAAATTATCAACAATTCATTTTTGGTTCATAACATCTAGAAAGTAAGTGGATTATCATATTAATATATGAAGTATAGGACAGTATTTTTTTTAAAGTTTGCTTTCTAATAATATTAAAGCATATATTCTCTTCTTGTATAGCATATCTTTTATCTTAGACAAGAGTTTTTAAATGAACAATACATTTCTTTGTTGGTATCAAATACAATATTTCAATTTTCACAATAGACTTAGTAAAGTCATGAAAACTGTTACAGACAGTAAAGTCATGAAAACTGTTACAGACATAATAGTCCAGTAAGATTGCCGTTTGATCCAGAACAAAGTACAACAGAAAAAGTAAAGGCGTTAAAATATTCACCTTTCATCACTATTCAAAAAAATAAAAATTCTCCACCAAAATATACTGTTTTTCACATACAATTTATTATATAAATTGTAAAAAAATTATGACACCAACGCATATCCATAGCTGATCCGGTATTTAGAATTTTTTTCTCATGACGTCAAACATGACGGCAGAAAGAAAGAAAAATGATTGAAAGACGAAGTTTTTGTAAGTATAATAATACAATGAACTTATTCTTTTCGATTATGATTAAATTAAGCCCAATTTAATATCAATAAACCCTAATTGAGAGGGGTATAATCCGTGTCTATAATAAGTAGGCGCTACCTTCCCAAAATGCAACACTCAACAAACAATATGCGTTTTTATTCGTTTTATACCAAACCTTATCTAGATTCTAATCAGTTACAACCCGTAATATCATTTAACAACCATATCTAGTAAAAAGAAAGTTATTTGTAATGCAAAAATTAATAAAACACATGAAAGGGGGGGATGCAGACTAAAAATTAATCTAAGGCACGCCGGTTTAACATTAATAACAGTCCAAAATATGATATTTGTGATTTTTTTTAATTTGCTAGTTGTTTAGTGTAATACAAATTATTGGATAAGTTTCTTATATATTTTTTTCTTTCTTTTGCAGCTTACCACGTCAAATGAAGTAATAATATCCAACCCAAACTAAGAATGACGAGTTTACTGTAATAAATTGTATAAAGGGTAGGTTAAACTTAAGGAAATCAATCTATTATAATTTATTCATCGACAATTATCATTATCATTTTTTTTAAATAATTCCTTATCTTTTTTTTCAGATGAAGAACTATTACAGATTGAAATGGAATCAAAATGTGTTTTTTGCCAACAACCCCTTGACAATGGTGAGAATTTCTTCGTCAGAAAGGATGTGAAGGTATAAACAGAGCCAATGAGGTGCTGAACACTAATATTGTAACTCGTCCTGGTCAAAGAGTACATCAGTATTGTCAGAGCGATTTCTGTCGCCACAGAGAAATAAGACAATCTGAAAATAATTCCATGTTAAGCGAGAAGACTCTCAGTTACGATCAGCAGCAAATAACTTTTCCTTCCGTAACCATTGTCTTTTCCGTGCACTACCAGTCAAAAAGAATGGCAACAAAAAAAGTGCAGATTGTTACCCCGTGGGCACGTTTGAATTTCAAAAGGCTGTTAGAGCCGCATGGTTAGATCGCAATGATGAATGGGGACATCAGGTGTTAGAAAGAATAGAATTTGGCAGAGACTTACCAGCGGTTGATGCAGTTTATCATCAAGTCTGTAGCGCAAACTTCAGAACAATGAGACAGGTACCAAAACAAATGCAAGAACCTAGTCAAAAAGTGCAGAAAGTCAGCAAAGGAAGGCCAACAAATTGGACACAAAAGGAAGCGTTTTTGAAAACGGTGACATGTCTGGAAAACAATGACAATGAACAATTATCAATCTTAGATCTATGTGCTAAAATGAAAGAATACTGCAGAAATGAAGATGACCCATACAGCTCCAAGTATATGAAAAAGAAACTCCTTGATCACTTCGGGCCATCCATTGTTATACATTTTGTAGCAGAAATTAAGGGGAAACCAGATGTTGTAACTTTTAAAATGACAGCATCAGAAATAATTCATGAATTTTATAACCAACCGAAAGACAAAGACATACAAATAAAACAGAATAGGTTGATTGAAGCGGCAGCAAAACTTATATTGAATGACATAAACAGCATTCCAACAAACAAGGAAATGTACCCTGATCCAAGCATGTTGTCTTCAATCACTGCAAATCAAGAGTTTCTTCCGGCATCCTTAAGAACATTTTTGATGATGTTGTTGAAGAGTACGACATCTGATATAAAGATTTGTTCAGTGGGACAAGCTGTAATGCAAGCTGCCAGACATAGAGTAATTATGGTACCCCTACAGGTGGGTTTAGGAATACAACTGCACCACATTTTGCATCAAAATACTTGATCGATGTACTTCATACACTTGGCTTATGCTCTTCAAATGGCAAAATTTTGAATTTTGAATCCAGTGCTGCAGTCTCCCAAGTTACTCCAAGTATTACTTTCAAAGAACCCGTTCCGAGAATAGATACAACACCAGAACAAATAATAAAATCCGGCAAAATTGAAATAAAATTTCACTAATTACCAGCTGAAATGCAACCTTTTAATTTGAAGGAACTTAAGACGCTTGAATAACAATGACCGGACAAAAATCTTAGAGACATTATTGAAGATATCATGGCCTCTTCATTCACCTCTTGTAAGTTGGTCAGGATTTATGCAGACAGTTCAAGAAGGACCATATCACGGAGAATCATCGATACACTTTTTACCCATGATTGACATGAACCCAAGCGACCTCTCATGTATTTTCTCCACATTATCGTTCATTTGCAAAGAAGCCAATCGCCTTCGACCTACACCTTCAATTACTTTCCATCAACCTCTCTACTGGAAAGCCTAAATGATATTACACAATGAGCCAAGAGACAGTTCACTTAAATCTGTTGTTCTACACCTTGGTGGTTTTCACATGCAGATGAGTTTTCTCGCTTGTATTGGCCATACTATTCAGTCGTCTGGGCTCTATGAGCTACTAGAAAATACATATGCATCAAACACAATAGAGCATATGATGTCAGGAAAGTCTGTATCGGAAGCTGTTCGAGGGCATAACATAATCGATCGTGCTTTGTACATTCTGCTGTTATCGAAAATGATTGACGTTTTCTTACTTGAAATTGGAGGAAATACTGATGAACATGTGAATGAGGTCAATGCCTAGGACAATGAAGTCATTGTCACTAGCACAGAGCAAAATAAGGCATCCCTCAGAGCAAAGATTGAATCTGCACTGCAGACATTCAAAGAGATTCTAGAAAACAAAACATCATTTGAAAACATCCAGAACGACGATAACGTAGAAGACATTTATCAATTGATCAGGAACGAGTTTGATAGAGTGTCGAAGTATCTAATTCAAAACTCTGGATTCAGTGTATGGACATGATTAACATAATGAAACTGTTTCTTTAAAGTAGAAAGAACCGGTGATTGGCTTTTACATTTGCACGCTATACAGGAAATGCTACCCATTTTTGCTGCAACAGGACACAACTTATATCTGAAGTCAGCCTATTGTTATCTTCAGCAAACGTAAACATTAGAAACAGAATATCCCGATATATGTATTCGAAGTTTTTGTGAAGGATATCACGTTTTTAGAAGCAACAGATATTGGGCTGGAATTTCAACGGATTTGACCATTGAACAGATGTTAATGAGGAGCGTTAAAACGAGTGGAGGACTGACAAGAGGCAAAGGGATGTCAGAAGTGCAAAGGGCACAATGGCTACTCTCAATGCCAGCATGCTCAGGTATCAATTCAGCTATGCAGACAGTGGAAAATTTACAGTATACAACTTGATAACAACACAAAGAAAGCACAAAATCGAAACAAGAGAGAGACAACAAGGATGTATTGACTATTCTTTCATATCTCAGTGAGAGAAATCCCTTTCAGAGTTCAGAACTTCGAAGTATAGAAACTGAGGTCACCGCTACCGATGAAGTTAATGTACACAACGCTCAGTTAGTTGGAAAAACAATCATTGAATCGATGAAGGATCAGGATGCATTTTCAATATCATTCAAAAGAAGCATGCAAGTGAAAACCTTGAATGAAAAGACAAAGATCAGAACACAAGGTGACACCCTAAATGTTAGTTCTCAACTACTTTTTCAGAGACTGATTACCAACGCTAAACATGTCACAGACGATGTATCGAAAATCTTTTCATACGAACTGAGCAATTTTTTTGAGGTTCTTGCTTGGCACCTGATGTATCAAACATCGCTTGATACATCAGGTGCCATGCAAGAACCTCAAAAATCAAACCTTGCTGAAGCTTTGTGGGCAATCTGTGATTGTTCAGCGGAATATGAGACTTCTACAACTGATGTCCAGTATGTACTTGATTGTTGCATCGTATTCCATGGCCGAGCGGTGTAACTTTCTGAAGAATTGCTGACTTGTATGTTGATCACGTCTGTAGAAAATACCTGCCTACCTGTTGGATCTAGCTTGTCTCCTGCTCCCGACGACCTCTTGAAGACAATTTATTGTAGATGTAAATCGAACTGTGATACATAACAGTGTAACTGTAGGAAAATTGAGAATGGAAATGGGAAATGTGTCAAAGAGACAACAACTCGACCAAAGAGCAGAAAACAGCCCAAGGCCACCAATTGGTCATCAACACAGCGAGAAAATCCCACACCCGGAGGTGAGCTTCAGCTTGCCCCTAAACAAAAATGTGTATTAGTTCAGTGAAAATGGATGTCACACTAAACTCTAAAACATATAAATGAACCAAAATCAAAAAAAATGCAGTGAGGTGAGAGTATTTTTGCTCTGTGTTGAAGGCCTCACTGTGACTTTGAGATGAAGAACAGCAATAAAAGCGCTGTTCCTTTGCTTTTTGTGTTTTTTTTGTTGTTGTGCATGTACTGAATTTTTGTCATGGATGAATACCTCATATCCTTTGTTTTTCTATTATACAAGACTAACAAAGGCCAGAGGCCCCTGACTTGGGACAGGCGCAAAAATGTGGCGGGGTTAAACATGTTTTGTGAGATCTCAACCCTCCCCTATACCTCTAGTCAATGTAGAATAAACAAACACGCAGCAATACGCACAGTAAAACTCAGTTTAAAAGAAGTCCGAATTATGGTCTCGAATATTCCGTTGCCTGCATAGAATGCTGGGGCACAACTTCTTGTAATGGATGTACTCCAAATTATGATTCTGAATCTGATGATTGATCATCTAATCGTTTAGCTTGCATTGAAATACTATGGATTTCTGATTACAATACAATGTTAACAAATTTGTTTGCGAAAGAGCTTTTAAATAATTCACTACTTATACATAATAAGGTGTCTTCATGCTCATTTGTTTATGTTAGATTTTGAAAACCAATTCAAACTTTAAAAGGGATGAATTTTACATATTGACAAATGTTTTTACATACTATACCTATGTATAGTAGCCTATATTAATATAAAACAAGTGTTTCAAATGAATTTTTATACCCATTTGCATCACTTAATAACTTTAAAAGACAGTTTCTACATCGATATTGCATATACTAACCAAGTTTGTTGTCCACTTTTACCATTAAGAGATTGTAGGGAAATTCCCATTTTTCCATGATTTTCTGCCAAAAAAAGTTTATTTTCACACAAAATTGCAATAATATTGCACTTGATTGCAAACAATCCTATTTGTAGCCAAGACAACAACATTTATTTCTTATTAACCTAACCAATTCCGCTTGTATTTTGATAGAAGTGTTTAACAGGTTATTTCCAATTTTTCTTCAAAATCCACATTTTCTTCCCACAAAAAATCGGTAAATACCTTCCTGGATTTATGGCCATTTTTTATATGACAATAAGGGCACATTCAGCTAATCAATAAACCCGACAGTTTCTTTATTGATATTGCACATTTTAACCAAGTTTTCTTTCTATCCATAACTTTAAGAGATTGTAGGGAAATTCCCATTTTCATGATTTTCTGCAAAAAAGCTTATTTTCGACAAAAATTGCAATAATAATGCATTTTATTGTAATCAATCTTGTTTGTAGCAAAGACGACAACGTTTATTTCGTATCAACTTAACCAATTATGATTGTATTTGATAGAAGAGTGGGTTAGAGGCTATATCCAGTTTTTCACGAATTTTCTTCAAAATCCACATTTTCTCCCCCAAAAAATCATTAAATGCCTTCCTGGATTTATGGCGATTTTTAATGTGTGAATAAGGACACCTAAAACTATTGAATAAACACCAAGAACTTTCTGTTGCTATTAGTTCTCTGTCAGGCTATTTTTGGCGCAGATTGACTGGACTATAAAATCATCTTCCATTTAGAAAAAAATGAAATGTTTTAAAATGATATTTGATTGATGCAATGCTGACATTTATATTTTGACACAATCTGTTCTTGCAAATACCGGCAACTATTTATTTTATTGCAGGGTAAACATGCAACAGAAAATCAATTTATATGTAAAATCTAACGGATGTTAGTGGAACATCTATTGGAAGCCTTAATTTAAATGTAACACTACATTTAGATACTTGACTCTGGGTCACTTAATTTCTAGAGTTGAAGTCAAACTGCAACTATTTGAAATACAACATATATGTAGAATAAATTGTAGGTCAGAGTGACCCATTTTTATCCAGTTTTGGAATTTATATGAGTGAATATAAATTCATACTTGAATCAGAAAACTGAAGTTGTCCATCTTTTGGTGTGAGGTTGTTGTACTATTTAGGATGCAATGCATCAAGTAATTTGATTAAACTTGAATAAAATTTTAATAGAAAATCACACACTGATACCAACAAATAAAGCCCCTCCAAATACTGATGGGCCAAGTTAGAAACCTTTTCAGTACTGTGGATTCATTTTTATTTGTGGTATACCAATTTTCGTGGGTTTTGTGGGTCACAGCGAACCTCTAATTTAAGAATTCAACGAAGAATAATCCCGAGAAATGTGTATGGAGTCGGATGTTTATTTCCGGTTATGTTATGCAGTTTTAGTATAGTGTTGACTAGCAATATACATTGTAACATAACACATGTTTTTATTGAAAGAAGATACAAGTATTTTGATTAAATCAATAATAAATATATTGAATATCAGTGATAATTTACTTTTTAAAATAGATTAAAACTGTTCATGGAAAATAACTGCAAGTTGTAAATTACTGTGTCATAGTTTGGTTTACTGGTGATTAAAAATCAATAGGATTAAGTACGGGGATATTGCCTGTAGGTAATATTGTTTATGACAGGAATATTTATTTTCACACCTTTTACTTATATGACTGTTTATTATATCGTGATGGGGGAAATAAGCTTTCAATCAGAGTTTTGAATGCCTTATAAAATTCCGACAAGAATTATAAATTGTAAAACAAACAAATAATTAGTTGTCTCTGTCCATTATTGTAATAGAAGTTTTCAATGAACACTTTAACCTAGAATGACCAAGCAAGGATTTTGACAATTCAAAACTTTTTCAATGAATTCCTTCTTTTTTGTTTGTTTTATTATTGATCAAATGAAGGAGGTTATATGATCTCCTAAATCAAAAAGAAATCCACGTATCTGGTTTTTTTTTTTGTAATCAGTGACCCACGAATTTACGTATACAACGAAACATCTTTTTTTCTCTATCCACGAAAATTGATACCCACGAAAACAAATGAATCCACAGTAGTTGTAATTATTCATTTTTGTTGTTAATGATAAATTTGTTGTTGATGACTGTTAGTCTCTACATAATACATTCATAACCTGTCTAGACTAAGGGCCATAACCCTTGTTTTCATCTTATTGTAGCCCATTAACTGTATACTGTATCTATATAGATTCTACCACTGCATCAAGTGTGATACGATATTTATCCACTCAAGACAGTTAAATTTTCAAATTTAGAACATGAGGCTTGCCGAACGTTTTAAATATTTAAATTTAACTATTGAGAGTGGATAAATATCGTATTGCACTAGATTTGGTGGCGGAATCTGTTTCTCTGATGAATTTTAGACGATATACAGACAATCTTAATCCTTCTTTTCGAATGATCTGCAAAAACATGTGTTCTTTCTATGTGACGTCATCAGGCATGGTCGCTTTTTTCATGAAGTCTCAATAGGAAATTCAGAGGAAAGTAAATATTTAAATTTAGCTATTGAGAGTGGATAAATATCGTATTGCACTAGATTTGGTGGCGGAATCTGTTTCTCTGATGAATTTTAGACGATATACAGACAATCTTAATCCTTCTTTTCGAATGATCTGCAAAAACATGTGTTCTTTCTATGTGACGTCATCAGGCATGGTCGCTTTTTTCATGAAGTCTCAATAGGAAATTCAGAGGAAAGTAAATATTTAAATTTAACTATTGAGAGTGGATAAATATCGTATTGCACTAGATTTGGTGGCGGAATCTGTTTCTCTGATGAATTTTAGACGATATACAGACAATCTTAATCCTTCTTTTCGAATGATCTGCAAAAACATGTGTTCTTTCTATGTGACGTCATCAGGCATGGTCGCTTTTTTCATGAAGTCTCAATAGGAAATTCAGAGGAAAGAAAGACAATGCCCCCCCCCCCCCCCCCTTATTCTCTGCCATATGCATGAGTATAGTTCCACATATTTTAGATTTGACAAACAGTGATGTTTGCATACAACTTGAAATTGTTACGCTGTCTGTAAGACACAAATGATGACCCCGCCTGACCAAAACAAGAATGAGTCTATAGTACACGGATGCCCCACTCGCACAATCATTTTCCAAGTTCAATGGACCGTGAAATTGGGGTCAAAACTCTAATTTGGCATTAGTCCAACTACCTGTCATTTTGAAAATATTTGAAAAAAATCAAAATCCTGTGGCCATGCACATCTCATTATGTGTATGAACATCCTACAAAATATTAAAGTTGTATCTCCAAAACTGTAGGAGGAGATAGCCGGACAAACAATGTATCCTAATCTGGACGGACGGACGAACGGAAGAACCGACAGACAGACAGATAGACAGGGGTAAATTAATATGCCCCTCAACATTTTGTCACAGGGTCATAAAAATTGGACGTCATAATTGAATTTTGACCAACAAGTCAGGAAAAGGATAAATAGGGTAAGAATTAGAGAGATATGTTTATCGTTTGTTTTTCATACTTCTCTAACAGCTTTCAGAGCATCCAGCCTATGTTGTGGTGGTGGGTATAACATCATCCTATGGAACACAGACTCTAATACTGGTCTCATAGACTCTGTTCTGCCCATTAAATCCACCAACGATAAAGCAATGCTAAAACATAATCATTTAGTTGTCATTGAAAAACATATGACAGCCAAACTATCAGAAATTACATTTTCAGAATTATTATCAATGAAATATGATTACCTGTATATTGCGTGCTCCTGACCTTGTTATTATCTGTATATTGTTTTAGCTGTTGATAATTGTAAGTTAGGTTATTACCTGCATATTGTTTTAGCTGTTAGGTTATTACCTGTATATTGTTTTAGCTGTTGATAATTGTAGGTTAGGTTATTACCTGTATATTGTTTTAGCTGTTGATAATTGTAAGTTAGGTTATTACCTGTATATTGTTTTAGCTGTTGGTAATTGAAGGTTAGGTTATTACCTGCGTATTGTTTTAGCTGTTGATAATTGTAAGTTAGGTTGTTACCTGTATATTGTTTTAGCTGTTGATAATTGTAAGTTAGGTTATTACCTGTATATTGTTTTAGCTGTTGATAATTGTAAGTTAGGTTATTACCTGTATATTGTTTTAGCTGTTGATAATTGTAAGTTAGGTTATTACCTGTATATAGTTTTAGCTGTTGATAATTGTAGGTTAGGTTATTACCTGTATATTGTTTTAGCTGTTGATAATTGTAAGTTAGGTTATTACCTGTATATTGTTTTAGCTGTTGATAATTGTAAGTTAGGTTATTACCTGTATATAGTTTTAGCTGTTGGTAATTGAAGGTTAGGTTATTACCTGTGTATTGTTTTAGCTGTTGATAATTGTAGGTTAGGTTATTACCTGTATATTGTTTTAGCTGTTGATAATTGTAAGTTAGGTTATTACCTGTATATTGTTTTAGCTGTTGGTAATTGAAGGTTAGGTTATTACCTGTGTATTGTTTTAGCTGTTGATAATTGTAGGTTAGGTTATTATCTGTATATTGTTTTAGCTGTTGATAATTGTAAGTTAGGTTATTATCTGTATATTGTTTTAGCTGTTGATAATTGTAAGTTAGGTTATTACCTGTGTATTGTTTTAGCTGTTGATAATTGTAAGTTAGGTTATTACCTGTATATTGTTTTAGCTGTTGATAAGGCCAACCTTAAAAATATGTTTGTTTGCAGTTTTCCGACTGTACCTTCAGACTGCAGGGTCGGTAGGTAGGAAAAATATTTTATTTTACCAGCCAGAATAAAGTTTAAACAAGCAGTTTAACACAAACCAAGTTTCTTGTGGAGAAAAAACATTTTAAAACAACAAACACTGAAAACCAACATGAAATGAACAGGCATTTTCAGGTAAACACCTTTTTAACCAAAATTGAAACTTAACATAGTGTCATTATACAATTTATGACATAAATTTATGGTATTATGAAATACTGGAACACTTATAAACAAGGAATGACTAGAATTGTTGTAAAGAAACATATTCACTGACATATATGCATCTTTACTAGAATATTTTCATGAGTAGAGTATTTGCATCAGAAAAATGTAGATATTAAAGATTCAAGACAATTTAGGAGTGTGTTAAAAAAAAGATCAACCATTGAATCTTCCTCAATTGAAAAAAAAGACAACTTAAAAAAAATATATTATACATCTGACTGTTATGAAGGTTATATTTGGAAAGATATGTTGATGCCAGGCTTTAATTAAAACAAACAAAAATCTTAAGACTACCCTTGGGGTGAAATCCATAGCACCCCACTAAAATAAATGATCTGTACTGAAATGTTTTGACTGCATAAAAAAATTGGCAGCATAGCTCCTAGCTGAGGACATATTTCAATTCAATTCACACAGGCCACACAGTTTGGGTATATTTAATATTGTAAGAGAGAGAATAATTGCAATGAGTGGGACAGCCCCCCTTATCCTAAAGGAGCATACTCATTGCAATCGAAGATAGATTTGATACATAGAGAATATATTTATTTCTCAAGCCAACCATTCATTTTCTCTACATCTTTGTGTAGTTTGTGTGGCTTCTTATTGATTTAACATTTCAAATGCGTCCTTCCACCGTACAGGCGTGTTTACAGGTATCCATGAAGTCACGGAGGAGTGGTTTCATCTTTGTCGTCTTCACGACGATTTAAAGAAAATATGGCATACTTCAGGCTACTGTCGAATTGTTGAACCACTGATATTGGTTCCATAAAGTCAGTCTCAAAAGATTCTGTATCCGATTTGTTTGAGACAGAAACGGTTATCGTGTTGGTTTTATGAATATCTGCTGCATCATCGTCAATGATATCATCTAATACATCATTCCGTGTGCAATTCTGCCTGAATCAGTATAAACAGTTTACTATGAAACTTTTCTGTGTATTATTTGTCTTAAAATTTGACAGAAGACGACATAATAATGTACTCCTCCATGACTTCGTGGATACCTGTAAACAATCTCCATGTGCTTTACCATTAAAGGGTCCGATGAACGCTTGACGGGAAGGGAAGAAAAATCTACCTTCAAACATGTAATTGACCTAGACTCGAAATCAATTCCGGAAACGACCTGAAATTCCGGATCGATTCAATAGAAGTATTAAAAATAATTTCTTAAAATTAAAAGCAATAAAATGTTCACAGTCGGGCGAATTTTCGAAGGTCGGTCGGTAAACTGCAAACAAACAATATTTTAATTTAAGCCTAATTGTAAGTTAGGTTATTACCTGTATATAGTTTTAGCTGTTGATAATTGTAAGTTAGGTTATTACCTGTATATTGTTTTAGCTGTTGACAATTGTAAGTTAGGTTATTACCTGTATATTGTTTTAGCTGTTGATAAATGTAAGTTAGGTGCTGATGATGAACATCCTGATCCTCTTCCTATATCCTCAACAGGTGTGCTCTTAGGAGATGGGGCACTTTTTTCCATTTTAGGGTTTCCAAGTAAACATATCAAGGAAGGACATAAACTTTTCCTACAATAAAACAAAAATGATCAATGTGATTAGTAATAATACAATTTATCATATACTTGTATAAAATATTACTTAAATTTTACAGTTCAATAACATTTAAAAATATTAAAAGGCTATGAAAGGATTACTAGATTTATTGATCAGATTCCTAAGAATTTCCTCAGGGGGCTGATAAAGGAACCTTTATTGACTGCTTCCGGAATGTTATCACATGATATTTCCGTTAATTTCCGTGACGTTTATCACATGCAACTTCGTGCATTTCCGGAAATTTATTTGAAAACGACAACACAGTGCGGAAAACCGCAAGTGATTTAAGACTTTTCACAAAATGGTTGAGGAGCAAATTTCAAAAGTAAAAACATGATAATTGTTGTGACAAGATAAATAAAATGCTTGTTATATCAATAAAAACAATTAAAGTTAAGAAATTTGTATTTGGTTGTCTGTAAATTATTATCTAAAAATTCATAGAAAGACAAAATTTTAATTAATAGTTCTTGTCTGTATTTCTTCTGTTAAAGTATATGATAAAAAGATAATTACAGGTCATTTATCATATTAGACCCTTTATCGGCCCTCGGTGAATTTATATTAATAGTTAACTATTCAGGTTTAATGGGCATTACCTCAAGCAAAAATTGTTAAAATTATATGATGCTATATGATCATGCTATGTGTAAGACTAAAGACCTCAGTCTTATTGTGTCAACAAATTAAGAGATATGGATGGACCCTAGTTACATAATTTAGTTTATGATTTTTTTTGGTGAAAACATACAATTGAAAATCCCCCCCCCCCCCCCCCCCCCTCTGTTTTTTTATACTACAAATGGGTCAAATAGTTTCTATTTAAAAGCAAATATCATTAGGTCAGTCATCCTCTTTGGGTAAATGTTGAACAAAGGTACTGTCTGGTGTTACAATGAAAGAACCTTTGTGAGCACGCTCACATACCCCACACCCCCACATAGTCACTTAAGGGAAACAAAATATAACCTGATTCCAGATGATTGTGATGACAAACTGTTACAGTAGTATAGTTAGGCCAAAATTCTATGTTCACTTGGGCATAACATATTGAAATAAAATGCTTCGCTGGGCGCAGCTTGATACGACCGCAGAGGTCGAACCCTGAACAGTTGGGGCAAGTATGGACACAACATTCAAGCTTGATACAGCTCTGAATTTGGATTGTGATTAAATATTTGACACAGCATAGGTTTCTGACACAGAAAGAATGTGGTCTAAGAACTTCAATTTTTTTAATTTACCTATTATGGTCCAATGTCCAAAATCAAAATACATGGTTAGATTCAGCATATCAAAGAACCCCATATATTCAATTTTTGTTGAAATCAAACAAAGTTTAATTTTGGACCCCAACTTGGACAAACTTGAAAACTGGTCCCATAATCAAAAATCTAAACACATGTTTAGATTCAGCATATCAAAGTACCCCAAGAATTCAATTTTTGTTAAAATCAAACTAAGTTTAATTTTGGACCCTTTGGACCTTAATGTAGACCAATTTAAAAAACGGGACCCAAAATTAAAAATCTAAAAACACGGTTAGATTTGGCATATCAAAGAACCCCAATAATTCAATTTTTGATGAAATCAAACAATGTTTAATTTTGGACCCTTTTGGCCTCAATATGAACCAATTTGATAGCAGGCCCACAAAATAAAAAATCTAAATACATGGTAAGATTCAGCATATCAAAGAACCCCATATATTCAATTTTTGTTGAAATCAAACAAAGTTTAATTTTGGACCCCAACTTGGACCAACTTGAAAACTGGGCCCATAATCAAAAATCTAAACACATGTTTAGATTCAGCATATCAAAGAACCCCAAAAATTCAATTTTTGTTAAAATCAAACTAAGTTTAATTTTGGACCCTTTGGACCTTAATGTAGACCAATTTAAAAAACGGGACCCAAAATTAAAAATCTAAATACACGGTTAGATTTGGCATATCAAAGAACCCCAATAATTAAATTTTTGATGAAATCAAACAAAGTTTAATTTTGGACCCTTTTGACCTCAATATGAACCAATTTGATAGCGGGGCCACAAATAAAAAATCTAAATACATGGTAAGATTCAGCATATCAAAGAACCACATATATTCAATTTTTGTTGAAATCAAACAAAGTTTAATTTTGGACCCCAATTTGGACCAACTTGAAAACTGGGCCAAAAATCTAAAATCTAAATACATGTTTAGATTCAGCATATCAAAGAACCCCATATATTCAATTTTTGTTGAAATCAAACAAAGTTTAATTTTGGACCCCGATTTGGACCAACTTGAAAACTGGGCCCATAATCAAAAATCTAAATACATGTTTAGATTCAGCATATCAAAGAACCCTAAGAATTCAATTTTTGTTAAAATCAAACTAAGTTTAATTTTGGACCCTTTGGACCTTAATGTAGACCAATTTAAAAACGGGACCCAAAATTAAAAATCTAAATACACGGTTAGATTTGGCATATCAAAGAACCCCAATAATTCAATTTTTGATGAAATCAAACAAAGTTTAATTTTGGACCCTTTTGACCTCAATATGAACCAATTTGATAGCGGGTCCACAAATAAAAAATCTAAATACATGGTTAGATTCAGCATATCAAAGAACCCCAAGAATTCAATTTTTGATGAAATCAAACAAAGTTTAATTTTGGACCCTTTTGACCTCAATGTGGACAAAGTTGATAACGGGGCCCAAAAATCAAAAATCTAAATACATGGTTAGATTTAGCATATCAAAGAACCCCATATATTCAATTTTTGTTGAAATCAAACAAAGTTTAATTTTGGACCCCGATTTGGACCAACTTGAAAACTGGGCCCATAATCAAAAATCTAAATACATGTTTAGATTCAGCATATCAAAGTACCCTAAAAATTCAATTTTTGTTAAAATCAAACTAAGTTTAATTTTGGACCCTTTTGACCTTAATGTAGACCAATTTGAAAACGGAACCAAAAATTAAGAATCTAAATACACGGTTAGATTCGGCATATCAAAGAACCCCAATAATTCAATTTTTGATGAAATCAAACAAAGTTAAATTTTGGACCCTTTGGACCTCAATGTGGACCAATTTAAAAACGGGGCCCAAAATCCAAAAACTTAATACACGGTTAGATTCAGCATATTAAAGAACCCCAAGAATTCAAGAATAAAACCCCATTGAAATTGATCAAGAAATAAGCAATTTATACGAAGTATCTTCTTTTGCACAATACTGTGCAATTGAATATTTCTTGCTATTGTGCAATACTGTACAATTGACAATTTCTTGCTATTGCGCAATATTGTGCTATTGGATATTTCTTGCTATTGCGCAATACTGTGCAATTGAAGATTTCTTGCTATTGTGCAATACTGTGCAATTGAAGATTTCTTGCAATTGTGCAATACTGTGCAATTGAAAATTTCTTGCTATTGCACAATACTTATTATATAATAATTTACACATCCTGTTTGGTGTGTATCTCCTACCATATCATTATTATTTGCTTTTAAATTTTAATCAGAAATAACCAACTTAAAATGGAAAATTTTAAAGAAAAAAAAAAGGAAAAAAAGAAAAAAAAAGAAAAAAAAAATCCCCCCCCCCCCCAAATTTTTTGAACCCCCTTATGATTCATCACCCCCAAACTCAATCCCAGCCTTCCCTTTGTGGTATGGTACCTTGCAGTACAATTTCAGAGAGATCCATACACTTGAACACAAGTTATTGTCTGGAAACTAGAAAAATGCTTATTTTTGGCCCCTTTTTGGCCCCCAATTCCTAAATGTTTCGGGCAATTACCCCCAAACTCAATTCCAGCTTTCCCTTTGTGATATGGAACCTTGTAGTACAATTTCAGAAATATCCAAACACTTACACACAAGTTATTGTCATGAAACTAGAAAAATGCTTGTTTTTTGCCCCTTTTTTGGCCCCTAATTCCTAAAATTTTGAGGCAATTACCCCCAAAATCAATTACAGCCTTCCCTTTGTGATATGGAACCTTGTGGTACAATGTCAGAGAGATCCATACACTTACACACAAGTTATTGTCTGGAAGTTACAAAAATGCTTATTTTTGGCCCCTTTTTGGCCCCTAATTCCTTAACTGTTGGTACCATAACCCCCAAAATCAATCCCCACCTTCCTTTCGTGGTATTGAACCTTATGGTAAAATTTCATGGAGATCCATTCACTTAAACTAAAGTTAGAGTGCGAAAACCAATGTGTCTTCGGACGACGCCGGACGACGCCAGACAACGACGACGACGACGACGCCAACGTCATACCAATATACGACCAAAAAATTTTCAATTTTTGCGGTCGTATAAAAATATTTAATAATAATTTCCTGTCAATATGCACAGCTACATAGTTATCAAAGGTACCAGGCTTATAATTTGATAAGCCAGACGCGCGTTTCGTCTATATAAGACTCATCAGTGACGCTCAGATCAAAATAGTTAGAAAGCCAAACAAATATAAAGTTGAAGAGCATTGAGGACCCAAAATTCCAAAAAGTTGTGCCAAATACGGCTAAGGTAATCTATGCCTTGGATAAGAAAATCCTTAGTTTTTCGAATAATTCATACTTTTGCAAACAGTTAATTTATAAAAATGACCATATAATTGATATTCATGTCAACACCGAAGTGCTGACTACTGGGCTGGTGATACCCTCGGGGACGAAACGTCCACCAGCAGTGGCATCGACCCAGTGGTGTAAATAGTTATCAAAGGTACCAGGCTTATAATTTGATACGTTAGAAAGCCAAACAAATATAAAGTTGAAGAGCATTGAGGACCCAAAATTCCAAAAAGTTGTGCCAAATACGGCTAAGGTAATCTATGCCTTGGATAAGAAATTTCTTATTTTTCGAATAATTCATACTTTTGCAAACAGTTAATTTATAAAAAAAAAATGTATGTTCTCATTATCTACAAAGATTCATGAAATTTTGAAGTGTGGATTCCGCAAACTTCAGAGAACGGAAACGAAAAATTTAGCAGTTTTTCCGTTTGTAAAGGAATGGTTAAAGTGACACCACCAAAATTCAAACTTGATCTGTGTTATGGTAATAAGCATTGTGTATAAGTTTTAAAACATTTGGTTGAGGCTTACTCAAGTTAGAGAACAGAAACTAAAAATTCAGCAATTTTTCCATTTGTAACATTCAGGTATCACAGATCAAATTTATTCGTTCATTGTGTGTTAATTTACGTTTTTTGATTGAGTTAAGCCTTCCAATTGATATTTTATAGTGTGTCTTTCTATGTTGTTATGTTATACTATTGTTTCAGAAAAGGGAGAAGGTTTGGTAACATTAAAACGTTTAATCCCGCTGCAAATGTTTGCACCTGTCCTAAGTCAGGAATCTGATGTACAGTAGTTGTCGTCTGTTTATGTAGTTCATACGTGTTTCTCGTTTTTATATAGATTAGACCGTTGGTTTTCCCATTTGAATGGTTTTACACTAGTAATTTTTTGGGGCCCTTTATAGCTTGCTGTTCGGTGTGAGCCAATGCTCTGTGTTGAAGGCCGTACCTTGACAATTGTTACTTGGATAGAGAGTTGTCTCATTGGCACTCATACCACATCTTCCTATATCTAATAACTCTAGAACTGTTAAAGTGACGCCACCAAAATTCAAATTTGATCTGTCTTTTGTGGTAATAAGCATTGTGTATAAGTTTCATAATATTTGGTTGAGGCAAACTTAAGTTAGAGAACGGAAACCAACTTTGGGACGGATGTACATACGTACTTACGTACGTACAAGGGTCAAACTTAATGCCCCCTCCGCTACGTTGGGAGAATAAAACTTTGAATCATAATTTCCTGTCGATATGCACATCTACATAGTATGTCCTTGTTATCTGCAAAGTTTCGTGAAATTCTGTTGTGTGGTTTTAGAGGAGTTTGGATGACAAAAACAGGTTGGACGGACGGACGGACAGGTCAAAAACATTATACCCTACTGAGTGGTATAAAAACTATAAGAAATCCAATTAAGGATGATAATGGTGTCTACACATTTTACAACCTAGAAATATGAATTTGTAACTTACCATAATATTTCCTGGAAAGGTTGGTAACATCTGATATCATGTGGTATCTTTGTTAGTATGGTATATATTCCCTCCAGTAACAATGGAGCTGAGTTTCTGATCTGTGTTGTTGTACTGACAATATAAAATATCATTAAACTGCATGCTAATTTATATTGTGGGCATACATCTTATTCTTTGAACATGTAACTTGACAATTTTGAGGGACTTTGCATATTTAAACATATTTTGGGTATGAACACTCCTGATGAATTTTATTCAGAAAAGCCCTTCAAAATTCAATTTTTTTTTTTTGTCCTTATGCTTTAATTCCTCACACAGGAAAAGACAGAATTCAAGTATTACTGGAAGCCATAACAATGTTTCTAAATAAGGTCTCATGTAAGAAAAAAATTACTTTAAATCTTCAAAAACAAAATCTTACGTTGATGCTTGTTCAAGCTTTGATGTAAAAAATCTCAGAACAGCTACTATTTCTTTATAGCTGGCTTCAGATAAACTGTTTGCTGAAAAAAAGATTAAAAACATGTACAAAGCAATATAAATATAATATAATTATGGTATTTAAATATCTTTGGATTGAAATACATTTTCAATAATCTCCATCTATAAATAACTACTTATGAATATTTAAGTATAGATTATTAGGTTCTCCCATGATTGACAATGTAAAATATCTGCTCAGTCATAACATGCTTTTTTGGAAAGTGAGCAAAAAAAGGAAAAAAAGGAAAGGTCTTTATGGTCCACATGGCAAATATTTTACAAATTTTGTATAAAAAAAATTAACAATCAATTTATTGTATTCAGTCCTAGTTGTACTTAATGGCATACAATCTGTGTCAATGTTATTGACACATAGTCCTACACGGTACCCAAGAAGCACTTAAGAAAAGTGATATTTTTAAAATGTAAAATGAGATACACAGAGTGAAAACCAACCTTCACTATTAAAATCATCCATCACACTACTAATTTCTTCTCCCTGTGGAATAACAAAATTTCAATTTAAAATTAGCTTATTCTATAGCAAACTTTAGAAAACTCCCTCATTGCACAAAAACTAAATGTTGGTTAAAATAAAATGCATGAACATAACTAAGGCTTTATACTATAGTATAAAAGAAAACAAACATAAAAAAAAATTCTTGTTTGATGAAGTTTATAAATTCACAGAACCTTAATTCCATGCCCATTACTCTGAATAAAGGAAAAGTAATTGTTTTTAGAAACACATTTCCAGATAAGTCTTCCTCATGATACCTGACAGATATGCACGTTCTAACACAAATAAAGCAAAAGATGTATAGAAACATAAGAAGCTAATTAACAGAAAAATAAAAAGATTTTTTTTTTGCTTTTTGTTATTTCTGTTTCATTGATCAAAAATATTTTGTAATAAATTGCTTCAACGAGCACAGCTGGATACAACCGCAGAGGTCCAACCCTGAATAGTTGGGGCAAAATGGACACAATATTCGCACTTGATACAGGTCTGAATTTGGATTGTAATTAAATTGCCAAAAAAAAAAAAAATATTTGAAGAAATTTTCTTTTTAATTTCTGCATTATGAAATGAGAAAAAATTGTCCCCCACCCCCTTTTTCAAAAAAAAAAAAAAATTTTCCCTCAAGATATGGTCATAATCTCAATTCAAATTTCCAATGGAGTTTGCAACCATAATTACCCATTTAAATACATCATAAAAGTCTTAAAATAGAAAATGACATACATGATCATGGCTAAAATCAATATTCCTTAATCAGCATTTTTAATAGTGACTTCTAAAAATAAATTGACAGCTAATCACCTCAAGACAAAACAACATTTCTTTATACATAATTTAAAAGCATTGTAAGGGAGGTAATCCAAACATAACATTGTACTTTTAAGTAATTGTCCATTAACCAGGAAACCCTTGTTTTTCCCCCTTTTTTGCCCCTTATTCCTAAATGGTTTGAGCCATTACCCCCAAAAGCCAATCCTAACCATCCCTTTGTAGTATGGAAACTTGTGGTCTAATTTCAGAGAGATCCATACACCTTTCCACAAGTTATTGTCTGGAAACTAGAAAAATGTTTATTCGGGCCCCTAATTCCTAAACTATTAGGACCATAACCCCCTTAATCAATCCCAACCTTCCTTTTGTGTTTATAAACCTTGTGTTTAAATTTCATAGATTTCTATTTACATATACTAAAGTTATTGTCCAAAAACCAAATGTCTTTGGACGATGCGAACAACGAAGACGACGACATGATACCAATATACGACCGCAAAAATTTTGCGGTCATATAAAAAGTACTCTTAATTCATGATGTGAGTATGTATACCTACATTCTTATTCTATTGACCTTTAAAACTTCACAATTTAAAAGTGTTCTTTTGAATTTTGATTCTGAAATCCCAAATTTGAAATGGAGATATTTTAATTTCATATCCAGAATCTTGAATTTAAAACATTAGATAATGATTTTCAAATGAACCTTCTGTGTACTGTTTTGGTAACTTACAGCATGTACAGCATGCTTTTATATTCAAAACTTGTAACCTCACATGCATATATATCACATGATTTAGTTTCATATAAAACCTGTAAATGTATATACACTGTGTAGAGAAAAGAAAATCATTGCAATATTAGTAAATATTTGATCAAGGAAAATCAGAATTTTTCCAATACAGTAGACATTTCTGGTAGATTGTGAACTTCCTGAATTTTCCACATTATTTTAGATTCACATACAAAATATCCTACTAATAGATACTGGAAATATTCTGGTAATGTATGTTTCAGCTCTATCAGTACGTGGAACATTGCAAGTTCTGGATGCAGTATTCCATATAACTGCTTGGATAACCACTTGCCTAATGCCTAAAAAATCTCGAATAAATAGACTTAACAATAAACTAGACCAACTAGTCTGCACCTGTAATTATATCTAATGTGAAGGAACTAGTATATTAAAGCTCAAACTAGGTCTTTTTGAAAAATTATACTGATGGAAAAACAATATCTGGAATTAAGATGATACTTTTTTTAAATCATATATGAATTAAGGACTCAAGGAATATTCTTAAAGTTGCATTTTAAATACTGTATTTTCCCTCTTTATCAATTTGAATAAAACAAGTTTTAAACACATTGAAATCTTCTAAATAATCCAAGTAAGTGAGTCAATATTACAAATGTTGCATGAATGTTGGAAATAATAAAATATAAAAAAACCCACAAAAACTCATCCATCTTTATGTAGTGGTTGTACTTCTTGTGATAACAGAATATAACAGCATACTAAAAAAAATATTTGAGCATGCGATAAAAGATACATACTGAATAATAAACACAAAGCTTTATAAGTATTTTCATTTTATTCAACAAAACTGAACGTACAGATGGTAGCAAAAACCAGAATTTAGGATTTTTTTATGGTTTACTTTGAATCAAAAGTTCATAAAAATCTCAAATGTACTGAAAATTGATCAAACAAGCAGTGTAGAAGTGTTAGAATAACAAAATATACACTACAATCAACAACATTGTGAACACAACTTTGAAAAAAAAAACTCCTGCTAAGAACATTCATTGTCAAAAACAGGTGATCTGCTTATGTGGACAAAACTGCAACTATATATATACTACAATCAGCTGAATATGTTATCAAACATAGATGCTTTGGTTACAATACAACATGCAACATACCTGTAGCAGTATACTACAATGTTGTTGCTTTACACACAAGACTTTTTTTCATAAAATTTACAAGAAAAAACTTAAATAAAATAATGTTTATTTCAATTTCTTACATGAAGCTGCTCAAATTAAAACCTTTTGCAAACACATTTGAAATTCAAATAGAAAACCCCATACAGTATATAATGACAGAACAGTTACATTTACAACTATATGGTAGTGATTATAAGCCAAATGATATATCTAACACACCAAAGCATATCATTAGTACACTGCCAAAAGGTATGTTTTATCTTAAAAGAGAAAATATAATCCAGTACATAACAATTAATACACCACTTTCAAGTTATGATAATACATGTCGTTCAGAAACATCTATGTACATGTACATAGGATCAAGATCAGTTGTGTGTGAAAATTTCAGTATCATTTGAAGATAAAAATCAAACAACTTTGAAAAAAAAATGTCAGATTAGTTACCTAAACATCTTCGAGTTTCTAAATTGTGCCTGGACCATCTTTTCATTTATGGAACAGCCATTATCCCAATTTCATTGGATTAGTGTAATTTATATCTAAGCAGCAGTAAAGGATTTTTAATTCTTAATATATATATATTAATATTCTGATTCCATTAGATATTGTAAAATTGTCCAATATGTAAAGGGGTAGTCCATTTGTCTATTTACCTTTAAAATTTCTCCATAATGTTTTCAATTTCCTCTATCTTAGTAACTACTTAGTGTTATTGAAAGCTGTTCTATGAAATTGAATTATTTTCATAAATGTTATGTACTGGTATATAAACTATGCATGTTAGTAAGTAAGAATGAACAATGAGTGAACAAGCATGCTACAGTGACAACTATCTTACCCCCTTGACTGGTGTAAACTTGTCTGTATAACTACCCAACACTTGTGTTAGGGCAGCTACTACAGCCCCCTTCACACTATGAGAGCTGGTCATGAATGTATCTATATACACCTGTATCAAATATTTCATACCAAAGTAGAAAGTATCGTAATAAAGACTTCATTACAACCACCTTATGTCAAAATACAAATTTGTTTGAAAAAAAAAAGATGACAATGAAAAATATTTCATTTTCATGTATCATGCAGGATTGCAGAGTTATGATTAACGTAAAATGCATAGCAAAATGCCAAATGCATATATTTTTTCTACTTTTAAAACTATAAATACAAAATTGCTGTCAATAGTAAATCTGGTTTTTCTTACATTTAGGTTTTGAAGGAACTGACTAGATCTAAAATACATCTTCACTTGTTGGATATCTAGTAAAAGTTACTGAACTGTTCATCACGACACCTGAGATTTCTTAAAATTGTCAGTATTTCTATTCTTTCTACTATTTCTTAACTATTACCACAAACTTTTAAACATGAACAATCTACTGTTTTCAGTGGGATTAATAAAGCAGGCAACAGGTCTGGTTTTATGTAAGTGTTGCAATAATTGACAATAAGAACTAGTCGGAAACAAAAGAAGAGTACTGAGTTAATTATAATTGATAACAGTCAATTTGCATTACTTACACAAATCATATTTATTTCAAAAACAGTTCAAGAAAAGATTCTGTATTGGGAATTCATTGGTGATAATTTCATACTAATGTACTGTATACTGAACTCAACCTAATATAATTTAGTAAAATCGACTGATGACTTAAAAAAAAAACCTTTTTCAATATTCCTCAATCTAATTTTTTTAACTCCAAGATGAATATTTCATAAATTGTCATCAAAACCAATAAATATGTAATTCTTAAAGTTAATATGGGTGAATTATCCTAAAAAGGGTATACAGAAGTTAATGTTTGGACAAACCTTTTAATTGATTAGGTTGGAGTTGGATAATTTCCACAAATAAATGACCAATCTGTTAACTCCTCCAGAGATATTTTATCATTTCACATGACACCATGCACATAAACCACAAGACATAGAGAGAAAAAAGGAACATTACAGTTAATTCCAATAAACTGTTTACACAGAGATATGTCTCGCCTATTTGATATTTTGATAATGCAAATGTTGAAATTAAAATAGCAATACTTTAACATGTAAGTTATGCAAATATTCAAAGTCAATGAACCATGACTGAAAGTACAGGGCTAAACAATCTCCATGGAAATGAGATGTGCCAATGCTAATACAACAGCAAACCAAATACCATTGACTTTTCATAAGTCGTTCCCTTTAAACAAACCTAAACACAAACATTAACTTGTAAACTATGTAAAAGTTTCAAAGTCAATGAACCATAATTAGGGGCGGGGTTATATAATCTCCATGGAAATGAAACTTGCAAATGCCAATACATTTGCATACCGAATATCATTGACTTAACATTAGTGGTTCATCTTAAACTGACCTAATCACAAACTAATACATGTAAACTAAGTAAAAGTTTCAAAGTCAATAGACCATGACTGAGGGGTAAGGACCAAATATTCTCCATGGAAATGAGATGTTCTAATGCTTATACAACTGCATACCAATTATCATTGACCTACCACTAACGGTTCCCCTTAAACTGACCTAATCACAAACTAATACATGAAAACTAAGCAAAAGTTTCAAAGTCAATAGACCATGAATGAGGGGGTGGGGCCAAAAAATCTCCATGGAAATGAGATATGCCAATGCTTATACAACTGCATACCAAATATCATTGACCTACCACTAGTGGTTCACCATGGACTAGACCTAATCACAAACTAATACATTGTTGACGCCGCCGCCGACGCTGGAAACAGCATACCTATGTGTCGCTTTTTGACTCCGTCAAGGCGAGACAAAAACAGGACAATAGACAATTTTTGCTGGCAGAGTTTGCACTGTTGCTTATCAAAATTTCCATCATCTCATAAAATTTTCGAACAATTAAAATCTGATTTATTAAAGCAACACAAACTGATTTAGAAATAAAATAAGAATTTTGTCAATAATTTTATATATTAAGAACCAAGAAAATAAAAAGGAAATAAGGTTCAAAATTCCATAAATTTATATACCTGAGCAATTCTAGTTATAACTCCACCTGTCATACACCATGAGACAGAAAACGTCATGTTCAAAAGTACCTGCAACAAATATAAATAATCTATTAAAGCATAAGTATATAAACATTAGCATAGATAATGTATAATAAATTAAAATCATCATCAAATACATGAATGTAAATATTCTGTGGAGTGTTAGAGTTTGCTATTATGTACAGACACTTGTCTATTGTTGAAGAGTGTATGTTGACCTTTACATGTCTTAAAATTACTTATGTTGTTAGGTTGTTGTCTCATTGGAATATACCCCACTTCTCCTTTCATACATATCACATAAAGAAGCTAGTTAACATTCTTAAATTATTTCTTTTCAAGCAATAATGTAGATTTTTTTTACACATCACTGGCACTATCTCATAATATTCATCACTCTTGACGAAGTACAGAAACATGAGAAAGATGATCACACTTATATTTCATCAGTTCCGGCTTGATAAGAAGTCAAGGAGATTTAAATTCCACACATCTCCTTTGATTCAAACTAAAAGTTATTCGTTTTACTTTTTCAACCTTCAGTATAGAAAGGCCACTAAGGGGGAGGTTTTTATGAATGATAAACTGGTTTAAAATCACTATGTTTTGTGCCTATAACAAGTTAGGCTATCTCAACAATGTGTTGTTAAATTATTGTTTGTCTTGGTTTTTACATGTCAGAGGAGTTGGATGTAGGTGATTAGTATGTTATGCTGTACTGTTGTTTGTCTTGGTTTTTACATGTCGGAGGAGTTGGATGTAGGTGATTAGTATGTTATGCTGTACTGTTGTTTGTCTTGGTTTTTACATGTCGGAGGAGTTGGATGTAGGTGATTAGTATGTAATGCTGTACTGTTGTTTGTCTTGGTTTTTACATGTCGGAGGAGTTGGATGTAGGTGATTAGAATGTTATGCTGTACTGTTGTTTTTCTTGGTTTTTACATGTCGGAGGAGTTGGATGTAGGTGATTAGTATGTAATGTTGTACTGTTGTTTGTCTTGGTTTTTACATGTCAGAGGAGTTGGATGTAGGTGATTAGTATGTTATGCTGTACTGTTGTTGTCTTGGTTTTTACATGTCGGAGGAGTTGGATGTAGGTGATTAGTATGTTATGCTGTACTGTTGTTTGTCTTGGTTTTTACATGTCGGAGGAGTTGGATGTAGGTGATTAGTATGTTATGCTGTACTGTTGTTTGTCTTGGTTTTTACATGTCGGAGGAGTTGGATGTAGGTGATTAGTATGTTATGCTGTACTGTTGTTTGTCTTGGTTTTTACATGTCGGAGGAGTTGGATGTAGGTGATTAGTATGTTATGCTGTACTGTTGTTTGTCTTGGTTTTTACATGTCGGAGGAGTTGGATGTAGGTGATTAGTATGTTATGCTGTACTGTTGTTTGTCTTGGTTTTTACATGTCGGAGGAGTTGGATGTAGGTGATTAGTATGTTATGCTGTACTGTTGTTTGTCTTGGTTTTTACATGTCGGAGGAGTTGGATGTAAGTGATTAGTATGTTATGCTGTACTGTTGTTTATCTTGGTTTTTACATGTCGGAGGAGTTGGATGTAGGTGATTAGTATGTTATGCTGTACTGTTGTTTGTCTTGGTTTTTACATGTCGGAGGAGTTGGATGTAGGTGTTTAGTATGTTATGCTGTACTGTTGTTTGTCTTGGTTTTTACATGTCGGAGGAGTTGGATGTAGGTGATTAGTATGTTATGCTGTACTGTTGTTTGTCTTGGTTTTTACATGTCGGAGGAGTTGGATGTAGGTGATTAGTATGTCATGCTGTACTGTTGTTTGTCTTGGTTTTTACATGTCGGAGGAGTTGGATGTAGGTGATTAGTATGTTATGCTGTACTGTTGTTTGTCTTGGTTTGAGGATTTGGATGTAGGTGATTAGTATGTTATGCTGTACTGTTGTTTGTCTTGGTTTTAACATGTCGGAGGAGTTGGATGTAGGTGATTAGTATGTAATGTTGTACTGTTGTTTGTCTTGGTTTTTACATGTCAGAGGAGTTGGATGTAGGTGATTAGTATGTTATGCTGTACTGTTGTTGTCTTGGTTTTTACATGTCGGAGGAGTTGGATGTAGGTGATTAGTATGTTATGCTGTACTGTTGTTTGTCTTGGTTTTTACATGTCGGAGGAGTTGGATGTAGGTGATTAGTATGTTATGCTGTACTGTTGTTTGTCTTGGTTTTTACATGTTGGAGGAGTTGGATGTAAGTGATTAGTATGTTATGCTGTACTGTTGTTTGTCTTGGTTTTTACATGTCGGAGGAGTTGGATGTAGGTGATTAGTATGTTATGCTGTACTGTTGTTTGTCTTGGTTTTTACATGTCGGAGGAGTTGGATGTAGGTGATTAGTATGTTATGCTGTACTGTTGTTTGTCTTGGTTTTTACATGTCGGAGGAGTTGGATGTAGGTGATTGGTATGCTATGCTGTACTGTTGTTTGTCTTGGTTTTTACATGTCGGAGGAGTTGGATGTAGGTGATTAGTATGTTATGCTGTACTGTTGTTTGTCTTGGTTTTTACATGTCGGAGGAGTTGGATGTAGGTGATTAGTATGTTATGCTGTACTGTTGTTTGTCTTGGTTTTTACATGTCGGAGGAGTTGGATGTAGGTGTTTAATATGTTATGCTGTACTGTTGTTTGTCTTGGTTTTTACATGTCAGAGGAGTTGGATGTAGGTGATTAGTATGTTATGCTGTACTGTTGTTTGTCTTGGTTTTTACATGTCAGAGGAGTTGGATGTAGGTGATCAGTATGTTATGCTGTACTGTTGTTTGTCTTGGTTTTTACATGTCGGAGGAGTTGGATGTAGGTGATTAGTATGTTATGCTGTACTGTTGTTTGTCTTGGTTTGAGGAGTTGGATGTAGGTGATTAGTATGTTATGCTGTACTGTTGTTTGTCTTGGTTTTTACATGTCGGAGGAGTTGGATGTAGGTGATTAGTATGTTATGCTGTTCTGTTGTTGTCTTTGTTTTTACATGTCGGAGGAGTTGGATGTAGGTGATTAGTATGTTATGCTGTACTGTTGTTTGTCTTGGTTTTTACATGTCGGAGGAGTTGGATGTAGGTGATTAGTATGTTATGCTGTACTGTTGTTTGTCTTGGTTTTTACATGTCGGAGGAGTTGGATGTAAGTGATTAGTATGTTATGCTGTACTGTTGTTTATCTTGGTTTTTACATGTCGGAGGAGTTGGATGTAGGTGATTAGTATGTTATGCTGTACTGTTGTTTGTCTTGGTTTTTACATGTCGGAGGAGTTGGATGTAGGTGTTTAGTATGTTATGCTGTACTGTTGTTTGTCTTGGTTTTTACATGTCGGAGGAGTTGGATGTAGGTGATTAGTATGTTATGCTGTACTGTTGTTTGTCTTGGTTTTTACATGTCGGAGGAGTTGGATGTAGGTGATTAGTATGTCATGCTGTACTGTTGTTTGTCTTGGTTTTTTACATGTCGGAGGAGTTGGATGTAGGTGATTAGTATGTTATGCTGTACTGTTGTTTGTCTTGGTTTGAGGATTTGGATGTAGGTGATTAGTATGTTATGCTGTACTGTTGTTTGTCTTGGTTTTAACATGTCGGAGGAGTTGGATGTAGGTGATTAATATGTAATGTTGTACTGTTGTTTGTCTTGGTTTTTACATGTCAGAGGAGTTGGATGTAGGTGATTAGTATGTTATGCTGTACTGTTGTTGTCTTGGTTTTTACATGTCGGAGGAGTTGGATGTAGGTGATTAGTATGTTATGCTGTACTGTTGTTTGTCTTGGTTTTTACATGTCGGAGGAGTTGGATGTAGGTGATTAGTATGTTATGCTGTACTGTTGTTTGTCTTGGTTTTTACATGTCGGAGGAGTTGGATGTAAGTGATTAGTATGTTATGCTGTACTGTTGTTTGTCTTGGTTTTTACATGTCGGAGGAGTTGGATGTAGGTGATAAGTATGTTATGCTGTACTGTTGTTTGTCTTGGTTTTTACATGTCGGAGGAGTTGGATGTAGGTGATTAGTATGTTATGCTGTACTGTTGTTTGTCTTGGTTTTTACATGTCGTCGGAGTTGGATGTAGGTGATTGGTATGTTATGCTGTACTGTTGTTTGTCTTGGTTTTTACATGTCGGAGGAGTTGGATGTAAGTGATTAGTATGTTATGCTGTACTGTTGTTTGTCTTGGTTTTTACATGTCGGAGGAGTTGGATGTAGGTGATTAGTATGTTATGCTGTACTGTTGTTTGTCTTGGTTTTTACATGTCGGAGGAGTTGGATGTAGGTGATTAGTATGTTATGCTGTACTGTTGTTTGTCTTGGTTTGAGGAGTTGGATGTAGGTGATTAGTATGTTATGCTGTACTGTTGTTTGTCTTGGTTTTTACATGTCGGAGGAGTTGGATGTAGGTGATTAGTATGTTATGCTGTACTGTTGTTTGTCTTGGTTTTTACATGTCGGAGGAGTTGGATGTAAGTGATTAGTATGTTATGCTGTACTGTTGTTCGTCTTGGTTTTTACATGTCCGAGGAGTTGGATGTAGGTGATTAGTATGTTATGCTGTACTGTTGTTTGTCTTGGTTTTTACATGTCGGAAGAGTTGGATGTAGGTGTTTAGTATGTTATGCTGTACTGTTGTTTGTCTTGGTTTTTACATGTCGGAGGAGTTGGATGTAGGTGATTAGTATGTTACGCTGTACTGTTGTTTGTCTTGGTTTTACATGTCGGAGGAGTTGGATGTAGGTGATTAGTATGTTATGATGTACTTTTGTTTGCCTTGGTTTTTACATGTCTGAGGAGTTGGATGTAGGTGATTAGTATGTCATGCTGTACTTTTGTTTGCCTTGGTTTTTACATGTCTGAGGAGTTGGATTAAGTGATTAATATGTAATGTTGTACTGTTGTTTGTCTTGGTTTTTACATGTCTGAGGAGTTGGATGTAGGTGATTAGTAGGTTATGCTGTACTGTTGTTTGTCTTGGTTTTTACATGTCTGAGGAGTTTGATGTAGGTGATTAGTAGGTTATGCTGTACTGTTGTTTGTCTTGGTTTT